CTTGCCTTGACATTTTAATATTCTATAAACATAGTTAAAGAAACAAGTTTTTAAAATGAGGTCCAGTTATTTTTGTTTGTTATAGTTTTGTCTTGTAAATTTTTAGTGTGTTTCTCTTTTTGTTTACTTCCGTAACTTGATACTTTTACAATTTGCGAGACCTGCGTGGAAAAAGTCAATTCAACTTTTATATAAATTGGCCTTTCAACCACAACACAAGCAAGGCCAAACAGCCAACAACGTCCGCCAATGGATATTATTATTTATGCAACGTAGTTTCAAAGATCGCGATATTTGAAGTAATGCATCAATCCTTCGTTGATCCCAAAACAGGCCCCAGAAATTTTAACGCGACACTGAATTATACGTGGCGGGCAGCGAACATCACAAAAACGTGGCTCAGCCTTGATGGAAGCAACAGCACTCTATCCATAGAGCTTGCCCTATGCTCTATCATGCACGTCTCAATGCTTGTACTTCAAATAGCGAGTACCGTAGACCCAACCTCGTTTCCAGGGTGTGGAGCAGGCTGCAGTATGCGTTGCCATCGACGGTTTTACGCATAGCCTGGAAGTACTACGCAGTGTAGACTTTCGATTGGTCAGACCGCGCAAGGCATACTAATGTGTAGTCCTTCTGAGTATTCGTTGCACTCGGCGCAGGGGCGGCAAGCAAAGCATAGGAAAGAATATAGGGACACTTGGTGGCCACGCACCATGGAGAAAAAATATTTTGTCAAGGTCACCCCTACTACAGTTTGGTGAACGCTTTTGCAGAACGCTGATGCGCTGATAAAATGTGGAACAATTTTTTGATGCTTTATTTTCAAGCACCCCCCCCCCCCCGATCTACCCATGTAGCAACTTATCAGCTTTCCACAAGAAAACTCTTCACCGGCAATTTTACCTACCAGTTTCAAGTTCATAAGATGATAGGGAAGTATATGCAATAGTTACTAATTGCGATTTCATATTTTCAATATTTTCCAGGAGCCAAAATCCCTGGTTGAGAGTTAAAGCGCCAGCCTGTTTTTACGCATTTTTATGATTAAACAACTTCATGTTCAAATGCATGTACGCAACGAACAAAAAGTTGGTTCTTCCCCAAGTTTATGGTCTTGGAAGTCGGCATTGCATTAGGTCTATGGTGCTCGTTTCAGAAGTGTATTTAAGGTGTTTGTCGCTGATATCTTTGGACCAATCAATTTAGTGACTGCGATGGTTAGTTTCTTAATACACGCACCTTGAATCTTGGCCCTTCTGGATTACCAAGCACAATCGGCTGCCATTTCTAAAAGTTCATGCGATGTCATGCAGGCACCTGAATATAATACATAAAATATTTGATTACCAAAGAGCTCAAGACTTTTTAAAGTTAACTTGAATTTCTCACAAAACAATTTCATTAAATCTGTAGAATAATCGTCCAGTAGCAGTTTTGATATTCGCATAATTATTTTGATAAGAGATCGGTTGCCCACGCTTCTTTTGAGTTACACCCCGAAAGTTTATTTACTTTTTTTCAATTGCTAATTGAAAAAAAATGAAATACATTCATTTTTGAATGAGACATCTAACGATAAAAACTATAAATGTCATTCAATTATTTTATTCGGCTCTCGCCAGGGAGGTTCACGCAAATTTGGGGTTTTTAAATTTTTTTATTTTTTTTTAGAGAGCACGGGGCACGCATCTTTTTTATGGCGCATGACTCGACAAGAATGACTTTGTTACAGCGGACATGGTAGTGTGAAATAAAATTTTGAGTTGGATTGATTTGGCTATGCATGCATTGGGTTCACGGTCTTGAATTTTACAGTATAGATAAATTTCAAGAATACATAAACGGATTGAATATAAGTGTCTGCTGAACATGGGGTAATCACTTAACACATTTCGACCGAGCTAGGTGTATTTTTAACACATTTTAAAAGTTAATTTCACCCCCCCCCCCCCCTTGGCTACGCCACTGGTGTACGGTCCTGGTACGTGAACTTTAGGCCTGACAAATTGAGACTGAAATGCTAATGCACGTTGCTATTACACCGTGCACAGTGGCTTTGAGCGGGAATTTTATAACGGGTGAAGCAGTGTTATTTATGCCTTTATTTAACGTCTAACTCAAATTTGCGCCAGTTTTAGTTGAGAGAAAATCAACTCAGATCTATGAATTAAAAGATACCTTAGGTAACAATTTCACGGTTGTTGGCTCGGGTATCTTAATACAATATTGTTACATTTTGATTAATTCATGAAATTGAAGGAAAAAAATATTAAAAACATAGGCCTACTCATACTGGCCTATAGTACACAATCAAAAATTTTCTCGATATATGTTTACACTTCCAAACATATATTGCCATTTGCTAAAGCAATATATATGTTATATATGAAATTATAACTATCGAACTATTAACTTTCTATTAATTCCTACCTATCACGTATAAAAGGTCTAATATGTCTCACATGAATTCAAGTAAATCTGTTCCACATGTAAATAATTTCCTTGGAAAAGAATACCAAGATTTTATTATTAAAACAAAAACCAGATGACTTGAACGTTTGTTTCAGTGTATATCCTCCAAAACTGTTCGAATTGACGAGCCTCCAATCTCAATTGAGGCACAGATTTGCACTCTTAATCTACATTAATTCTGATCGAGTCTGAAGAACATTTTCAACATTAAAAAAAAACAAAGATGATAGACTGTTCGAAAAGTTGTTTTACTTTTGATCCTAGCTCTCATCAGATTTTTAGAAATGTGTTCGACATAAGAATAAGGACAAAATACACAAAATAATCATTCCTACCTTGTAAGAAACTACTGCAGTGAAAATAACTTGCTTGGCGACCATGGCTAATTCACGTCAATTGGACGGCGAGTCGGCGACCATTATAGTGAGCTGCTGCTGCTAGATCGCTGACTCGACTGAGCAGAGCGATTCAATGAGCTATCACGTGGTCTGGGCGTGGAATTTCTGCTGATGCGCATGCGCCATGGTAATATTTTTCTTTGAGAACGGGAATCATATTTCTATAGTTACGTTGGTGTGTGCAATGAGGTATACATTGAATATACAACAATGAATATGAGCGGGAAACAGTCGCGCTTTGACCATGATCTCATCCATCTTACACCATTAGAAAAATATTTGCGAACATGATATTTCTACTACGACAAAACAAAACATGATGATGTTCGAAATTTCACGAGTTACATTAATAATGCAAGGCGGCACCCAAATGTTTAATTATTATCAATAAAAACATCATTAATTCAAACATTATGTTCACTACACATTCAGTACATAGTAATCACAATGTTTTTGTCATTACCATATGCATCATGGATCGTAACTACAACGGGATTTGCACAGCATAATTGCAATTTAAATTGCCAAAACACCTTTATAAAACGTTACAGCAACGAAAGGTTCACAACATAACAGCAACGCTGTGAAAATACCAAACTGCAATGTCACGACAACATGATTTTTACAACATTATGATAAGACTTTTATGCAACGTCATCATAACGTCATGAATGGAACATCACAGCATCATTTGTATTGATTGCTTGTAATACGACACTTGATGACGTCATTATGACGTCATTACCAGAAATTTCCAGAGCTATATTTACTGTGCTGTATACAGCCAGATCTTGATTATATCTATCACGGTATATTTTCTAGCAATTGTTTAAGGTTTAAAGGTCTTTTTATTGTAACTTCCGGTCTGATGACGTAATCAATTTTTTTCGCGCACAGGTGTTGTCTGCATTATGGTCATCATGTTCATTAATTTTGAAGCGATTACCGCAAACTTCGCCACAGACATCAAGTGAAAATGCGTTTTTGACGTTTTTTAACCTGCCGCTAGAGGGCGCTCCAACACTTCATGACGTCACCCATTATTTTTTTTGAAAGGTCAATCCAGGCAGACACTTAAATCGTTAAAAGCAAGTTCATATCTTTTTCCACTTTTAAATTATTAGGCACTTCCGGTTTCGACCGGAAGGAAGGGTCACGCGATTTTACGCACACGAGATAAAATGAAGATCATGTATTACCATGTCGATTCCCGCAAATTTCAGGTTCCGGTCTCTCACGGTTGATTTTATATGGAATTTCAAAGATTAAATTCATTAAACTTTCGAGTGACGTCACGTGACCCATGATGACGTCATGATTACGTAATTGCAAAAAAACACATCTGCGGTGGATTGGGCATTCATGTATTGACAAATGAAGTTCATATATGTTTCCATTTTTCCAAACAGTTCTGGAGAAGAATTTGCTGAGAATATGCTGAGGAGAACAAAAACAGTAAATTCTTACAAAACCATGGGTGTTGTGCTCAAAGCCCAACACCTAATTGGGCTTAATTGGGCTCAAGGCCCAACACCTAATTTCTCGGCAAGTTGTCAACTCGGTTTCCGTCAACTTGGTGAGTTATCACTTCTTCACAAGTTGACATGTCAACTTCAGGTAGTTGACTTGGCGACATGATTTGTCTGAACAAGCCGACATCTTAATGGAGGAAGTCGATTTAGCGAGAACATTCTTCTCGACAAGTCGTCATCTAGAATTCGTTAAGTCGACTTGGCGAGATGATTTATCCCGGCAAGTCGTCATGTCGACTCCGGGAAGTCGACTTGGCTAGATAATTCATCTTGACAAGTCGTCATATCGACTTCAGGAAGTCGACTTGGCTAGATAATTTATCTCGACGAGTCGTCATCTCGACTTCGGGAAGTCGACTTGACGAGATAATTAATAAGTCGCCTTACTTTCCGCTATATGTCAACATGGCGTGATAAATTATCTCAGTATATAAATAAGTTGATGGCACTCATGGAGCGCCGTAGTTTGGCTACAACTTACAAGAAAATTAACAAACATTTTGTGTACATTTTCCCATAGGGACCGAGCTAGTTACGGACCGAGTTGGCTACGGACCGAGTTGGCTACGAACCGAGTTGGCCACGGACCGAGTTGGCCACGGACCGAGTTGGCCACGGACCGAGTTGGCCACGGACCGAGTTGACTCGGACCGAGTTGGTTACGGATCGAATTGACCGACACCCAAATGGAGAGGGGTTATCGTGCGTAAAGTAGTGCACTTCTCGCGGCAAATTTAAGTTTTCAAAAAGGTAAACTTGGCAAGCACATATTTATCATTTCGACAGTTTTGTAAATATGGTCATATTTAATTAGGCCTAATTGTTATGCTTGTTTATGATTTCCCATAGGCCTAGGCCTAGCCCCATAAATGTGGCCTATTTACTGGACTGATAGGCCACACATCGACATGTACAAAAACGTGTCGCACTTTGCCAAATTTTGATTTTCGCATTTAGGCTTAGTTTGTAGGTTTTTTTTGCTTTAGAAGCATACTCTCCCTCTTTATAGGCTAATCAGAAAGTGCTGCCTTTTTCAGATGTATATTTTTCGTGAAATTTCCAGATTCATTTTACACGTTTGCGTATCAAAATTTCAACATGAAATTTCACACAAATTAGACATCTGAAAAAGGCAGCACTTTCTGACTAGCCTATAAAGAGGGTGAGTATGCTTCTAAAGCAAAAAAATCCTACAAACTAAGCCTAAATGTGAAAATCAAAATTTGGCAAAGTGCGACACGTTTTTGTACATGTGGATGTGTGGCCTATGTTTACGGAGGTAGTCCAGTAAATTGGCCACATTTATGGGGCTAGCCTAGGCCCTACTCTACTGTAAAATGTGGAAAATATAGTTTTCTGACTGGATATTTTGCCGGCGCCGGTATCTGGGTATCCTTTCTTATTCTGTAGGCCTAAACTTTATTTTCATGGAGGCTTTCTCTGATTAGCTTTAATATAGTCTTATAATATTGGCTGCCGGAGGAATCAACGATGACCTAGCTGGCAAACTAACGTTATTGGCACCGGCCAATTATCATCTGCCTTTATTTAATTAATATTCAAGGCTTCTTCTCGTTCCTTCTTCAGTGTTGGTGTGCTTAGCAAGAACCGTTCAGAAGTAGGCCTTAGTTACTTTGCTAATCCTCGAATAACGGTATGGCAGAGTCGGCCGCAGCAGTCGATGAGAGCCAGGCTGGAACTGGCGTGGCAGCTGACCTCAAGGAGTATGAGGTCCAGTTCTTTGGCTTCACCCCCAAATCCTTCATTGACGGAGGTAGGCCCACTTTTAGCCATGTTGGGTTGATCGGTCGATATGCGATCGGTCGATCCCGCTGCGCTTGCTATCTGTAGATCATGACGGATATCTTGGACTTTAGGCGAAGTAAAAAAAAAAACATGTTTAGCGTCCCCGCCCGCTTCCTTTTTAGAGGCCGCCTCCTTTTTTTTTTTTTTTTTTTTTTTTTTAAAAGACAAAAATTGATAAATTTTAACGATCTCTGACGAAAGAAATCGTATTTTTAGACTATTATACCGTGTATAAAGCTGTGGAAATAGTCAATGAGTCCAAGTGGCGGCCATTTTGAAAAAAGCTGGTAACCATCTTGAAAAATAGCCCGGCCGCGTTGTCTTGAAAAATGTGTCGGGCGGCCATTTTGAAAAGAAAAAAAAAAAAAAAAAAAGGGCCTCCTCCTTCCTTTTTGTCAAAGAGGCAGGACGCTAAACATGTTTTTTTTTTATTTTGCCTTATGTACCTTTTAAAAAAAAATCCTACAGAGCCATGAATTAGAAAGAAAAGATGTTTGGTGGCAGCGCGATCGACCGATAGCGTCATGATCGACCGATAGCACAGGGTGATTGACCGATGGCATACATCGACTGATCTCGCTATGAACAGCCATCTTGTGTTAATCCAGAATGCAGATTGCAAAGTGCCTGGCCAACAATGTTATATCCATATCCATAATTGATCTTAAAGGGAAAATACAACATTTGCAAACATCAAAAAATAAAACTACCAAATCATTTTGAAATACCTTGCTGGACTGTTAGTGAATGACAGTGTAAAGCATCCTGCAAAATCATGGCACCTGGTATACTGTCATTTTCAAGAAAAGTGGTATTTTTGTATCAATTTCCAACGCTGATCGGCCGATCAGCTTTGGAAAAAACTGGCTTTTTTTTCAAATACTGGCCCCAATTGACCATCGCACTTGTTTGCAATCGATTACAAACCTATGAACGGGTACGAGCCAGCTGGACTGGTTCCCTTACCTTACAATTCCCCAATGTACGTAAACTGCTCTGTTTCTTCTTATATGGAGTCAGGGAACCAGACTACAGGAAAATGATTGTTTTTCTTGGTTTTTATAGCATTTTTGAACCCAAAACCTCAAAAAAGTCAGTGTAACTATAATTGCTATATATTTCCAACCCCCCAATTCCATCCATTTCTGAAAATTACAGCAAAATGCTAGCAAATGATGTAGGCCTATATTCCCTTTAAAATATGAATCTACATTTCTATAATTTTTCTTATTTTCACTAATATTTGAATTAGACAGAAGAATAACTCCCATCTTGACTTTCATTTTCCAGTCCACAATGCTTTGGTGGATTATCTCAACGACTCAGTTGAAGCCACGGAGAAATTCCTTCTTGAAGAGGTAAGGAAAAGAATTTCAGCGATATCAACAGATATGTGATTCAATATTGAACAGCATGCTACATGTTCTATGTGAACTGGGCCCAATTCGCCCTGTAATATTGTTTGCGTTTGTCTCCATTTTATGCAGGCTGAAGCGAATTCTGAAGTCGTATCCCCGGAATTTGTCCGAGAAGTGAGTTTCAACTTTTGATGATAGTGAAATATTGACGCGTCACATTAATTGAGGACACAATAATAGGAAAGGAACAATAATAAATATACGCCTTTTTCACAGTTCATTCCAATAGCCAATCGTGACTCGATTTGTTACGGACTTGTGATTGACGTTACTGATGTTTGAATCTGTCCTTTCTTCCCTTGCAGGCATCGGACAGACTATTCTCACACTTCTTGAAGACGTTTGACAAGAACTTTGACCGTCTGGAGTCCTACCTCAAGAAGAACCTCTTCCACATTCCCAGCAACGTGCTTCTGCCTGAAGATGCTGTAAGCTTGGAGTTGGGGGTGGGGAGGGTTCAAGAATGGAAAGGGGGGGGGGGGAGATTTTGGGAAGTTACATTTCAGTTATTACATAAATTAACTCTAAAATAAGTCCCTAAAGTAGTCAAATGGCTTCTGATTGACATTAAAGGGAATGTACATCATTGGCTTTTGCTGTAATTTTCAGAAATGAACTATTTGAGGGGTTAATATAATAGATCAAATATTGTTACACTGACATGTTTGAAGTTTTGTGTTTGAAAATGCTGGAAAAAACCAAGAAAAACAAAAACGTTCAAGTAGTCTGGTTCCCTGACTCCACTAAGGATGAAATGGATCAATGTATTGATGCCGAAAAATTGTAAGGTAAGGGAACAAGTCTAGCTGGCCTGCACCCGTTCATGAACATGTATAACCAATAGCAAACAAAATTTGGACTGGAAAAAAAGGGTAAATTTGGAGCATTAGTTGAAAATAGTTAGGTTTTTCCAACGGTGGTCGGCCGACCATTGTTGGAAATGTATACAAAAATACAATTTTCTTGAAAATGATTTCAAACCAGGTGCCATAATTTTACAGGATGCTTTAGACTGTCATTTACCAACATCCTAGTAAGGTAAATTGTAAAAACTTAGTAGTTTTATTTTTCGATGTTTGCAATTGTTGTATTTTCCCTTTAAATGAGTATAAGATTTGGAGCAATAATGGTCTTTTTCATCCTTCATTGTTAATTTTCACTGTTATTTTTACACAGGTACATTGGCAAGACTACAGTGCGAAAGACGACGTCAAGTTAGACGGGGATCTTGAGTCATTACGACAACAGATCAGAAATGTGAGTCGGATGCAGTCCTTGTGAAATTTCTGGTCAATGTTTAAGTTCATATGAATAGCTTGTCACTTGGTTTGAGTTGGGGAGACTTGTGATTGACTTATGAATGACTTGTGATGACTTGTGATTGGCTTGTGATTGGTTTGTGATAGACTTGTGGTAGACTTTTGATAGACTTGTGATTGGCTTGTGATTGACTTGTGACGACTTGTGATGAACTTGTGATTGGCTTGTGATTGACTTGTGATGAACTTGTGATTGGCTTGTGATTGACTCGTGAAGAACTTGTGATTGACTTGTGAATTGGCTCGTGATGAAATTGTAATGTCTAAATGCATCCTTTCATGGAAAATATTCCTGTTTTCTTGAACCATCTAGTCCCTTTACGTCAATGCCAGACTTCGGCAATGGTTGCAGGAGGCTGAGGTAGCGCAAGCTCAGTTGGACGTCTTACTCCTTCAACTCAACAACTTCCATCACATACTCAGCAAAGCCAACAGTAAGCGCTTCGTTCTCAAACCAAGAAATCTGAAGAAAAAAAAACTCTACGCAAGCAATTTCAATTTTGTTTTGTGGCTTGTGAATAAGACTTGTGCAGCCCTTATATTAAAGCCAGAGTCCATCATTTGCAGCTATCCAAAAACTAACTGACGTAATTATTGTTGAAAAAACATACTTGGTTGAAAGATAGCAAGGGGACTAAACTCCCTGTGAAATGATTCTTTCTGGCAAGCCGTCATTTTGAAGAAATCAACAAAAGAAGACCTTTCCAACGGTGCGTCTTAAGAAGCACCGTTGGAAATTTCTGTTTGTAGTTCGTTTTTTTTATTCTGTGAAGCACGCTCAAGTTGACACGACGCACACGCGCGCGTGGTTGCTATAATTCGTCGGATCGGTGCGCGACATCGCAGAGCTGCAATCGGCTGTGAGAACGTGTCTCGAGCACTGAATTCAGGCCCGATTCAAAACATGATTCAGCAACTTTTGATTTGAAATCGAGATCCTAGAATGCTGTTTTTCTCGAAACATACAGCTGAAGCTGAGCTGCAACTTCATCAGGTAATTATTCAGCACCCTTCTTTAGATTTTTAGCATTTTTGTTGCTTCAACCGAACAAAATGCACTAATTACAAATGATGGACTATACCTGTAACTTGGCCCAAAGTTTGAAACGGAATTGCCCTGTGATGCCAATAAATGGGCCAAATCTCTATGGGCTAGATGTCTGAAAAAGTTTACCGGTGAAAATCCATTGTCTTGTCTTGATGTTTGTTTTTCTCTTGGCGTAGTTTCAGATCTGAGTGAATCCATCGTCTTCATGGCTGGCAAGGCCCGGAAGCTTCAAGATCAGCTCACGATAGTCCTTCAGCAGAACCTCCGAGATGCCCAGGTGTGTGATAATTCATATCATAGTATTCTGCTATTTTCCGCGTTTCTTCTCGTATGGGCTACAATGAAGACTGCCGTTGCCATGGTATCGACCAATCAGCATTGAGGGTTCAAGTTTTGTAGAATACGAAAGCGCCAATCAGGATCCGTGTTTTGTGAAATATTCTAATTTTTTGTTTTGGTGTTTTTTTAATTCCAACCAGGAACAGCAATACACAAACCTACCTGCTGTGATGCCCTTCTCAACTTCGTAACCCTCATAGCATGGTGATGCAACTTTTGGTTTAAAGGGGATAACTAATTTTGGAAATGCTTTAAAACTTTTTGAGCATTTTCCAAATCAGTCGACTCTCATTATAAAGAGCACTTTTATAAAGAGGTTCTGCTTATAAAGAGCGAATTCTGAGGTCCCAAATCTCGGGTTCTCTTTGTGTTTCTTTGTCCTTTTATAACAACATTCCTGTTATAAAGAGGTAATTTGGCTAGTCCCATCGATCTTGTAATAACGAGATTCGAGTGCCCCTTTAATTATTATTATCATGCAAAGAAAAGGGACAATAGCTTCCAGTGAATTGTACATAGCCTTTAATTTGTGTAAATATGTATAAATGCTTTAGCTAAGTATTAAATGAAGCACAATTTTCTTTTTTTAGCTACAATAACAGATACTTCATGTAAGGCCAAAAAAAAAATTAGTCGGTCTCTGGTCAGCGCGCGCGTCGATTTTAATCATGCGCGTCAATCTTTGTTTTCCCAAAATGTTCCGCGGTAGCTTCAACAGCGCCCTCTATTGCCGCACCTCAATTTTTTTTACCAAAGAGCACCAAGGAATGGGAAATTGCACCAAGGCAAATGATCGAAAGCACCAAGGCAAATTATGGAGGACACCAATGTACATGAGGACACCAAAAAACAAAATAGTACCCCACCTTGTCTGTACAATCCAAGCTTGAAAGAAAAAAAAATACCAAAAAAAAAAAAGCCGCATTGCCACGTCAATTCCGGAACTTCGGTCTGACCAGAGACCGAATATTTTTTTTTTTTGGCCTAAAGATTATTACATTAACTCAACTCCCTACTGTATTTTACTAAGTGCTGGACCAAGTCCACCAAAATCAATCAATCACACTGCTTCCAATGCATGCTTTGCTTTAGGCCTCCAGGCCCAGTCCATCATATTCCATCAATATTTAGTCAAACCAGGCCTGCAGGACCAAGTCCCCCTAATCCACCAAAATGGGGGGGGGGGGGGGGGGGGGGGATGGATGGATTTTGATGGAGTGGAGGAGGCTAGGGTTAATAAAAAAAAACCAAGTCAATCACAAGTCAAGCAGGAGGTCGTGGGTTTGAGTCCTACGGGAGTAAACCTTCAAATTTTCAAACAAGCTATCAGACATGCCTGAGCGTACAATGCTTATAAATAACATAAATTAAAGGGAATATACAACATTTGCAAACATCGAAAAATAAAACTACCAAGTTTTTATGAAATACCTTACTAGGATGTTGGTTAATAACAGTCTAAAGCATCCTGTAAACTTATGGCACCTGGTGTGAAGTCATTTTCAAGAAAATAGTATTTTTGTAAAAATTTCCAGCGGTGGTCGGCCGACCACCGTTGGGGAAACCTAACTATTTTTCAACCACTGCTCCAAATTCACCATTAATTCAGTCCAAATTTTGTTCGCTATTGGTTACATGTTCATGAACGGGTGCAGGCCAGCTAGACTGGTACCCTTACCTTACAATTTTCCAGCATCTGTAAATTGATCCATTTTATATTTAGTGGAGTCGGGGAACCAGACTACTTGAACAGTTTTGTTTTTCTTGGTTTTTCCAGCATTTTCGAACACAAAACTTCAAACATGTCAGTGTAACAATATTTGATCTATTATACTAACCCCTCAAATAGTTCATTTCTGAAAATTACAGCAAAAGCCAATGATGTATATTCCCTTTAAGAGTAAAACCCACTATAACAATCTAGTAGGACTATTATGTGTAACAAAACCATTCTTTTTTCATTTTTAATCCAGTTCTGTGAACTAACTTGTGAATAATACAATTATGATCCCCAAAAAATGGGAGATTAATTTTGTTAGAAATTTTTTGTGATCATTTATTTTGTTTGATTGCAATTAGAAAGTCACAACAATACTGGTTTTGTCATTTTTTTCCCCACAAGATTTTGGTTTTGAATTTTGATAAAAGTCTAATGACGAACTATGTGTCAAGGTGCCGGATCTCTGTCATATCTGTGTCAACTTTACAACACTGCAAATATTATATACAAAACAAATGAATCTTAAGTGAGCAAGATGGAGTAATCTTTTGTTGTGAAAGCACCACGGTTTTAACATTTTCTGAAGCAGTTTTGACCAACTACTGAAAATTCACAACATCATTAGTATTTAAGTACATGCGCTTAAAGTATCTCAAGGTACTCTTCTCCAATATTTCTGTACATTAAATAGTTCCCCAATAAATGTATTCATCCAATCAATTTTTTCTCTGAATATTTTCTAATAAACCTGAAACTTACTCTCTATTTTAGTAGGTTCTATGAGCTACTTCAAGTGATCTAGTAGATGTTCCCCTAAAATTCATGCTGTGTTTGCTGTTTATAATTTAGTCTCCCGACGAAGCCTAGAGCAGGCTAGACAAAACGTTGAGACCAAAGACAAGTTCTTTCAGAACTTAAAGCAGGACTGTTCTTATCAGAAATCAAACTACTTAGCGAAAGTTGATAATAAGCAGGACAAGTTCTTTTGAGAACTAGATATCTACTGAGCAGTAGTTATTACCACATGATGTTACCGCAAACCCAAACGATAATTTAGGCACCATTTAAGCACCATTTTTGTTAAAAATAGAGACAATTAGTTAGTTTTAAAACGATTGGATTTGCCAACCACGTGATTTTCCTGACTACCTCTGCTCCTAAGCAAGGCAAAGAGAATAATTAATAACTTCAGAGCTACACGTACATACCAATAGCGCACAGAACAAATAATAGTACTGTTAGTGTTATTATGCCTTATACAGGGTGGTCCCAAAACAAAGTTTACACTTTTTCTAAATTGAAGAGACATGTTGAAATTGTTTTTAAGATATTCCTAAACTACAAGATCTTGGTTGTATATGGTGAAAACGGTCTTGAAAATAAAGCTCAAGTTAAGAAATAGCGGCAATTTAACAGAAGACTGGTCAAAAACTAGTTTGTCCACGTCTATGGCAGTCATGTAGACCGAATTACAATTATTGCAGTTCTTTGTCCATGCAGTGCTATTGTGTTGACCATATCTTATAGATTTGCGTGTGGATAAACTGGTTTTTGACCGTCTTTCTTAAAACCATCGCCATTTCTTAATTTAGGCTTTATTTTCAGCGCCGTTTTCACCATATACCACAAAGATGCGGTAGTTTAGGAATATCTTGAAACAATTTTAACGTGTCATCCCCAATTTTAAGAAATCTACGTCTGACCATAGAGCAAGAACCCAAGGAGTCAGAACTCTTGGGCGATTTACATTTTGACCATTAACATACCAATCCCTCGGGAGTGTCTATAGCTACAGCACTGTGACCGCAAGCCTCGACCATTCAAAGCGTGAATGCCAGCGGTCTTTGAACACAATGATCGTCGCCGCCTTTTTAGTTGGTAACCAACAACCTCCCTATATGCTGCATAATAAGTCATGTCACGTCGCTGCTCTTTTTTGAAAAATATATTTTACGACAAGATAGGTTATTACAACTGCGCAGTTGTTAGATGTGAGTTATGAACTCAAGTTAGCAATGTGCAGTTGTTGGTGCTTAAAAGCGTTATCTGTCCCTGTAATTTGGAGATAAATTGGATTTCTTTCAGATAAGTTTTCATGTATTTTCAGACATTTTAATTGGCAATATATCATTGATGACGAAATGTGTTTTTTTGGGAAAATTTCACAAGTTTCACACTAAAGGTACAGAGCATTTTGTTCTTCATGAAATGATTGTTTCAGTGAAGTTGACCACATTTATATACAGTATCATCCAACTGCGAACAAACACTTCAACATCATTCATTTTTAGCGATGTATGACAACTGCGCATGCGTATTTACCATGGTACTGTCTACAAAGCCATGCAAACTCCTTTTTGGCATTAGTGAGTGCGGATCTCTATTGTGTCGAGATTAGCGTAGTGAGCAACTGAGCAAGCTGGCGCCAGGTGCTTTCTATTGTAGCTTTCGAGCGCGGCGACCATCATTTTACTTTTGAAGTCTTGGAGTACGAACTCCTTGGGTCCTTGCTCTATGGTCTGACCAAGTGTAAATCTTATTTTGGATCACCCTGTAGTTTTCAAGACTTTGGAATACAAGATATCAAACAATACTAGAAATTACAATATAAGTACATGTACATTGGATAAGGATATAGGCCTACATGTACATGTACTGAAAATACCAATTACAAGAAGTTAGAATAAAAGTACTTGTACATTAAGTACATATACATTGGATAAGAGTATACTCGGAATACCAACTACAAGATATTAGAATACAGGTACATGTACATGTATACGTGTACATGTACATGTATACATGTACATGTACATGTACATGTATACGTGTACATGTACATGTTTAGGTACATGTACATGTACATGTATACGTTGAAAATATCTACCTAATGTCACACAAATTTTAATTCACTGCATAGTAAACTTTGAGTACAAGGTACATGTATATATGGCATTTCACATGCATACATGTATGTAGTTAATTTAAAATAGTTTATATTGTGGACTTGTATTTCTACTGATAGCACATTTAACACAGAAAGTCTGGCTAGTGCATGCAACTACAAGACATTGCACACTACAATTCTGTGGTACAGCTATCGAGGACAAAAATTCCACATCATATATTTAACACATGATCAATGCACATTTTTGACATTCCAAAATCGCTATGTTAAAGCTATAGTCCATCCATCATTTGCAGCTATCCAAAAAGTAACTGATGTAATTATTGTTGAAAAGCGTATTTGGTTTAAAGATAGTAAGGGGACTAAACTCCCTGTGAAATTATTCTTTCTGGCAAGCTGTCATTTTGAAGAAATCAATGAAAAAAAGCCATTTCCAACATTGCGTCTTTAGAAAGTATGCTTTTCAACAATAATTTCGTCAGTTACTTTTTGGATAGCTGCAAATGATGCATGACATTTTGGCTAGTTTTGAATGCATGACATTTTAGCTAGTTGGCTGTTTCTCTTAATTAAGCACATAATTTCGGTGCTTAACAAATACCTGGGATTAGCAGCTCCGTAAGGCTTTTTTAAAAAAAAGGTATAGTGGACACAATAAGAGGGCGCTGTTTTGAGTGAGTAAATTTGGGTAAATACAAAAGAGTTTACCCATTCAAAATAGCGCTCCTGGTGTGTCTACCATTTCTCAAGAGGCCTTCCTGCTTAGCAAAAAAGTATTGGAGAGTTATGGTTCATCGTCCACTAGATTCACGTCCGTCATCTCCGCATCCTTCGGCTTCGCGCTCACGGCGACGTGAACCTCAGAGGGCGACCTCAGCTCGTCTCCCTCGCTCGCGTCATCCTGCCCGTTGCCAGGTTTACCCTGGGGTGCCGGTGGGGGTTCTGTGTCCTCCAGCACCGGGTATTCCTTGATCTTCGTATCCCCGGTGACGCGATTCACAAAGCTCATCTGAAGCGATTAAAATGTAAATCATATCATATAATTAAAGACACAAAACAAAAGACAACATAACACCAACACAGGCGTGGTTTTGAGACCAGATATTTTAAGACACAGACACATTTTGGGTGATACGCCATTTCAGTTGACCTGATTACCACATTGTAAGGGCATTGCTGGTTTTTTATTTTTCATTGAAATTTCGAGAAATTATAAGGGAAATTTGAGATTTTTTGTACAATCGCTTCAGAAAGAAAACACTGTCAGACAATTTAACCCTAACCCCCAAAAGAGTTCATCTGGGTAAAGTACCACATACCACAAAGTACTACAAAAATAATGTATGCAGGTAAAGGGCCTGTCACATTATATGCGCTCTCATAGGAGACCTTATCGCAGCGAGGACGCAATAAAATGACAACTTTCTGTCTCAAAGAAGCTCAAGCTACGCTCATACTTTGCTCTTCCCGCACTTACGATGCGTTCAACTCGCTCTCTATGCGCCCCTGTCAAGCTCAATTACTCGATCTAGTCGCTGCCGCTGCGCCGTCACTGCGCCCACACTACGCCCTGCTCGCTGTTGATACGTCCTAGTAGCATGCGTTGCGCTCTATATTCGACCAAAATACGCTCATGTGACGTCACTTGCACTGTATAAATACCACGACAAAACGGTCAATACAAAGTCCAGTTTAAAAAAATTATTCTACAAGTTCATCGCAGTCGAGTAACTCGAGTTACTTTCTCATGAAGACTACGTCGACTGCCTTGCGCCTAAGCTGCCTCAATGCCATTTCAATGTCGCACGATTCACGCTCGCACAGCGCTCGAGTTGCGTCATTACGGTGCCCTGACCAGAGCGCAAAGGTGTTGCGATTGTTTTGAGCATGTTCAAAGACCTTGGCGCTCATCGAAGACCATTAAGACCCTCTGGCGCCCATCTGGCACCCATCTGGCGACCTATGTAGTTGTTGCTGCGTTCTAGTAGTTGATGTTGCGCCCCAGCTATTTTTCAAGGACGCAGTGAGAGTGCATATAAGATCGCAGACAGTGTGACAGGGCCTTAACAAATTGAGTGATGTGCCCACTTATATGCTGAAGTACTGCATACTACAGTTTACTACTAGTAGTATTTTGTAGCTTTAGGTGAGGTAAGGGTTAAAGAACAACTGCAAAAAAAATAGTGGGGGGGGGGAAATAATGGAAATGATGAACACACAAACAAAATTAATGGGGAACTTTTTCGCTTGTTCCACTTTCGCACAGTAGATCAAGCAAAAACAACTCACATACTGAAAGACCATACATACAACAAAAGCAAGGAGAAAATCAAGCTTTTTTGGGGGCACTGTATGCAGATAAATAATGGGTGGACTTAAGGCTAGAAGAATGAGGAAAAAAAACGGGGTCCAGTTTCTTGGAGAAGCTAAGCAGAATAATATGGGCTCTGTGCACAAGTACCCCCTCAACGGTAGGAAAGAGAGAGTTGGGGGAGACCACTGGCAGAGACATTTGAACACACTGCCGATAACGCTTGACGCTCGCGCGAAGACGCTACGGCTTTGTGTACATTCAAAATAGAATTGGTAGTGCGTAATTCGCATCATACGGCGTAAACCAGTGCGCGCACGTGGTGTGTCGCCACACTGGAGCTCTCAAAAAAGGGGTCAAATAGCGCCCTCTCTGTTCACGCACGGAGCCCATTGCTGAGCAGATCTAGATGATTAGGAAAAAAACAACAACAAAAAACACAGAGAAATCGTCACAAGCGCTACACAGAAGCACCGCACGCAATTTAGCCAGGTAACATATATTTGCTAAGAAAATATTTTTGTTGAGCATATTTCTTAGGTTAGCATCTTCATGCAATTGGCCCCAGACCACTGTTAGTAGACAGTATAAACTAAGGTAACAAAAAACAATGAGAACAATAATCAAGCCAAGAAAAAAAACAGCTATATGTACTCGTCTACTAGGAACAAAAGGAGTATAAACACAAAAAATATTTTGAACAATTAAATCAGGAATTTTCCACTAGTCAATGCATGCTGCTGATACTAACTGTGAAGTTTTAGATTGTAAAAAATCATATGGAGTGTTTGAGGGGCTTCATGGCCAGCGGGCCCACGTCCTCCAGTTCTGGGGTCTCGGGCGCGGACACCAAGGGGTACTCCCGGATAGGCTGGTGAATGGAGCGACCCTGGTATGCTGCCTGTCAGGGGAGAATGGGAGAGATAAAGGGGTACGTGGCCAGGGGTAAGTGGATGGATGGAGGTTGGATGAAAGGGTGTCATTTGGATGACAGAGAGGGGCGAGAGGGGTACAGGACAAGAGGTAGGGTGCATGGGAGGGGCGAGTGGAAGGGTGGAGGTTTGATCAAAGGGTGTCATTTGGATGACAGAGAGGGGTAAGAGGGGTAAAGGACAAGAGGTAGGGGTGCATGGAAGGGGCGAGTGGAAGGGTGGAGGTTCATTAAAGGGGTGTTATTTTGGAATGACAGAGAGGAGCGAGAGGGGTACAGGACAAGAGGTAGGTATGCATAGGAAAAGCGAGTGGAAGGGTGGCGTTTTATGACAGAGAGGGGTAGGAGGGGTACAGGGCAAGAGGTAGGGGTGCATGGGAGGGGCGAGTGGACGTTTGATCAAAGGGTGTCATTTTGGAAGACAGAGAGGGGTGAGAGGGGTACAGGACAAGAGGAAGGGTGCATGGGAGGGGCGAGTGGAAGGGTGGAGGTTTGATCAAAGGGTGTCATTTTGGAAGACAGAGAGGGGTGAGAGGGGTACAGGACAAGAGGTAGGGGTGCATGGAAGGGGCGAGTGGAAGGGTGGAGGTTCATTAAAGGGGTGTTATTTTGGAATGACAGACAGGAGCGAGAGGGGTACAGGACAAGAGGTAGGTATGCATAGGAAAAGCGAGTGGAAGGGTGGCGTTTTATGACAGAGGGGTGAGAGGGATACAGGACAAGAGGTAGGGGCGCATGGGAGGGGTGAGTGGAAGAGTGGAGGTTTGATCAAAGGGTGTCATTTTGGATGACAGAGAGGGGTGAGAGGGGTACAGGACAAGAGGTAGGGTGCATGGGAGGGGCGAGTGGAAGGGTGGAGGTTCATTCAAGGGGTGTTATTTTGGAATGACAGAGAGGGGTGGAGAGGGGTAAAGGACAAGAGGTAGGGGTGCATGGGAGGGGCGAGTGGAGGGGTAGAGGTTTGATCAGAGGGTGTCATTTTGGGTGACAGAGGGAGCAAGTGGGGTACAGAAGAGGAGGGTAGGGGCGAGGCAGGGGCGAGTGGATGGGTGGAGGTTGGTTCGAGGGGTGTTATTTTGGAATGACAGAGAGGGGTGAGGGGTACGGGACAAGAGGTAGGGGTACATGGGAGGGGTGAGTGGAAGGGTGGAGATTTGATAAAATGGAAGCATTTTGGATAGTAGCAGGGCCAGAGAGGGATCAGTGGGGTACAGGTGAGGGGGTTAGGATGCATGGTAGGGGTATGTGGATAGGTGCAAGGGGATGGGAGAGGGTAGAATTAGGGGAAGGGGAAAATAAGATGTGGCAAGCGAATTGAGGAATGATTAAGGGTACAAAGGGTTAGACCAATGTTGGTACACACAGCACAGTTGGGACAGGTTACAAAAAGGGGGTACAGGGAGCCAGATTGGTTACGGATGGGTGGGGTTGGTGCAAAGATTTGGGTAGGGTAGAGAGAAAGTGGTGGAAAAGGGATGGACAAGAACAATCTCAATGAAAACATGGAAATGACTTGAGTTACGTCGACGAGCAAATACAAGAATAGTGAGGACAACAACGACCCCCCAGCTTAAAACCCTGAGGAAAGTCAAAAACGCATTGATTGGCATAGTCGTGAAGCGAGATGTTTGGCTAGGTTAGAGATTAACAAGCTGAATATTAGGCAAAAGCAGTGAATATAAACCACGTAAGGTGTGTGAAAAGTTGTACACTGAGTTTAATATCAGCCACCTGTACATTTTTTGGAGATAGATTTCAAGAGTCTACTTTTAACTATAATGCGTAGGGCGTTATACCTTGATCTGTGTCCATGACAACCGGCTGCGCGTCTCCCGGTCCATACCGTACACGACGGCGTTGACCAGTCCCTGCAAGGGGGAGGTCAGTGCATGGAGAATGACCAACGCAAAGATGGGATGGCCGGGATTGGCCGCGTTCTGTATTCTGGGGAAAAAAAATAAAGAAGCAGGGTTTAAAAAAACAACCTTTTCCAGCAATAATGAATGGGTCAAATTATAGGTTTTGCCCTTCACCGACGTTTAAACACTGTATACTAAGTGTGTTACCTCCCGAGTGAAAGTTGGAAAAAATCACTCTTACCACTCGACCACCGAGCTAACGGGATCGGTTAAACGTCGGTGAAGGGCAAAACCTATAATTTGATTTATCACCGCGACGCAAAAATTCCATCTTATAATAATAATGAATGGGATTGTACCATCAAATTTTACCCTAATCTTTTTAACTTTTTCTGGTGAAAAAAATCTTAAAATTACCTCCAAAATTACTTGACACATTGTTCGTTTGCAGTAAATTCATTAAGTGTTTACCAGTGAATTAACTGATTTGAGTGATACCTGTTTATCAATGGAAAGACAGAGAGGGCCAAGTAGATGAAGGGATAAGCTTGTAGAGGTCGGATCTCGGCTTTCAAAATCTGCCGGTTTCTCTCTATCTCGGGCTCGTAAGTTCCCTGCCAACTCTTGACCTGATCAACAGAAGCAAAAATGAAAGACAAAAGAAACGTCAAAACATTTCACATTTTTGAGTCCCCCTCATCCAATTAAACACTAAACAACTCTCACACGATTGTCCATAATAACCAATTTTGTTAACCTAATCATAAACTGGCTGGTCAAGACCCCAAGGCCGACCAAGGACATCCTGGGTCGAGCAACTGGGACCGCCCAGCAAGGTTGACAGGCTCTGGAACCAGGCTTCAAACTGCGGACACAGGAGATCAGCGCGACGGACCCCAGATGTCTATGCGGTAGAGTGAGTGAGTGAATCATAAACAAATTACCGACTTAATAATTGACAGATTACCAGTGTTTGTGAATCACACTAGTTTAACTAGCATTACTAGGATTACTAACTTAATGATTAACAGATTACCAGTGTTCGGGAATCAAACTAGGTTAACTAGCACTAGTTTGGGCAACTGATGGTTTACCTTTTTGTTGAGAATGAAGATGATGTAACTGTACATGATGAACATGGCTATGATGATGATGAAGAGTGGACCGTACCATCTGCAAATAAACATACAAAGAGGTTGATGAAAAATCTAAAGTTTTAGTTCTAGAACTAAAGTTCCAGCTCAAGTTCTAAGGATATTTGCCTCTAAAATTGTGTACATTTAAGTCGTTCTTATTGGGGCAAAGAGGTATGAAGCCTTCAGTTTGGCTTTTGGACCAAAAAAAAGTATAAATTTAAAAACAAAATAGGCGAGGTCTTACGTGAATGTACACTTGGGAGAAACTTTCCTTCATCTGCAATAAATACTTACGTGAAGAATCGCCAGGCAGTAGATTCCTCTTTAATCCAGCTATGGTAGTGAGAAAATAAGAGAGAAAATGGAACAATATTAAACTCTTGAACGAGAATCACATCTATAACTTAGATGTCCATCTTTAAAACTGTCTAATTATTTGGAAATTTGCCATGAAGGGCCTGTGCAAGTCCAAGAAGAATCGTTTATGATTTTTATCTGCTCTGAGCAGTTCCGACATTATGAAAAGAAGTGTGATGTCCATAACAGAGCCAATGTAAAACCATACGGTAGAGCACAGGATTCATGATCGTGAGATTGTGGGTTCGAGCCTCGCCGTGGCCGTGCGTGTTGTGCCCTTGAGTAAGGCGCTTTACCTCAATTACTCCTCTCAACCCAGGTGTTTAATGGGTACCAACAATATTCAATGCTGGGAAGGTAACAGACTCGCTGTGGAGGAGGTTCGGCGATCCCCCCACAGCAGCATTTCATGGACTCGAGTCTGGCCCAATCGCTTTGAAAGAGAGATGGGCACTCCGTTCCTGTGAACACAGGTTCGTCCTTTTTATGATATCTAATTAATGATTCAGAGATATGATGCAAAACTCCTAGTCTGTAATTTCCTCGACCACTACTACAGCAGAAGATGTTATAAGATTTGAAAAATATTGTTCAGGTTTATTCACTGAGCTCTTAAAAGCCAGGCATGCAACTTTGAAGAAACAAAAAACGAGGAAACTCCAATCTTTAAAAGACTTCGTGCAGTGTTTTCCAATTTTTAATGGCATAAGTGTGACGTGAAAAATGCAGAAACCAGCTGATCTCCAGAACAGTTGTATGCCTGAAAAGCTCTTTCACGGCCCCTATGGAACCTTCTCAGAACTTACCACCAAGCTCCAGCTGGCCCATAGTTATCTCCGATCAACGGAAGGAGAGATATAGCCAGCGCGACAGTCCAACAGACAATATGGTACAATCTGAAATACAACATATAAAGGTGGAACATTAACTTAGTGCACAAACTTTGAAAAGAAATATAGTATTTGCTAAACCCTTTATTCCCTCAGAGTTTGTTGTGAGGCTTTCTGAATCTTTCAAATTTTAAACCTTTGCAGTTTATAACCTACGGTTTTAATTTAGTAAACATAACATTAACCTATGACATTCTTTTATTATTTCATGATATATTATAAAACTTTTGACAACTTCACCAGGATATCGAAAAGGTCAAAAATGTGTTTCATCCTTCAAAAGGCGGAGGTTAATGGCCTAACTTTGATGTACTCTAAGGCAAGAGCAACTTAGGAAATTAGTCACGTAAAAGCATTCCAAATCTGGCATTTCTCCTACTTCAACTGTAACCTTCTATTGTAACACACCGGTATGACAGTTTACAAACTTTTATTTCCTGGAAGTTGTTTCACCTTGGAGGGTGACGTACGAGCGGTCAAAAAATCCCCAACTCCTGGATTTACAGGAAGACAACTCAAGGAAACAGGAAGTTCACTCACATTTCGTAGCGATCCGTCCTGATCATTTTGACGGTGATCAAGAACAGGTTGATGGTCAGGCAGGTAACCCATAGCAAGACGGCCCAATCTGCGATGAAATCGATAAACAAATCAATGAAATAAATAAAACACCTTTAAAGGGAATGTACAACCTTTGCTTTTGCTGCAATTTTCAGAAATAAATGGATTTGGAGGATTAGTATGTTATGGCAAATATTGTTAAATTGACTTGTTTCACGTTTTGGGCTTGTAGATGCTGGGAATACCAAGAAAACCAATCATGTTCTTGTAGTCTGGTCCCCCACTTAAGATGACACAGAGCAATTTGTAGACTTTGGGGAATTGTAAGGTCAGAAAATTAGTCCAACAGGCTTGTACATCTTCACAGGTGTGTGATCAATTGCAAAGAAAATGCGGAATAACTAAATATGAAAAATTAGGAGCCGTTTTTGAAAATAAGCAAGTTTTTTTCCAATGCTGGTCAGCTGACCAGTGTTGAAAAAATACAACTTTTCTTGAAAATGTCAGCACACCAGGAGCCATAATTTTACAGGATGCTTTAGACTGTCATTCCCTAACAATCCAGTGAGGTATTTCGTGATAACTTGATCATTTCGTTTTTTGATGTTTGCAAATGTTGTATCTTCCCTTTAAATAGACCAAACAATAATTGATTTTTTATACGATTAAAGGGAATATACATCATTTGCTTTTGCTGTAATTTTCAGAAATGGATGGAATTGGGGGGTTGGAAATATAAAGCAAATATAGTTACACTGACTTTTTGGAGGTTTTGGGATCGAAAATGCTATAAAAACCAAGAAAAACGATCATTTTCCTGTAGTCTGGTTCCTTGACTCCATATAAGAAGAAACAGAGCAGTTTACATACATTGGGGAATTGTAAGGTCAGGGAACCAGTCTAGCTGGCTCGTACCCGTTCATAGGTTTGTAATCGATTGCAAACAAGTGCAATGGTCAATTGGGGCCAGTATTTGAAAAAAAGCCAGTTGTTTCCAACGCTGATCGGCCGATCAGCGTTGGAAATTGATACAAAAATACCACTTTTCTTGAAAATGACAGTATACCAGGTGCCATAATTTTACAGGATGCTTTAGACTGTCATTTACCAACATCCTATTAAGGTATTTCGCAAAAACTTGGTAGTTTTATTTTTCGATGTTTGCAAATGTTGTATATTCCCTTTAAATGAAATGAAATGTTTACGTCAATATTCCGTAACTCTGACAAGATTTTTTTGTTTTGAAGTGTTGAAACGGAAATTTCTTACCCCAGAATGACAGCCAAAACGCCTCAAAGTCACACAACGGACCGTCTGGTTGCACATTGGCCTGCATAATCAAAGGATAATCATTGCAAGTTTTTAATTAACAGTTTACAAGTTTACAAGTCTTTTAAAGCCCAACTCCTTCGCCGTTATTTTTTTTTCTTGAAACCTTCCACACCACTGTGTACAATGTAGAATCAAGAAGCACATGCTTTGCATTTAAAAACTATCACTGGATCAAACATTTTGTGAAAGTAAGAGTGGTGGGCCCATAGAGCTCTATTAAATTACTAGAGCGCTAACTCCTCATTCTTGCGCGGGGAGACGCTTTGAAGCCGTCCTGGGCGCAGACATTTTGAATTCATGTGCGTGTTTGAAGAACACAATGAAATTAGATGGATTGAATTTTGAAAGTGTACTCTACATGCAACGCGCAAGTAGAACATACGCAAACAACTTAAACTCGTCAAGACAGTTCGAAAAACGTCACGGCAAAACGCATCTGCAGCACGCGTTGCGCTGTTTGCGTAGAGAAAAAAGAAACGCTCATTTGCTGATCGTACGTTTCGGTTTTGGGCGTATCGGCTTCGATGACGCACTGGTATGGAATACAAACGCAGATATGCAAATAGCCGTACAAAAGCCGTACAAAATTTTGAGTTTTCCATAGATTTGTGTACAAACATGGATGCGCCCATCAGGCATTACTTTGTACATCGAGTTAGCGATCTAGTAATTTAATATACATGTAGCTCTATGGGTGGGCCCTACTTTCCCCCCGAGTCCCGCAAATATTTTCGAAGCCCCCTGAAAGATTTGAAGGACCTGAGAAGTTTAGGTAAAAAACTGATAGGGCCGTCCAATCTCAAATAATTTAGTATTTGATTACTCGAAACTGCGTTGGACTGAATATTCGGATGTTTGAAACTGTCAGCTGCAACTGCATGCGGAGCCAGTAAAAAGTTCCACGAAGAGTGTGCCGGTTAAAGTTACGTGCAACAATCGATCTGTAAAAGGGCTTTAACCTACAGAGTGAAAAATTAGGGCAGGATAACTTAATATGGTTTTTTTTAATGGTTATGTTTTCAAATATAACATTTCTAATATGGAATTAAAAAAAAACAATTAAGGCAGAAACCAACCATTAAATACGCTGTGCTATCAAAGAACGCTGCGATTGTTAGGTACAGGATCAGCCGCTGTACAAAAACCACATGCTTCTTGAACAGCCAGATGACTCCTATCATAAACAAACTGTGGGGAAAAAAAATAATAATAAGATGGTTGCGATCGGGGAATAAGAAACAATGCCAGACATTTGATCACTGCTCTCTCAAAGTTATTCAAAACAACTCTCATTAACATCACAATACATTATAACTATGTTAATATTGATACTTTAATATTGGCTAATGCTCTGTAAAGATGTTAATTTTGCAGTATGGATTTGCTTTTGAACCAAAACGGCAAAAAAAAATTATGGAAAGAATGTTGCATCCTGACGCCACTTTTTTCATCATACATTAATTCTCTCAATGAAGGTCAGTCATTGCAAAAATGTTGAAAGACATGAATCTGGGACTGAGAAACATTTCCGATTTTGTCACTTTGAAAATACTTTTTCAAAATACTTTGAAAATGTACTAAATTCTCAATAGACTTTGTACACAACCAAATAAGTGACACCAGGATACTTTTAGTACATGTACATAATGTTCATCCCAAAATATTGCAGCTATTTTAACATTTATTGCAGTCGGCTTTTTTTTTTAATTTCCCTTTTTTTTTACTCACCATCCTATTAGTGACAATGATGCCATTGCCTTTTTGACTCCAACAACTGCATCCTGCAAACGAAAAATGACAATTAACTGAAATCCAGGAAATAAATCAATATAATCATAAAAAAATAATACTTTTCATCAATCATTCAATAAATTTAAAACTCAGAAACATTTTATTGTCCATTTCATTAGCATTAATTAGTGAACCCTTGACAAGCATTCTGTTAAAAAATTCCATGGACAAAATGATTCATCATTATCATCATCATCAAGGTCACTCAAGCATGTCAAACAGTACACAAACAACGCACTGCACTGTCAAGTGGCGTGCCCGTGGCGCACAAAAAAGCAATGCTTTTTTCAACCTACACATTTTGCTTGATCGCCATCGAATAATGTACAAGCTATCCCGGCTTGATCAGTTGGTGTAACCACGCCATTCCCGACATCAGAAGTAAAATTCTCCCCTCCAAAATCGGCACCATCTGTCGCCATCCTCACTCTAGATCCTAGCCTACTAGTACTACTAGTACTCCTCCTACAAACTAGGCCGGCCTAGCTCTTACACCGCACCGGGCTCGGTTTTGTTGATTAATTGTCACTGGTTGCTTCCTTAGAAAACCTGTTTAAATTCCGTAGGACACCAGCGAATCCTGACCTTTGACACAATTCAAGATGGCGACCTCCATGCCAGAACCGATTTTTTTATTTGGTGAATCGTAGGTAATTTTTCTTTGATTTCTTCGGGTAATCAGTAAGTATTTTATTCCATAGACTTGGGTTACTAACATTTATTACTCATTGCAACACACCAGGGTATCATTAGTTGATTTAGCGTTTAAGAAAGGTAACAAAATTGGTGATCGATTGTACCGACAATTTGGTTGCAGTATATCACGCGTTGTAAGAATATAGAGGGCGCCCTTCTGCTTCCATGTACATTGTACAATTAAAGTGTGCACCCAAAGATTGCCACAAAACTGCATGAGTTGCAACTGGCAACTGGGAAAGAATTCCATATACATGTAGACATTGTGTCTTCGTGAACTAATTTTTCCCTGCAATGACCCATCCCAGGCCAAAAAAAAGAATAGTTCTGCTTCCGGTTACCCGACCGACCCTATTTTTAGGCTGCGACCCTAAAAATTTTATCGGCAATTCCAAAAAAAAAAAAAAAAAAAAGATTGAATAAATAAAAATAAAATTTTGTTGTCTTTTCTGTCTTCACAAAATACCTCTCAACAACCCTTTTGCATCAAAAAATGCTTGTATTTATTTGTTTTCTTACTTACATTCGTTTTTTTTCAAAAGAAACCTCCGTTACTTTTACAAATTCGCTTTGCGATATAAACGATGTCCGTACGGTGACTATATCACGCGGCGACGACTGGTTCCCGCCGCGCCGCACAAGGGCCAATTTAGAAGACATGATGAAAATGCGGTAACCGACTAGCTATGCGATCGCGACCGATAGTGCGCTAGCAGTGCAGGCCACTGTCAACTGGTCGGAGTCGACATCGTGAAAAATGCCAAGAAAACACCGATGGAGAAGGAACAGTTTTGCAAGTTAATTTACAGAATTGATCTAGCTTGTCTGTGTATGTATTTTCTGTGTTCAAGAGTTCATTTTGAGATCGCACTACTCGTATTTGGAGTGATACATGCCGCGTGTTTCCCGAAATTTTTGACCGTGAAAACAGGTCTGTTGGCCCATGGCGGGCCGCTCGCCACACATGCTCGCATCACACACCTCGGAGTTTTGGCCAGCTCCCCGCGTCTTGACTAGCGTTGTGCATATGGTGCGAACGACCTGAATTTTCCATTATTTTTTGAAATTATCGAACGTAAATATATTGACAATAATTAAAGGTAGGTTTTATTCACTTTTTGTTGCCATTTCGTGTATAGCTTTCGTAGTGCAATGGAAATAGTTCAGGCTAAAACTTTGCATATAATTGAATACCCCATTCAATCTGCATAAAAAAAATTGGCAAAAAAAAAAAAATTTCCGACCGACCGACCCTATTTTTGAAAGGCATGTAATCGGAAGCAGAACTATTTTTTTTTTGGCCCCATCAGCCATCAGAACTGAAAACATGTCCTAAAAATTGAAAAGTCAAATTTAGGCCTAGGCCCTATTGAAGCATTTACTAGTGAGAAAACACTTTGAATTTCTCATACACATGGTTTCAAGTGACATCCGTACATGTATATAGAATTCTTTCCGGCAACTTCCTGAAATTTTAATTGTGAAAATACTGGATTTTAGTGGATTATAGTTCTGATTTGTTTGAACTGGGGCGCTAGTACGACTGAACATGGAGGAATCCTTGGACTGACCAAAGACAAATTTGAACAAGAGTTCCAGAGGCTTAGGGTACTCTAAGCCAGATGAAAAAAAAATGGGAAATTTCACCATTCCTGGACATTACTAGCCTCATTACAATGTCAGTGGTCTGATATTCTCCTTTGTTCTTTCTACTGCAGATTTTGAAGGTTTCAAGTGAATTGTCCAGCTTCAGAAATCAGCAGACATTGGTTAACACATGACATAGATGATTTAGACTACATTAGGATTTAGAAAAGAAAAAAAAGAAGAAATTAAGAAGACAGTATTTTTGTTAACTGTTCTCACCACAAGTGAACACACACACATAAAACAAAAACTTCAGCGAAGATTTCCTGCTGGAACATTGATCAAAGAAATCAACACCAAAGATGACGACAGCGGCAAGACCAACCTTTGACCCGGCCAGGGGAGGTCGGGGCAAAGGTGAGGGTGGTGACCTTAGCGCTATGTCCAAGCAGTACTCCAGTCGAGATCTGCCTGCCCACACCAAACTCAAGTACAGGTAAAGTTCTACAGAAGCTGTTCTCGTTTCATTAAATAACCCCTACCCTGTAAGTTGACAGATCTTGCCATAAGCCCCGCCCACCTTTAGTCTGTGTGCATATCTGGGTACTTGTGGGCAAGTTTTACCAAGCTACCTTGATGTAATTAGAGCGCTGTGATCCAATGGTTACGGTGTTCGACTCCCGTGCCATGGTACGTGGGTCAGAACCCTGATGGAGAACATAATGCTGGTGTTCTTGGGCAAGACACTTTACTACAATTGCCTCTCTCCACCCAGGAGTATAAATGGGTACCTGTGAAGGTAGAGACCAGAATGCGCTGATCTCGAGCTGCTGCAAAAACTGGTCTCGTGACCTGATGAACAGGGTAATAATTGTGGAGCGCTCTGAGACCTTTGGTCTAAAACGCCAAATACGCACCACATTAGTATATTATTATAATTGGTCAATGCTCACCGTTAAATTGACCCGCAGAAAGTTCCAGTTACGACGTTTTGGAAGTTTGACTCGGACTTAATTTCAAAATTGTGAGCTTGCAAAAAACATCTTTTCGTAATGATAACGTAATGATTTACGTTATGTCGTCTTGTCTTTGCAGGCAAAGCGGGCAGGAAACAGTGGACGAAGTGAGCCGTCGCGACATGCGCAAAGAGCTGGAGGAGAGGGAACGAGCCGCGGCCAGAGAGAAGAGGGGAGATCGGGGCAACAGGGGTAAGGAAGCAACTAATTTACCCAGACCAGAGTGGTCTAACTTGAGTCCCAATTTCTGGTGACTCTAAGGTACCGGTACATAGGAGCAAGGTGTAGACTTAAAGGGAATATACAACATTTGCAAACATCGAAAAATAAAACTACCAAGTTTTTACAAAATACCTTACTAGGATGTTGGTAAATGACAGTCTAAAGCATCCTGTAAAATTATGGCACCTGGTGTGAAGTCATTGTCAAGAAAATGGTATTTTTGTATACTTTTCCAACGGTGGTCAGCCGACCACCGTTGGAAAAACCTAACTATTTTTCAACTATGCTCCAACTTTACACTTTTTTCAGTCCAAATTTTTGTTTGCTATTGGTTACATGTTCATGAACGGGTGCAGGCCAGCTAGACTGGTTCCCTTACCTTACAATTTTCCGGCATTTTAAATTGATCCATTTTATCTTTAGTGGAGTCAGGGAACCAGACTACTTGAACATTTTCTGTTTTTCTTGGTTTTCCCAGCATTTTCGAACACACAACTTCAAACATGTCAGTGTAACAATATTTGATCTATTACACTAACCCCTCAAGTAGTTCATTTCTGAAAATTACAGCAAAAGCCAATGATGTACATTCCCTTTAAAACAAATTTCATCTTTTTTTTGTCACAAAGAATCATCCAGCAACAGCAGCAGTAGTAGCAGCGCCAAAAGACCTCGCATTGAGCAGATCCCAGCGGCTAATTTGGACGCTGACGATCCGATCGATAAAGATGACGATGATGATGTAAGTCTGACATTTTCCAAAAATGTTGAGAGGCATAAGTATAGTTAATTAAATATTGCTGGAAGTTCCAAGAATGTTCTGCTAATTGTTGGATTTTATATTTTTTTATATATTTTCCAGAGTGACGACTCGGATAGTGATGATGACACCGCTGATCTCCTTGCTGAACTCAACAAGATTAAGAAAGAGCGAGCCTTAGAACAGACCCGAAAGGCAAGTTTAATGGAAATCTTTTTGAAAATTAAGGGGGAAGAGTGTTGTGGAAATACTAAGGAAAAATCATACAAATCCAAACAATGGTCCGCGAGGCACTGCATCATGGAGTTCGCAACTTGGGAGAAGTTTGAAGACGTACCATTCATGGTGACCAACTGCACATTTTTATGAAATTGTGCCCAAATCTTTTTATCCCACTGGCTTTCAAGCCAGACAGGGGGATATTGCGATCATCGATCATGTATGCATGTGTTTGTGTGTGTTCCATTTCACTGTAAGTTCAGTCATCAATCTCAACCAAACTTGAAAGGTGGTCTGTGGAGAGAAGGCCGATGTCAGAAAAATCCTTTCCAATATGGATATTTACGAGGTCTCTGGAGAGGTACTAATGAGTCCAGACTTGTATTCGAGTCACGAAACATCGAGTCCAAGTCCGAGTCCGAGTCACATTTCTCGAGTCCAAGTCCGAGTCCCGAGTCCTCCAGGTAGAGTCCGAGTCACGAGTCACAAAGGTCGAGTCCAAGTCCGAGTCACGAGTCACCTCTAACATTATATTGGAAAAACGTACATTTCATGATTTTAGGGAATTCAGAGATTCAGAGTCACCTTTGATGTAGTATTGGAAATACGTACATTTCAGGTGCTGTAAATTTCCATTTTTTGCCCACAGCTTTTCTCTAATTTTCTCTGGAAATGAGGAGTTCATTTGCAAAAACAGTTATAAAGGCAATTCAGACAAAACTGGTATTGGCCTAACTGGCATTTCTCTTGAAGTTAAGATTCATATCGCGTTATCGCGATGCGACAGCAATACACGTGTGAACGACAGGACGTCTGACAAGAAAAGTCTGGTACCTTACCCTATCAATCTGGCACCAATGCAGTATTACATGCGGATGGCGGGGTACAAGTTTCGGTAAATTGAGCGCCCTGTACATGTATTGCACAGTAAAGAAAACAATCGACTTACGTATGTGCGCGTGTTCAGTGCGGTAATTTCCGTCGAGTCCGAGTCCGTAGCCCCGAGGCCGAGTCCAAGTCCGAGTCGTAAGTCAAAGTGACTTGAGTCCCAGTCCGAGTCATTAAAAATGTGACTCGAGTCGGACTCGAGTCTGAGTCCGAGTCACGAGTCATACAAGTCTGCTAATGACTCTAACATATATTAGTCTGGTGTCTCACCGAAACGCTCCATTCAACCCAAACTCCCCATTCAACTGAGAACTGGTACCTGCCGGGTGGACAATCAAGGCCATCAAATTGAAAACTTAAAATTGTCCTTACTACATGTAACTGCCTGTACATGTACATGTATACAAACTGGCAGGATGCCAGGGGGATCGCGCAAGTTTTACTTGTAGTATTTTTGTATATTTCGTTTCTGTACAGGAACAAGAAAAGAAACTTGAAGAGGAGAAGATCCGAACGGAGAACATTTTGAGTGGCAACCCGCTGATGGCGAATTCCAACAAGAGTGACTTCAAAGTCTCCAAAAGGTTAGCTGCTAAGCATATTTACTTAGCACAGAAACATTTTGCTCAACAGAAAACGGTTACCAGCTTAATTTCGTGATGTCAGTAGCGTGTGACTGGTAGTCAGCTAAATATTTTTTGCTAGGCATGCAAATTCCATTAGCAAGATGTAACCAGGTCGAACAAATTGAGTCTTAAGGACTTTATTTTATGCCTTTATTTGTGTAGATGGGATGACGATGTTGTTTTCAAGAACTGCGCGAGAGGTGAGGACGACAAGAAGGAAAAACCATTCATCAACGATACGCTTCGTTCTGAATTCCACAAGAGATTCATGGACAAGTACATCCACTGACAGGGCCAATCCAATCTGTTCTATAAATCTTTAAGGTGCATTTTTTTTGGGGGGGGGTGGGGTTGGGTGGTCAGGGCCCGCATTTAATGGGAGTGGATCTGTAGTTTTTGTCCAGTACCATCTCACACTGGACTGTTAAGCATTTAGTCATAAGCCCCGCCCATCTTTGGTTTATGTAGATTTCTCAGAGTGCTTGTGACCAATTGTGACCAATTGTGACTGAGCTACCTCGGTCACGTGACCAAGTCTTGATGTCATTGGTCAATGGGAACTATTTGATTGGCGGCCAGGAAGGGTCCGTTTGGGTTGTCAAAGGTAGGGTAGATCATTTGTCATTTGTGCATTTTTTTCGTTTGAAGCAATAATGTGCGCAAAATCTAAAGACGGGTGCTGGACAACTAACCTGATGAAGTTTTAGCTGTGTGAATGCTGTATATTCCGAGAAAACAATATTCTAGGATCTCGGTTTCAATTCAAAAGTTGCCGAGTCATGTTTTGAATTGCGCCCGAAATTGGCATTCGAGACACATTCTCATTCAGCCGATTCCAGCTAAGCGATGTCAAGCACTGCCCTGACGAATAGTAGCAACTGTGCGCGCATGTGCGTCGTGTCAACGATTGTGCACACCCGTTCAAGGAGTCGCCCAAGTACAACCCAACTACTAATGGAAATTTCCAACGATGGGTCTGTAGACGCATCGTTGGAAAGGCCTTCTTTCATTGTTTAGTGCCACTACTATCTTTAAACCAAGTATGCTTTTCAACAATAATTTGGTCAGTTACTTTTTAAGTCTTAAACTGTCAATATTTGTCGATATTTTCTGTGGAATGGTTAAATAATTCTACTTTTTAGATCATTCCTAAAAACAGTGTTTGTATTTCTTCAGATTTTTTTCCTAGGTAGTGAGTAGATTACTGTAACATGTTTGTCGTCTTGTGATATTTTTTGTTTTTGTTTTGTTTGTTATTTGTGACCAAGCTGGATGTGTCAATGTGTGTAAATACAACAGTATTTCAAGTATTCAAGTTGTGTAGACATTTTGATTTGTGTGTGGATTGGGTATGTTTTCCCCTTACACCCTATTTTCAAGTTCTCCTAGATCCTCAGAAATTGGCCAGGAAGTTTTGGGTGGGATTTTGTAGGATTGAGGAAGGCAGAGCCAAGTATCAGGTCTTGGTTCTTCCCCCCCCCCCCTTCCCCCCCCCCCCTCCCCCCCGAAAGTTTAAGATTACAAAAATGTTATAATTGTCGTGTTCTTGCGTGGCAGAGTATTTTGGAGGATTCTATCCGGAAGGTTCGTAAAAAAAATACCTGGGATTTAGGATAAGGTAATCAACCCCATCAATCAAAATGCAATAATGAGTACAGAAGTAACCTGAAACATACCACAAATGATACAGAGTAACATTATTTCTTTCTTTGATTTATACATTACTGATTACAAATAATGGCAGTTAAAGCAATTTCTGGCATCAAATACTCGTTTGATATTTCCCTGATAATTAATTTGATATGGTTCCATGATTATTTTGGCTTTTACATGCCTAGCACTATGTCGATGAGCAAAGCGAGCGCCACTTCTAGTGGATATACCTACATGCTGTACGTAAAGAGTTGACCCACTTAACATGGATATCCCTAGTCGTTGCCCAAAACTGGCTTTGTGTTATTTTTGTCTACGTGCAGTTGGCATATAGCGCGCGCTGGCATGTACAACCAAACGACGTCAACGGTAGAGGGCGCTATGGACGAGACGAACCAAATCCGATAGCGCCCTCTACCGTTGATGTCGTTCGGCTGTGCATGCTGGCGCGCGCTATATGCCAACTGCACGTAGACAAAAAAGAAAAAAGCTGAACTAGGGCCAAGACTAGGATATCCCTTGTGAGGCATCTGACAATGTCCAAGGGCGTGAAATTTCAACCAAGAGTTACTTACATGTAGTTTTGAACTGCAACTTGTGAAAGATTAAACATGAATACACGCATAGAAAACTGATTACAGTACATGTAATTGTCAATACAACTTAAAAAAAAATTAAGTAAAGTCCGTCCAAATAAAGTACGTCTATATAAAATGCAAAAAAGCCGACATTAAATTTGGAAAACATAACATTTGTTTTCGATTTCAGAAATCAGTAGTTAGCATACAACTCTAGTGTAATCTATCTTTTTTTAAATTAAAACTTGGATTTTCTAAACACATCTGCTCTCCATATATTTAAACAAATAAATTTTGACAACCTGTAAGAATGTCCTTTTGCTAAATGGTTAAAAAAAATTAATTAATACTGAGGTGAAAATGTAGATATTTCATGTAATCATCTTTGGTGAACCTTTCAAAATAAGTTTGCATATAATTTTAAAATTATTCTACACTTTGGTTATGTGATGGTCCGAGTATATAGTTTTTCTAAAGCAAATAGGAAAAATGTCACTGTTTTTTTTAAAACAAACTTAAACCAAACACTTAAACATAAACAGAAATGTCCACACTGGAGAATTAACAAAAAAACTATAGTCAAATCAATGTAAAAGGAAGATTGGTTGTTTCTCAAACTGATTCAAATAAAAAAACTGTTAAATGAAAATAACTCAAACCCAAGGCCATGCAACATGCTGGGTACCAGGTAACTAAACTTCCTCAGAAAACAATATCATGCCATTTGTTCTGCAAATTTTTGACAAATATACTCCCCGGATTTCACTCGGGCAACGGTGAAAGTTTGCTAAAGAACAGAGTTACAAGTTTGGAGGATTGTCCAGCTCCGCCCAACTATCAATCTTGTTGGCTGCTCCTCTCTTCAGCATCAGTTCCTCCATCCGCCCCTCAAAGACACTGAAGATGCCGCCTTCAAATAACGACAAAAAGGAAAAAAAAAGCATATTTTGGGATTTAATAACTGCCCCTCTTCTCCAATTTATAAGTAGTACTCACTCTGCATAGTACTTGTACAAAGTACTACTAAAATATACTGCTGAAGTGTACACAATACGCCCTAAGTAGTACTTTGGCTCTTATTCTACTCAAGTAGTACTTATACTCAATACTACTCACGGATAACTCATACCAAATCTTGCTCACTCCAATAATATTCAAGTGACTCTTGTGTTGCAGTTCTACTCATTTAGTACTCATGCTCGAGTTGTATACTCATACTCCAATACTATGAAAGAAATATAGTATTCAATTCTACTTTAGTTGTTACTTTACTCCAATACTACTCAAGTAGTACTTTTACTCCAATACTACTCAAGTAGTACTGTTACTCCAATACTAGTCAAGTAGTACTTTTACTCCAATACTACTCAAGTAGTACTTTTACTCCAATACTACTCAAGTAGTACTTATACTTCAATACTACTCAAGTAGTACTTTTACTCCAATACTACTCAAGTAGTACTTTTACTCCAATACTACTCAAGTAGTACTGTTACTCCAATACTACACAAATAGTACTTTTACTCCAATACTACTCAAGTAGTACTTTTAATCCAATACTACACAAATAGTACTTTACTCCAATACTACTCAAGTAGTACTTTGGTACACCTACCACTAAAGTACTACTTTATGAAAACAAGAAAACAAAATAGAACTATTTAAATGATCAGCATATGTTGCAATGAGTATGTCCATCATTTTTTGAAAGATATCAAGTATCTATCTTAGAAAGATATCAAGTGTTTTAAGCACATACCTGTGTGGACAAAGAGAATTTTCTTGCCCTGGAAGGTTTCTGGCTTTTCCTTCATCAGTTGGACCAGGTAATACGCGGCCTTCCCGGTGTACACTGGGTCAAGGATGATGCCTGTTGTCGCGGCAACCTCAAAGATGAATTCTGAAAAGAAAAAAAACCAAATTGAACACTTCGTGATTATCAAGAACATCCACAGTTGATAATAAGTTTTTAAGTTTCAAATTCAATCAATATTTTTCTTACCAAGTTCTTCGGGCGTCGACAGTGCATAGCCCCGCCCTGCCGCCCCGCTGTATATCTCACACAGTTCCTCTGACCACTCCCCTGGGTACTTGTCACCCCATCCGACCCCGCCCAAGATTCTGTTGCACTCCGAATGGAAGAATTTAGCATTGTCCCCGACGGCCATTCCGTGGATCCTACAAAATAAAATGTATCAACTGTTACAAAAAATTACAAAATCTATCAAAGCCAACTAAATGTGGTTTCATTCTCTAGAATAGAAAATATTTTATTAATCCATCAAGGAGATTAAACTTGCTCACTGGTACAGTACAATAGAGAATGAGTATTTAACAAAGTTATACAATTTTACAAAAACACTAAAAGTTACAATGCTATTACAAAAACACAAACATGTACTATAGTATAATGATTAAAGCTATAGTCCATCATTTGCAGCCATCCGAAAAAGTAACTGGCGTATTATTGTTGAAAAAACATACTTGGTTGAAAGATAGTAAGTGGACTAAACTCCCTGTGAAATTAATCTTTCTGGCAAGCTATCATTTTGAAGTAATCAACGAAAGAAGGCCTTTCCAATGGTGCTTCTTAAGAAGCACCGTAGGAAAATTTAAATTAGTAGTTCGTTTTGTTATTCGGCGCAGCGCGCGCAAGCATTGGAACGACGCACAGGCACGTGCGGTTGCTACAATTCGTCGGATCAGTGCGCGACATCGCGTATAGCTGCAATTTAAAACAATTAAAAACACGATTCAGCACCTTTTGATTTGAAATTGAGATCCTAGAATGCTGTTTTTCTCGGAAAATACAGCTGAAGCTGAGCTGAAACTTCATCAGGTTAGTTGTTCAGTATCCTTCATTAGATTTTGAACACTTTTGTTGCTTCAAACGAACGAAATGCACAAATTACAAATGATGGACTATATCTTTAAGGTTATACAATATTGAATGTACTTAAAAACATGTAAAAACTACTTCACTGTCACTGTCTGTAATTCTTAAAAGTTCTGTAAATTTGAAAACGGTTAACAAATTTCAACTCCAATTTTTACTTATTTCTGTGTTTCCAAATCCAGCGGAGGATTTTCAAGGATTCAGAAAAGTCTCATGGTAAAAATGCCGAGAGGGTAATGTTTAAGACAAATTGAGGGACAAGTACTGAAAATAATTTCTTACTTCAAGTTGGATTTGGTCAGGTAATTAGACATGCTGAGTCCCGCGATAGTTCCTCCGCTACCCACAGCGACTGCTACATCGGTGAACTGCTCAGGTACTCCCTGAAAAAAGAGGCATTATCAAAACAAGCTGAAAGATGAAACTCTGTACTCTCTGATTATGATTGAGTCAAGGAGTCGAATTTCTGTTGCATCCTCAGTTTCTGAAAGATTTGCTGCCGTTGCCTTACCTGTTTCATCAGTTCTCGGAATGACTGGACATATCCAAAGAGCCCCAGAGAGTTAGACCCTCCGCACGGAATGAAATATGCCTGCTCGCCTTTCTCCTCCCTGTTCATAGAATGACCAAAACAAAAAAGGAAATTACAATAAGCTTAACCCTAACCGAACTCAACCCATCAAAGTCCAACAGCAGATGTTGTTGAAATCTGTTGGAATGGGTACAGTACCCCTAAACTGATGGTCTTTTACATTGGGTTTGGCATACCTGCAGAAACTAAAGTCTAACAGTGTGTGTGTACGATTTCACATGTGGGTGTTGGAATTTGCCTGGATGGGTAGGCCTATGGTTCCTAGTAAATTATGCTAGGGAGTTAGGGGTTCATAAGCAGAAGTCAAAATGCTATAAAATGTAGGGTGATTCCATGCTGAATTTCTTCTCGTAAACTTTGGACTTTACTGAGTAGTCCCGAGTACACAGTGCATGCAAAGCTAGATCGTGGAAGGGCAAATTGCATTATGAAAAACGAACCACGACCAGCTGGAAACAGTCACCATTTTCAGAGATAATTCTCTATTATAGCTTACTTGAGTTTCTTGGCAAGACTATCGGCTCGCTCCTGAATCTCTTTGCCGTATGTGGCGTCGTTGGGGACGAGATGGATCTGAGCTCCAACAAGACGGTCCAGCAAGACGTTCCCCTTGCAAGAAACCTTCTCGGGATCCTTTTAAAAAGAAAACACATACACACAGAGCGTTTGCCTATAAACATTACTTCACAAGTTATGCAGGCGTAAGTTTCATCGCAAACACTCGACCAATCATCAGGCCGTATGTCCTTCAACTTACAAGTTCCCTGCTCTTCAGTAGAAGGTGGGTCTTGAGTCCAAGTTGCCGGGCAGAGATGCAGGTGGCTCGACTGTGATTTGACTGGATGCCCCCACAGCTGATGATGGTTGAGCAGCCCTTGGACACAGCATCTGCCAAGATGAACTCCAACTTACGTACCTGGGGAGAAAAAGGAAAGATTTCCATATGAAGTTCACTAATTTTCCTCTGTATTGACCATGGAGGAAGGAAAGCCCCCAGATAGCAATTTCATGTCATCAAAGTCAATTTGAGGCAGTGAGAAAATACAAGCATTTTCTTAGAAAACACTTGGAATTTTTCAGTCCACTCTCATAGGGTTTGTACACAGGGTGTTGAGTGAACTTCTTATAGTTATATGGAAATCTTTCCGAGAAAAACATTAAACAAAAACAACTGAGCTTTATGATGCATGGTCGACTACATTCTCTTGAGGGGGAACTCAGTGACTTTGGTCATATTGTTCTCTTTTGGGGGGAATGGGGGTGGATGGGGTCGGGGGGTGGGTTGGGGTCGGGGGGTTAAGTTGCAGGTGAGTTGGGGTTGGGTGGGATAGGGATGGAAGGGGGGGGGGGTTAAGGGGGGTGCGACGAAAATATACCTTGTTTCCTGACAATTGTGAGCCAGTCATGTCATCCCTTTTGATGTACAACTCAAAATCATCAGGAACACCTGGCAGGTACCATCGCTGAATAGGGGTGTCTGGATGCACAAGCTAAATGAAAAGAAACAGGGACAACTTGCATTAAAATTGTGGATTTCATCTACATCACATACATACACTATATCACTGGGAAATTCTGATGATGGTAACAGTTTTATCGTTTCATTTCATTTTAGGCAGTGGATATTTTGCCGGAGACGGCAAACCTTCAGTAAACGTTAGTTTGCCGGATATGCACTGAACATGCGCAGTTACTGTTTTTTTGTACTTAACACATTTTCCGGTGACAAATTTTAGTCTGGCTCCATGCCAATATTGTCGTTGTAACTTTGTATTTACAAGATGGGAATCAGACTATTTTATAATTTCGGACTTTATTTCCCTTTAAAAAAAAATCCTCCAGAGCCACAAATCTGAAAAAGAAAAAGTAATACTCGAATACTTGAAACATATTAAAATAATAAAAGAAGAATATTCTTATTTATTTGGGGATGAGAAAAAAAACCTTAAAAATGTGGCGGGAATCAGGATTCGAATTCGTGACATCCCACTCACTAAAGCCACTGCTTAACCACTGCACCGATTGTACTACATAACTTCGATGGGAATTTAATACATGTTATAATTCAGCCCGATCTTAAAGAGTACAGCGCCCTCTGTTGATATGGATTGCCACCGGCAAACCTTTAGTAAACGTTAGTTTGCCGGCGTTACCTCCGGCAAAATATCCACTATCTTCATTTTATAAGTTTGGGACCAGGAGGACTATTTTAAAATGGGAAAAAAATGGTACGCCTAATGTTACACACTATTTTTAAAATTCCAGTCAAACTGAATTTCGAAAGTAAAATCATGCTTGAAAAATATGATTGTTCAACATGAATCCGTGAATTTCCAAAGGTTTGATCATAATTTAAAAAAAAGTATGGTCTTGCATGTCCTGTCAACAGCATTAACTCCCCCCTCAAAAGGGGGCGTGGCAACTTTATGAAAGCGGAGAAAACCACAATCTGACTTTACCTACCTTCAGACGATATTTGGGAACATTATCCAGACCTTTCACCCACTCTGGTGGATCGTAGTCGACCAGCAAACCCTCTACCCTGCGTTTTTGCTCAGGATTCATGACAAAATGTAACAAAAAAGAGCAATTAAGTTTTGGAAAGCGCAGCTGGCACAGTGTGTGGTGAATTTCTGCACGCTTCGATGATATCAGCTGTTTGTCTGAATACCAGACTACCGGAGACAGGAACTACATGTGTTGGACGACGACCAAAACGCACCAGACTACGGTGACTATGCGCGTGTTTTGCTGTGAATGTCTGATTTTGATCGGGGGAATCGCCTCCTGACAAAAGTGACATGCCTGATTTTGTGGTTGTCAGGGCAGTCCATAGAGCAAGTACACCTTCCTCACTTCGCAGAAAGGTACATGTTTATTTATAGAACAAGTCTGCGCTGCATCTGAAATATTTTATGAAATAATTTGGCTGTATTTCTCTTTTTAAATTTTTAATCGACACTTTCTTCGTTACATTTACAAATTTATGTTGGGCGCAATCGGTCGGTGTGCGCGATCGGTCAATCGCGTTGCGCGATGGGTCGACTCTGTAGGATATCTCTGACTTTACTGACCTTTTTCAAAAAAAAATCCTGCAGACATGCCAGAGTTGTGAATTACAAAGAAAAGGTGTTTGATTGCGATCGACCGATAGCGGCATCATGATCGACCGATAGCGCAACGCGATCGACTGATTGCGCACATCGACTGAATGTGCCCAACATCTCCATTGGCCTTGAAACCAAGGTCGGGTGAATTTCAGAAAAGTTGGCTAAGGCCAAAAAAAAAGAAGTCTCCGGTTTCTGATATGCGTGCGCGTCGCCGTAGCCATGCGCGTCGGCAAAATGAAAAAGGTTTTTTTTCAATAAAAGATGATGTCTCAAAACCGCCAAACTCACTGGTTTGACTGGAATCCTGCTGCTGCACAATTTTAACGTGTTTTCAGATGGGGTTATGATCGAGAATAAGCTTTAATATGTGGCCTCTCTGGACTCCCATATATTTGCACTAAGTTTAGTCGGGCACCATTTGCAGTCATCAGCCGACATTTGAAGCAAAAAAAAAACAGGTAAAAAAAAAAAAAGCAGCGTCGCCGCACCACTTTTTGGGCAAGCTCCATATCAGAAACCAGAGCCTTTTTTTTTTGGCCTAAGGCAGCACGGAAAATATCTAGGCCTAGGGCGGCGATGCCTAATTAGCAAACCAGACGAAATTAGAAGGAAAAGGTGTTTGATTGGAGTAATACTAATTAATCTTGCGTTTGATTGGGCCTCACTTTTTATTTATCACATAAGCCTACATACATGACATGCATGACTTGATTTAGTGCAGTCACTGTTAGTGTTATGTGGTGTCCATTTGATGAAACCAACTGATGATGGTTACCATGGTAACTAAATGAGACTGTACAAAAGTGTGCCCTGCATGCAGAACGTTCACTACCTGATGTCAAGTTGAATCAAGACTGAGTTGTCTCAAGTCAAGTCCTTTTACTAAGAAATCTGAGAAAATACTAAGAAATCTGAGAAATTGCCCAAGATGTTTAACAAAAATCAAATCAGGAAGAATTGCAGTGCCTCTCTGACTGAGACCGAGTTCCCCTCCCTAAAGTTGATTTATTTTTAAAAATTGTGTTGAGTTGTCATACTTTTTGTGTCATTAATTTATCAGTTGTTAATGTCGGGTAAGGCCAAACAAAAAATAGTTCTGCTTCCGGTTTCCCTACCTACACTATTCTGACAGCCACTACCCTAATTTTATATGGGACAAATGAGAAAAAAACCCCAAAACCATGAGTTACTACCTTTTACATGTACCTTTTACCCTTGACTACACGCAGACGCCTCTATATGATCGGAAAAAAAAAATTGCCAAAAAAACATTTCCCTACCTACCTACCCTTTTTTCAAATGACATGTAATCGGAAGCCAAACTACTTGTTTTTTGGCCTAAAGTATCATGAGAAGACATTCAACACTAAATGTTGTGTCGAATCAAAAGTTTTCAGATTTAAAAAATATGCTCAGTTATGCTTTCATTGATGTCTTTTATCCCTTGCGCCAAATTGTGGAAATATAGCAGTCTCCTGAATCTGATGCCATATTTCCATTGTCATTCATTGCAGCTTACTTCACATCCACATGTCATAGTTTTATGCTTTGTTGAAATAATAATCAATTTTAATATGTTTTCATTTTGTAAATGTTTTTTGTATAACAAAACAAATCTGCTTAGTGCTTTTAAACACGCATTTAATAATATTTACAAATTTAAACACTATCCCTTTTAGTTTGTTTGGTTCAGTTAACATTTTTAACTATTATGATTTTTTTGACTAACCATGCGTTGCAAAGTTTTCTTGTTGCACATTCAGCTTTGAACTGATGTTGTCATTTCCCAGAAGTTTTGCGTGACAGTTTTTCTTTTCGTTATTGTGTTAATTTGTTGTTTTGGTGTTTGTTTATTTTATAAACCCAGGTTTTGTTTTCGACTACTTCACATAAATCACCGCAATTCAGTAACCTTGTGAGTTCAATAAACAGCACAGGCAGAGAATTAAAATGAAATTTTCGGTGGGGTCAACTAATAACAAAGTTTGACATTTGGCACGTACATGTACTGTAAATTTGCACAAGGTTCTAAGTGCTGAAAATTTAGCAAGACTGCCGACCTATAGATCATGCAGTATTTACACGCAATACTACACTGAAGGGTTGCGCACAGTACACTGTGTGTGTATAGTGCCTGTATGTCCCCTTGAAATATCCAGCTAAGATTAAGTTTGACCTGTGGGTGAACTTGGTTCATTAATACCCATGGCTCGGTCCTGGCTTCTGATTGGCTGGTTGAGACTTAAGCCGGCAGGCCGGGGTAACCCTCACCGGGCGCCTTGCCAACTGGCCCATTCATCAAGTTCAGTTTCAAGGCCCTGTAGTGTATGCACACAATGCGGGATAGGGGTCATGAGGGGCTCTCCAAAACTGCTGAGCGAGGATCGTAAAAATACCGGTTCCGACCGGTGCAGGAAATCTGCACACAAATTATACAGTACAAATTACCAGTCCTGGCTGCCAAAGCATTTTGGAACTACATGTACCAGCGTCCCAAGCACGAACACATTTTGGAAAGGTTTCTCTACAACTGCCACCATGGAGCGGGACACATCGCCGGATTCTAGAATTCAACCTTCTCAGATGATGGCCGGCGGATTTGTGGAGCAGTCCGGTGATGGACCCATCTCGGCGGATTTCTTGTTGCCATACCAACCGACAGATTGGATGTCCGATCTACAGCACATTCCCAAATTTAAAATTCAGGTATGTCTGCATTTTGAGATAAATCACACACAAGTTTGCAACCAGGCACCATATATGCTAATATTTTTTTTTAGAAAGAGCAAATGTAGCACAAGTCATCTCTTCATTTTTATAGAACATTTGCCATCCAAAAGTGGGCAAAAGTGTTAATTTGCACCAGTGTGCCGAAGATTTAAAGAAGTGTTGATCAACAAGATTTATTTCTTTAACGTAATAGCAACTTTAGGAACTTTTTTTAAACTAGGGTTACAGTTTAACAAATGTTAAATAGTGTACAGTGATGTTACCTGAAATAGTTTGCCACTATCTAAAAAAAAATAATTAATAAACAACAATTAAAAAAAAAATAGAGAGAATTTATATGTACCTCTGTATTGTTCCTGTGAACAAAAATACAAGCAAAAGACACAATTTTGTAGCAGCTGGCATTATACATTAATTTTTTTAAGCTCTCAAATTTTCTAAGTTGGTCAAAAAGTTTGTGCAGTTGTTTACATAAAAAAACAAGCCCTGCCATTGTGCCATGAAATACGTATTTCTTACTACACGACAATTGTAAACAATGCTTAAATTGCATAAATGTAAGCATTGTCCCATGATCAAAGAGCAAAAAAGAGAAAGAAAAAAAGGAACAGTTTACAAACAAATGTATGCACTTGTGTTCATGCTATCACCTCATGCAAACTTTGAACCTTGTGCTTTTTGGGCCGTGTACAATGCAGAATGATGCAATCATTTCTGAATTTTTTTCTGAGGGGCTTTTTTTTGTTACCCGGAGGGCTATGGGGGTATAAGGGTCACATGTACCTTAAAGCGCGCAGTGTAAATCTTTTGCTGTTGCTCACAATTTGAATTTGGTTTAATTCTAATGTGGAGGGGGGGAGGGTTGCATTGTTGGAGTACGGGATGCAAAGGGAATCACATTCAGTGAGAGTTTTATCATGAACAGCTGGAGAGCATCGAAAAGGCAAATTCATATCTTGATATGATATTATTCCATCAAATTAGGTTTTGCCCTTCACCGACGTTTTTAAACACTGTATACTCAGTGTGTTACCTCCCGAGTGAAAGTTGGAAAAAATCACTCGGGTGGGACTCGAACCCACGACCTCCTGCTTTCTAGTGCAGATGTCTTACCACTCGACCACTGAGCTAATGGGATCGGTTGGCCGGTTCGAATCTGATGTACATAGCAGCGGGTACCGCATAAACTATTATAAGATGAAAAAATTCCATCTTATGATATTATTCCACCCTTTAAATGTGAAATCAATTTCTCTTATAGCTCATTCATGGAGTCACTCCCATCCAAAGATGGTATCTTCCCAATGTCCCTCCAGACTTTGAAATCCACATCAAGCGAGATGATATGACGGGAAGTGAGCTCTCGGGAAACAAGGTAAACTCTTGAAGAATCAAGCTCTCCATCTTCACCACAAATTGCCAAGACATTCTCAGGGCTGTGAAATCTCAGCTTTAAAGCTGATTTCAGCTTTTTTTGTTTTGGATATCAGCTCTTTTCCCTCACTTACTGTGTGCAAAAGTATAGGAGATTTCCAAAGTTCAGCTTTTTTACACCTTTTTCAGCTGTTTTCAGCTATTTTTTTCAGTGGTCACTCACACCCCTGCATTCTGTTTAAGCCTCAAGTAAATTTTCACGTCAACTTTTGAGTCGGGCCTCAGATGGGTAAATTCCCAAGGCGCTCTGGTCAAGTCTCACATTATAGTGTCTGAGACTTTCTGCCTATGTCACACCAACATGTATCTGTAGTATTTTTGTCCTTTTTTTTTTAAACAGGCACGTAAATTGGAGTTCCTTCTGGCTGATGCCATCCACCAAGGCTGTACTGCAGTCATCACGTGCGGATCCACACAATCCAACCACTGCCGGGCCACAGCGGTGGCCACTAGACAAGTGGGTCTGGAACCCCACCTCCTGCTCAGGTCACCAGTCTCAGTAAGTAATTGAACTATGTGAGTCAGTGAGTCTGGAAACCTATCTCCTACTCAGGTCACCAGTCTCAGTAAGTAATTGAGCGTTGTGATTCAGTGAATCTGGAGCCCAACCTCAGATTTATGATATCCAGTCTCATTACATGCTGAACTATTTGATTCAATGAGTCTGGAACCTCACCTCTTATGCAAGTCACCCGTCTCCTTGACCTGAGCTATTTAAGTCTGCGATAAGTATAAAATCCCTCCTCCTGTGAAGTTAACCAGTCTCAAGTGAGTGTTTAGTAATGCAATTCAACGGGTCTGGAACCTCACCTCATACTTAGGCCTCCAGCCTCGTTAACTACCTAGCTATGTGATTGGGTTGGTCTGGAATCCCACCTCATAGCTTGAGAGTGATTGGATAGTGTCTGTGCTTGTTTATGCAGGATCCAACAGAGGTGACGTGCAGCGCCAACATGCTCCTGAATCGCCTGATCGGGGCCCACGTCCATCTCATGCCCAGGAAAGCGCAGTTTGCGACGGACATCAAGCCCAGGCTTGATCAACTTGTTCAGAAAATCAAGTGAGTAAGCAAGTTTGATCACTGACTTAACACTTTAGCGTGATAAATCTGATTAGCAGAGTTCCAGAAAGAGTCAAAGCCTTTTTCTTTGCAGAAGCAGTACTTGAAGGGTTGTTTTCAAAGTTAGTTCAGAGCAATGGTTAGTCTATGGAATATGCCCTTGCACGGCAAGGGTTTGTGATATGCAAGCAGACTCAACGATTAATTTTGCAAAACAAGACTTGTCCCAAGCAAAAGTTCTCGACGAGAGATCATTCCGATGAGACCTAGTATCGTGAAATAGCAACCAGGTTCATTTTGTAATTGTGATCTTTTCAATTTTCCATACAGAGAGGAAACCGGGGAGAGTGCCTACCCGATCCCCATCGGCGGGTCTACTGCCGTGGGACTGTTTGGCTACTTGCACGGCTTTGATGAACTACAGCGGCAGGTAAAAAAACTCCTGACAATTGTATTTTTTTCTTTTCATGAAGGTGAAAATCAATGTTTTCTTCGACATGTGTGAAAAATACTGCCCAAAAAACCCAAAAACCTACGGTCACAATTAAGAAGAGGTTCCCTCTGATTTGTCAAAAGTGGATTCAGGGGTAGTATAAACTCAGATCCAGGGTACTGAAACTTTAGCTGTCTGAGGTAGTAGGAATGCACCCATTCGGGGAAGTGTTCAACATCCATCCAGGGTTGTATGTAATTTACCCGTCCAGGGTAGTTGAAATTAGCCTGCTGAGTTGGTTTACACATCCAGGGACGTAACAAATTTCCATCCTGGGAAAATTTATAGTCTTCTTATTAAAAAGCAAATGCTTGTTGAAAGGGCTAAAATTAAAACCAGTGGTGGGTGACATAGAATTCAATTTCGTAGCTTACGCTCGCTGTTATGTTTTTTATTTCTCAGGGTGTGACGGAAAAATTCACAGATATAGTCATAGCTTGCGGCAGCAATGGCTCTACATTGGGTCTGGCGCTGGCCAACTATCTCACCGGCTCCAAGCTAAAGTAAGTCACGATTATTAGCCCAGCAGGCCTTGTAGTGGGGAGTGTGGCCTAGCGGTTAGGGTTTGTGACTCAGGATCAAAGGGTCAGGGGTTGGAATCCAGCTGCTGGTCATGTGTTGTGTCCATGGGCAAGCCATTTTACCCCACTTGCCTCTCCCCACCCAGGAGTATAAATGGGTAACGGCATTAGCTGGGGAGTAACCTGCGATGGACTGGCATCTCATCCAGGGGGAGTAGAAATATTCTCAGTCGTTTCATGCTACTGAAACCGGAGATAAACGCCGGCCTGATGGGCCACATTGGCTCTCGACAGACTTAACTAGGTCTTGCACCGTCCTAAAGCGCTTTGCCTGTTACCCCCTGTACCGCCCCAACTTGCCCCAGTGCTCAGTGGTTCTAGGCATTCACAAACCCGTAAATACAATATAAATACAAGTGCCGATGCATTTATTGTTATCACAATCAGATGCTATTTTGGTCTGATCTCCTCAGGGTGCACGGCATGATCGTCTCTGACGATTCCAAGTTTCACTTCAAGGGGATGAACGAGGTCTTGCGGGAGGTGGACGCTAAGGACAGCAACGGCAAGGCTCTACAGGCTGAAGACATCGTCAACCTGGTGGATGGGGTCAAGGGGCGGGGCTACGGATTGTCCACGCAGGAGGAGCTAGGTAAACAAATGCCTAGATTATAGGAAATTGTCGTATATCAACCCTATTAGTACTACAGGTGACTTAAGAAAGCAATACACCAAATTCTTCCCAAGGATTCTGGGCATGCACAGTAGATTAAATCCACTGCCTGTGCACACACTCTTGTTTTACTATACTCCAGAGGACAATGCTTTGTGTTTTACTTACTGTCCCTGTAATATAACACTCTCCCATAGACTAAGCACACAAACCTACTACAGAAGACCGTTTTGAAGAAAAGATCCAGCTAATGCCGGTATCCATTTATACTCCTGGGTGGAGAGGGGCAAGTGGGGGTGAAGTGCCTTGCCCAAGGACAAAATATATGACCAGCGGCTGGATTCGTACCCTCTGATCATGAGTCACGAACCCTAACCACTAGGCTCCCCTCCATCAAAGTGGTTCCTCCAAACTTTCTCGTTTAAACCCTTGAGGTAGCCCTCAATAGATTAAACGAAATATTTCACCGAGTCCTTACCATATGCAACTTTAGTCGACATCGAAATCACACATACATGTACAACACCTAAACATTCTCTTCTTTTTCACAGACATGGTAGCTGAGATTTGTGCCAAGACGGGGATCATTATCGACCCAGTCTACACAGGAAAGAGCGTGTATCACCTTCTGCGACTGACCAGAGAAGAACCAGACATGTTCAAGGGAAACAAGATACTCTTTGTGCACACAGGTGAGGCCCTTATTCGTCAGTCGGCCATTTTAAACTGAAAGAGAGGCTAGGGTTGCAGATACATTTAACAAAATTCTTAGGATGAAAGGAATGAGGATGGAATCGAGGTAGATTACCTTTTAACCTCAATCTGGGAAGGTTTCAATGTATTTATCTTTTTATCAATTTTTTTTCCTTTTTTTTCTGTGAACCTCGGCAGGAGGCATCTTTGGACTTTTCGATGGCCGCATGGACGAGACGGTCCGAAGAATCGGACTGGAACAGAACAGATTTCACGAATGGATGGAACTGGCCGACCAAGCTCCCGATATGAACCTGTAAAAAACCTGGCTATAGCGCCCTCTATTGACTGAGTTGTGCCAGGCACTTCCGGCTATAGTGCCCTCTATTGACTGAGTTGTGCCAGGCACTTCCTTCACACTCACGACTTCCCATATATGGCTCTCGATCCCGTCAAATTTCAGGAGTGGTCGGAATCCGGCTTGCCAGCCCCTGGTCTGAAAGGGTAATAGCGCCCTCTGTTGGTTGGATTGTACCAATCATCACCCCATCCGTGCTGTAACCGTTGATTGACAATAATTTAAAATGCTGACTTGTGTCCGTCAATGCTATTAATCGTCCAAGCGATGCACACAGCGCCCTCTATTGATTTGTTTCTTACAATCGGCCTCCGGTAGGCCTAGGGTATTTCTCTTGTGCTAATACAATCCAGCCCTCTTTCTGAAGCTCCGCCCACTATAGGGGTATAAGAATATTGCAAACAGTCAAGCCACATTTCTTTTTTTTTCATATTAACAGGTCTTCCCACATTTTGTATATATTTTCGATACGAGCATACAAATTTAGCCCTTTTTTCTAAAGTTTCATTTTGTTAGCACACTAAATTCAGTTTATTTGCATTTTTGCCTATCGTTTTATATCAATCTCTAGGTACTGTATTTGTATCGAAACTTGGCCACTAAAAAGCAACCCATTTGTGACCCGCTCTGCAAAAATGAGTCTGATGTCGCATAATTTGAATTCAAGCTTTTGCCATTTTGAAATGGAAACAGTAAAAATTTGCTCAAAATTTGTTTTTGTTTTATTTTGGTTGTTTGGTAGTTTTAGTTCAAATATCTTGCACAGAAATGTAAATATTGTAAGAAAAAGAAAAAAAATTATGAATCTTTGGTGCTTTTCTTGGTTAGTTACAGTGTATTTGTCATTTTTCAAAGCCTTTTTTCTCCATTGAGACACTTCTAGCTTTGCAAAAACTTTACAGAATGAAACAGGCACAACAATGCAACCAAATATCCCAGAGAGGTCCGTGATATACCAATTGAAAGCTTATTTCATTCCCATTTTATTAATGTAGTTAACTCAAAATGTCAGTTTTGCCACAACAGACTCATTTTTGCGGAGCGGGTCACATTTTATGAATGAAAGATTTTTGCACAAATTAATTGATTTAAAGAATGATCTTATTCTTTTTAGCTGGAAACGTGTATTCCTCATTCTGTAATTGCTTTGATTTATTTTAAAAAGGTCAACAAATGTTGTATTTATTTTATGTTTAATAATTATACTAAATTGGCACCATGTGCTGAGTAGCAGTATTTTCTCCAAATACATGTGCGATGCATATTTTATTTGGATAGGTTCTCAGTAATTTGTATAAAATTTATGAAGAAACTTCAAAAAAGTTTGACTTTGATTCAAAGATATGTAAATAAGTATTTTTATTATAGATTTCAGTTTCTGAGCATAATAATAAATTATCTAAGAAACATTTGTCATTAATCATTTGTCATTTTGAATGATTTGTCAGTTATCCTTAACCAAAAACAACTTAATTTTTATTGGAATTAAAACACCAAATTTATTTTTGATTTTCATTTTTTGCATGAAATTTAATTAGGGGTATTTTTCCCTGGACCTTGTTGAAAATCATGAGGATGTATTTAAAATCGAAGAAAAAAAATGGCTGGACGTTTTTATTGAAGCATCTTAAAGAAAATACCCAGAAATTTGCCTCCAAAATGACCATGGAGCAAGGAAAATGTTCAATGGAGACAAAGAGATGTCGAAAGTGCGTACGAAGATGCACGTTTTCAACAATAGCCGATGCGTGATTGGCGCACATTCCTCGTGGAGGGCGCCCTACATTTCCTTGTAAACAAGAATCGAGCCAACACATTCCGTGCATAATGAAGCGCTCAGTCATATCAATAGTGTGTGTGCGCTTTTGCTAGACTTTCTAGACATTTTGGGATGATAACTTTGAGCCAAAAATTCGAGGAAGAACTATGAACTTGAGTTGTGTCCGCTTAGGGAGTCCCAGGACCTGTCTTTGAGGGTGGAAAGCTGACTTTGAGGGTCGAGGTAAGTTCAGAAAATGCCGCTTTTGGACGGGCTTTGACGTGTGTGTGGAATTGGAATTCGACGGCAGGTTGCTGTTTTGTTCACACGCTTTGAATGCAGGTGACTGCATTGGTAAACAACTTAGCAAGTCTTCGAGTCGATCCGAGAAACGTGGTTCGCTTTCACGAGCCGCTTCTGATGAGGTGGAATTTTTGTCTTTGAGAAAAGATTAAGTGTACAGCCACTGGTTTATTGAAGCATTGATAAGTTTTGGAGATTATCGTCGACATGACAAAAAAAGAGCCTTTCGTGGATTTGTGTGGCATGTGTGGTAAAGCAGTAATATTCGCGGTATGGTAGGCCATAGAATTTTTGTGTGTGCACTGCAATTCTTAGAATGTGATTTGGGGAAAAAAATACTGTTAATCACTGCATTCTTTACTTTCTTTTTTGTGAAAACATGTCCCAATATTGTGTTACAAAGAAACAAAAAAGATCTAAAGCATATGAAATATTCCTCTAGGTATTTGCAATATATTTGATTGCATACTTAACGCTTCAAGTTTAAAATTTGCAAATTGTGTTGAAACTTGTTTTGGCATGCAACCTAGAAAAAGTATGTAAAAATTAATGTGCTGTAGCTATACTATAAAATAAGATATCTACATTATAATTTAATAAGGTAACTTTTACAAAATCTCAATTTGAAATTTTGTCTTGATTTTTAATGTTCAAAATGAATGAATACACTATCTACTGTTTGATCATTTGAATGAGTAGTTGACCGCTTTTTAGGAATTTTTTTTAACATTGATATGCTTTTAATAATGATACAGACTTTATAAAAATATTCATGAAGAAAAAAACCCTTTTCTTTCTACAAAAAAGACTACAGTATAAAACAAAACGGAAAAAAATGTCGCAACCTGAAGCCACTTCGGCGGTTGTGTACAAAGTCTTTAGAGAGTCAATAATTTTTTTAAAGTATTTTCTAACAAAATTGGAAATATTTCTCAGTCCCAGATTCCTGTCTTATCATCATTTTTGCAATGACCGACCTTCATTGAGATGATATATGAAGAAAAAGTGGCGTCAGGTTGCAACATTTTTTTTCAACAAAACATCCTCTTTTCAATTACTTGATATCGTGTACCTTACTACTTCCTTCTAGCTATGCGCGCCAGCAAACAAAGAAAGCAGAGTCAGCATAGATGTTATCTCTAATTGGCAATTTCCAAATCAAAACCTTCCTTCCTCAGTTTGAGCCAAAAACCTTTGTCCATCTTTCCTTGCTCGATGCTCTGCCCGTACATGCCATAAACACAGAGAATTCATGTACAAATTCTTTCCCTGGCACGTAGGTCGGCACCAAATGGGACCCCATGGGGGAGCACATTGATGAAATGCTTCCCCCAAATGGGTAAATTCACCCAATTACACTGGGCCATTGGGGGAATGATTCGCCCCACTGCAATGGGCTCCCAGTAGGCAGACACCATACTGGGCAATTGGGTGGGTAGACTTGCTACCAGTCTGTCAGTGATTCAGCGGATGGCACTCTCTAGAACTGCTGTGAAAGAATGTTGGCTGTAATTAGGCCATGTTAAAAAATAAAACAGTTCCACGTCCCCGTCCACTTCCTTTTTAAAAAATTCATACAGTTGCAATATTTTTTTAGCACAAACATTGTATAATATTGTCAATATATTTGTTTCAATCCAACAAAATTGTAGCTTTGTAGAACGGGTTATGGCTCCTTTGAACATAATTTTGTATTGGTCAGCAGAATATTCAAAAAAAAAAATTGAAGAATGCATCCGCTATTTTGGAAAATCCGCCATCTTAGGAAAACAAAGACAAAGAAAAAAAACCAACCGCCTCCTTCATTTAAAAAAAAAGAAAAGGCCGGACGAGCAACTATTTCTTTTTTCCCCTCAGCCGTACCCCTGAAATTCTCAGGGGTTTGATATCATACTTAACCCTACAATGTGCAACCCTTATCAAGGACGTGGGCAAGTCTATGTGAGGGCCACCTTTCTTTTTCAGTGTGTTTCTATGACTACACTGTACACCTGTTTGCCCTGGAATGCGTGACAGGGTAGGTCAGCCCTAGTGGGCACAGCCACGCAGGACAAGAGACCGGGGTTAGCCTAAAACCTACAACAAATGTTTGGAACCCTGGGTCTGCGTGAGTGTGATGAGACTGAGAAATAGTATGCGGGCTATGACATGCATTCATTGTTCCTTTTGTCCCTAAAGTTTTTGTCAATTTGCTTGTTAAGGGTGTAGTGAAAATTATAACAAATGATAACATTCTTACAATTTCTCAGATTTTTGGGCAACGTTCGTTGTGTAACTCAGATTTCTAGCGAAAGGTAGTCAAGCATACTTGTGGTTTATTTTTCTATTTATAAATAATTTATCAAATCATTACTAATAAAGTTTTTGTCAATTTGCTTGTTAAGGATGTGGTGAAAATTATTACAAATACTTACATTCTTACAATTTCTCATATTTTTTGGCAATGTTTGTTGTAACTCTGATTTCTAGTGAAAGGTCGGCAAGCATATTTGAGGTTTTTTGTTTTTGGTTTACAAATAGTTTGTCAAATTATTACTGGTAAAAGAAAGTAAATAAAGGCCCATTGCACTGGACAATACAGATTTGATATTAAGTGGAATTTGTGTGCATGGCACTGGGAGTAAAGCACATGAAAATTAAGCACATCTGCAGTGTATACTTGTTACCGGCTAAAATGTCATTTGATGCACATTGCTTATGACTGGTTCTCCGCTTTATTAAGACAATTTAGCACCCATCCAACATCTGGCTATAGTCAGAGCTAAAATGGGCAATAAACTGGATGAGGTTGGTCATGCCTATTTCAACCCTCACCCCACGATAAATTTTCCACTTGCTCGAAAAAGTCAAGCACCTCTGACGAGAAGTGGCACACATTCATAACATGACAGAGACTGAGAAACCCCCTGCTCATACCGGCCGACTTAATGCTTTTCTTGACAACCCCCAGGGTCCTCGGCAAAATTCTTGATGAGCCAAATGAAGAAATGAATTTCAGGTATGCTGGCGTCTAATGTAGGCATGTTATGCCGCACAACATAATCCGAATGGCAATTGAAAGTTCTACATGTACACTGGGTACTACGCAAGCCCTAATGCTTTGTTTTCATTTAATTGGAATGTCCTTCAGCCCATCGCAAATTCAATTTGTACAGGTATGCCTGAACTTCATTGGCAGGGCCGACATGCGTAGCATCAGGCCCAACATGCCCAGCATCAGGCCATAGTATTTAGGGCAGAGCCCTTCATCCAATCCCTTTCAGTTGTAAATGTTAGCCTCTTCCAGAAATGTAAAAATTCTGCATTCTTAAAAGCAGTGAAATTGTGAACCCTGTAACCTCCAACTTTGTACCTGGCTAGTCACCCAAACTATAAGTTAATGCACCCAAGCCCCCCAACTTTTTATAAGGTTGATAAGCGGTACCCCTCAAACCTCCTCCAACAAAGGGTGAACCTAGCAAGCCTCCAACCATCAAACTTTGCACCCCAAGACTACAAGTTGTGTACCCTTAAGTCCCCATATTCCTATGCGCCCCACAAATCCCCAACTGTAAGGTTTTGCACCCCTCAAACCCCAAACTAATGGCACCCCTCAAACCCAAAACTAATGGCACCCCTGTATTTTTGTACACCCTTCAATCCCTACAACTAGAAGGTTTTTTCACCCCTCAAACCCCAACTATGAGGTCAGGTCCCCAAACTCAGTTTCTTTTCCACGCAGGGAAACTGCTGTTTGTCCCCACAAGGGGCCCTGTGATATAATGTCCAGTGTATATCGTAAAATTCCAAGCAACTTATAAATCACAACAGACAGGAAACAAACACAGTGTTTGAACTTCAAGCAACTTGTTCATTTTGCACAATAAGTGCTGTGTTCAAGTTTCCCTGGCCAGTGTTTACAGTCATAACACAGTGACGAATCTGAAATGATCACTGTTCCCTTGACAGACAACACACAGTTTGCAGTGTTGAATTGTAAACATGGTTTGAAAACACTGCCCTCAGTGTTCACCAGTGTGCGTGCGTGTTCGTGCGTACGTGCGAGCATAGTGGGATGTATACACGTCCGCGTACGTTTGGTTTGGCTGATGCCCTTTGCTTTGCCCGGCGTCCCAAATTCTCTGAATCCTGGACGTGCGAGTGAGTCAGCCCCTTGGAATGGGACTCATCCCCAGTATGACTCTGGGGCCGTGGGAAAAATGCGCCGAGAGTTCACACAACCTCCGCGGAATCCGCGGAGCGATGATGAGGAACGTGATAAGGGGAGACAGGAGGATGATAAAGTAGGAGAGATGCTGGGAGAAGAAAAACGATGATGCGGACGATTGACGGAGAGAGAGAGAGAGAAGAGGAGAGGAGGGGCTTGTGTTTAAGGAGTGGGAGGTTTGGAAGATGGTTATTAAAGAGGAGGATAAATTTGGGAAGACACTGGAAGGCAAATATGACGATGCGGACAAGAGAACAGAGGAGGGGCGGGGCTTGTGTCTGAGAGTGGGAGGTTTAGACGGGGTGGTGAATTGCCCCCTGGAACATTGTGAAACGGGGCAAGGAAGATTGTTGAATCACCACAGAAGCAAAAAACACAATTGTCCAGTCTTACTGTGGAGGTTGAAGGCAACTACCCACCTCCATCCCAATGTTGACCCCACCCTAGTTTGGGCCCATCCTTTTACCCAATGTGGTCTGTTGAGGCAAGGAAGCCCAGCTATTTGCTGTTTGTGCATTTGGATGGAACATCCCGGTATGTGGATTATGATAAGGATGGCAAGTATGGCAGGCAGTTTGCGCACCTGACATTGTACATGTAAATGGATAATAGCACTCGTGTCTCCGGCTCGGATCACACTGGGGTCGACGCACCGCAAACCATTTGAACAGTGGTTTTACTATTGAGTCTGCTTGTATTCATAACAAAAGTGCTTTTACTGAAAGTTTTCCAAACATTGTTTTCGCTTGCAGCTTTGGCTGCTTATCCTGGAAATGTATACGATACATGTTATGTATTCACATGTACATCTTGAGGTTATTATCAAAACTTAGTTCAGAACTCTGTCTCAGATTCGAACTTTTACCATTAAAAAAGATAATTCAGCACAAAAGTGTAAATTTTGTATTAGTTTCAAGTCCTCCCACAAAAAGCCACATGCCAAACAAACTTAGCGCCATGAGTAGCATTATACATGTATGTGGAGTTTTGTTTTTGAAAAAATAACCACAAACAAACTGGTTTCAATGGCAAATATCAGCCCAGCAGAAGAGGTCAGGGACCTGATCTGTTTGGTGAAAAAATGGCATGTTAACCTGTTAGAAACCCGCACACTACCCCAATAAAATATTTCCTCGGGCATAAATCTGGCAAGGAACACTGCAGTCATATCTTGCACGTTTTGACCTCTCGCCTAAAAAAAAAAGTAAAAACAAAATTTGAGTGAAGAATTCCTTCTCCGGAATTAAGTCGACATTATGAATCAAATTCTTGCTCTAAGTGAAGCAGGACGGGAGGCTGGAGATTTCTGCTTCCCAGTCACGTGTTTTTGGGGTTGAGGTTGACCCCGTTGATTAACCTCCACCCCAGGGTGGCATGCCGGGGTCTAACGGACCCTCCATTGCCACCATTTCCTGTTCTGCTCGTAGCACATTATGATTTATTAGGTTCTGCGCTGGGGGGAGAAAAACCATAACTCACCGGTCCTGGAATGTTTTTTTTTTCTGGTTTCTCTTTTAACAAGCTTAGGCCAAATTCTACACCTATGCCCCCAGACTTAGCAGTACTGTAGAGGCACACGTACATTGTATATATCCCACGCTTCTTAAAGGGAATGTACATCATTGGCTTTTGCTGTAATTTTCAGAAATGAACTATTTGAGGGATTAGTGTAATAGATCAAATATTGTTACACTGATATGTTTGAAGTTTTGTGTTCGAAAATGCTGGAAAAACCAAGAAAAACAAAAATGCTCAAGTAGTCTGGTTCCTGACTCCAGTAAAGATTAAATGGATCAATTTAAAAATGCCGGAAAATTGTAAGGTAAGGGAACCAGTCTAGCTGGCCTGCACCCGTTCATGAACATGTAACCAATAGCAAACAACATTTTGACTGGAAAAAAAAATGTAAATTTGGAGCAGTAGTTGAAAAATAGTTAGGTTTTCCAACGGTGGTCGGCCGACCACCGTTGGAAATGTATACAAAAATACCATTTTCTTGAAAATGACTTCACACCAGGTGTCATAATTTAACCGGATGCTTGAGACTGTCATTTACCAACATCCTAGTAAGGTATTTCGTAAAAACTTGGTAGTTTTGTTTTTCGATGTTTGCAAATGTTGTATATTCCCTTTAAGTCTGTTGTGAATTTGTTTTGTTTTCAGAAGAAAGTTGAAACCTTTGTGTAATATTAGAAAGTAATAAATGAGGCCCAATTTGTTGTATTTTGGACATCGAATTGGTCCAAGAAGTGAGCAATTAGTGCATACGTCAACTCAACAATGTCGTGCTGAACAAATAACATGTAGCGCAAATACATGTACATGTACCGGTACATGTAAGTAAATGAACAGAAAACCATGACATTTTGAATTGTTAAAATTTAAATAAAGTTAAGAGTTCATAAGATACCCAAACACTTTTCTTGCCTGTTTCTTCAACCACGTACACCAAGCCTTTGAAATGCTAATATAGGATTTAGAAATTAATTTTACATAAATTACAAAGGTCATCACTGACAATCTAACATTTTGGATAAAAGACTGGAAAGAGTCCACATGTACAAAAAAATATGTATGTGTACATGTTTTCTAAATATTGTGTAAAAAGGTGTACTGCATATGTGCATTATGTGCATGCTGATGCACAATGGCTAGCCTTTTCTAAAGGTTGCAGAAAAACCTCACTGGCAGTGTCAGGGAGCACTCAGTACATTTCAGCCGCCCATAAAACATCGAACACGTCAATACCATAAGTTAAAAAATGCGCTGCACTTGCGTCTATTTCAAATACGTACTATCAAAATATTGCTGGGGCTGCCGGCAGTATTTAAGACAAAAAAAAGAGAGAAGAAGTTAACTAGGCTGGCGCTAGCCCGAAGAAACATCACACATATCTTAGAATCCGACGACAGGAATATTATCATTTGACATTCTTGCATTCCTCGTGGCTCCCCTCCCCACCAGTTTTACAGGACAAGGTATCTGTCTGATGATGTCTGTGTACAAGTTGGACTTGTCCAATGTACGTGTGCAGAAATGTCACAGTATACCACATCAGATCTGCATTGCAAGGTTGAGCCGTTACACGAGACACATGCTTTGATTCATTGGTGGTACACATTGTGGATGTTTTGAGTTTCTTGCTCGGTTGGGTTGTGTTGTTGGCCCAGCAGACACTGATAAGCCCCGGAGTAGGGACAAACTTTTTCAAGTCGCAGTGGCATGCCACAGGAACATGCCAGGTATGCGGGTAAACGGCCCCAGTGTGGCTTTCTCGCCGGGCATTTCTCACGGTCTGTCTGGCTGATTTGTTGCTGAGGAAAGGACTTGATAAGAAGTGGAAGTTGGACTACTAGCAGGAAGAGCTTGAAAAAATGCCGTGTAACATTCTCAGTTCTCACAGTCTTTGTTTCTACCGTGGCACTAAATTTGTAAAATGCTGGAGGAAAAATCTTCTTTAAGAACGTCTGTCTGTGTGAGAGCCTGACTACATGTGGCTACACTTTTCCTTGGAAATGCCTGTAAAAATGTGGTGCGTGGAATTCGGCAGGATTTGTGAAAGTTTGCAAACCTGTTTCCTTCTTCTTTGGGTGTTAATGTTGTATTTTCAAGGTTATGCCAGCCTATCATGGTTTATCATGGTTATGCAGGCTTCCTGAGTCTTTGAGGTTACATTGCGCCTGAGTTTATGTTGTTTACCATTTAATACACATGCAGTTGACAAGGTTGAATTGTTAGTTCGGAAAGATAGTGGTTGTGAGTTACATAATATGTCTTTCCCTGTTGGAAACCACTGGAAGAAGTGATTATTTATTGAGCTTTGTTTTATTGACGTTGCCAAGTAATGTTTTCCTATTTTCTAATCTCTGCTTCCTACAGATTTTGATCAGCACCACCACATCCGAACAACCACAGAAGCGTGAAGTTTTGACTGGGATTTTATAATTATTGAGGGCCAGCAGGAGGGAGAGTGTGGAAGGACCGGTTCGGGCAGGATATTGCCAACTGCAATGATCTTAATACCGGATGCCGAGAGCACATCAGCACCTCTGAGATACCGAGTGTTAGACTTCGTCCCCATGGAGGGCCAGTGCAATCAACCAGGAGGGGAGAGAGAGCTACGGCTGTTGGATCTCCTGCAGGATAAGGACAAGCGGGCTTCCTCCGCCCACCGGACTTGGAACAGCGGCAGCGGCGTTGGGGCCTTCGGCCGGCTCTCGCCGCTCAAATCCATGAAGGGGGACGAGCAGCTCTTCCTGCGCACCAGCGACGGGCGGCTGCTGCAACACAAGCCCACGAAAAGTGAGGACTTATTCGGCGACAAGGACTTGATGTTTCTAACGTCGTCGCGCGGGGCCGCCGCGCATGAAGCCGGGGACAAATACGAGTTGCTCCACCTCCCGCAAACGACGGAAAAACTGGGCGCGATGAGCATTTCCGGCGGGAGTGCCTCGAAGAGCATGGACAATCTCCCCCAGTCCGGGTTCCACGGCAAGCATGCCGAGACGCGGAACAAAAGTGCCTCGCAGGAGAACGTCCACGGTCCGCGACTAGACACGCGGACGGTTTATTCCACGTCCCCCAGTGGCCGATCGGGCGGCAGTATCATGGAGAACCTAGTCCGCGAGTTTGGCTTGACTAACACGAACCCATCAGTAGAGGTTAGCGACATCAGTGACTCCGAGCTCTCGCCAAACTATTCCACTGACCGACCCCCACCACCCAGGTACATGTACCCTGGTAGTGACAGATCTTCACCGTCATCAAGGTTCAAGCATGAATCCCTGAGTAGTGATAGTGGGGAGAACTCGACTTTTTTCAGTGAATCCTATAACATGAAATCGACAGAGTCAACGCACGAAACGGTCACAACAACGAGGTAAGACAAACTTCACAAATTGTGTACATACACCATATTCACCGTGCATATTGGCCTGTTCAACTTTTTTCTGTTATAAAAATACGGTATTTCAACGATTTCAAGAAATTGACACATTCATGTCAATGTTATTTATAAAATGAGTACCATTCCGTATTTGTTTTGTTATGACTTATTTTTCCAACAGAAGAACTACGAAATATTACAGCAGATTTTCAGGCCCTTCTTTTCCAAAATTTAAACAAAATAATATACAGATGTCTAACCCTTTACTGCAAAAACACATCCAAAACAACAGCTGGTAGAAAATCATTTTTTTGACGACCTGACGGAAAAATGATTATGGTGTGCCGGTGTCACTTTACTGCATCTCAACCGAGTCGGATGATTAGGACCAGCTATGATCATGTTGACAGTGTCAGTTTTCACTTATATTTTTTCTCCCCCCTCCCTCTTTGTTGATGGTAAAACACTCAAAATGCAGCAATACAGAAAACAAAACGAGAAATAAAATATGAGCCGAGTTGTCAGCTCATTCAAAAGTGTTCCCCCCCCCTACCCCTGACTCAAAATACAGTCAACCCTGCCCCCCCCCCTCCACTTCTGGCATCAGTTAATTCCTGTTCCATCTGATGAGGTCTCATGATATCCTGATGACCGGGCCGGCCCATGAATTCTAGTCTGGGTTCATATTGCTGCCAGTGCCAGTAATGTGCTTTGGATTGGCGTTGGGCTGATTAAAGGTTGATGGACGAAGCAGAAACTGTTTGTGTCCCGAGAGAGAGAGATTGCTTGGCGTCTGAGGGGAAAACCTGCCATCTGAAATTAATTGGAATTTTTTTGGCTTTTGAGTTTCAAAAATGACTTTTCAACATGGCACATGTACGTGTGTAAATGTAAACAAAATTTATTTTTTTAAAGTTACCATGTGCTATACATGTATACTTAACAGAGCGTAAATGTACATTATTTTATTGAATGAAATTATGGACTTTGGTTTTTCCCGAAAGAAATTGTAATCCTGTTTATACATGTAGGCATCGATTGTCATTTTGCAACGTGACAAGTTGCAACTGTGTTGCAAGGCCACTGCAATTTCATAGCTGGAATCCCCTCAACAATAGTTCTTTAAAATCCCCCCCCCCCAAAAAAAGAGACAAATTCCCAGGTGGTAGCTTGAAACCCATACAAGGGACCGCAATCTCATCCATGCTTGCCATAGACCTTGGCATAGTTTAGTTCTTCACAGTGGTTTACATGTACATGTACATGTACATGTACCCGTACCTGCAGCCAAATTGCAACATTCCCAGTTGCTGTAGCTACCGGTAGGCTCAAGGGTAGCCTGAAACCCATACCAGGCATGGTGGATAGTTTGTTAGCCTGCACAGGCATCATACTTGGCATTCCTGAGGTAAGGTGGCCTTGGGTAAGGGCATCCAATCTAGGAGTGAGTTTGATACACAACAATTTGTGTTTGAATACACGTAAACAAGTAATTAGAGAATTCATGAATTTGTACAAATGAACGCATTAGAACTGTCCAGATAAAAAGGACCTTACACAATCAAACAGAAACATAAGCAGAGTATGAACAATTACAAATGTACATGTATAGGGTTATAAACATCTTAACAACTCTTATCTAAGGCCAAAAAAAAAAAAGTCGGTCTCTGGTCAGCGCGCGCGTCGATTTTAATCATGCGCGTCGATCTTTTTCTTTTCCAAAATGTTCCGCGGTAGCTCCAACAGCGCCCTCTATTTCCGCACCTCCTCAATTTGTTTTACCAAAGAGCACCAAGGAATGGGAAATTGCACCAAGGCAAATGATCGGAAGCACCAAGGCAAATTATGGAGGACACCAATGTACATGAGGACACCAAAAAAGCAAAATAGTGGTACCCCACCTTGTCATTAAAAAAAAATACAACATTTGCTTTTGCTGTAAATGTAATTTTCAGAAATGGTTGGATTTGGGGTTAAGTATCATAGCAAAACGTTTTGTGCTCAGTCATACCGTAGATGCTGGAAAACCCAAGAAGAAAATGCTGTTAAGCTTGTAGTTTAGTTCCCTGACCCTACTTTAGATAAAGTGGAACAGTTTATAGACGTCTGGGAATTGTCAGGTCAGGGAACCAGACTAGCTGGTGTGCAGTGTGCACCCATTCTCGGATGTGCAGAGATACCAACCATTACTCTTTTGGAATAATTATTACGATTTTGAGGCACCCTACTCTTGAAAATTCCAGCTGTCCTATACGCCAACATTGTGGTAACTCTGAGAAGTACTGTGGTTACTCTTAAAGGGAATATACAACATTTGCAAACATCGAAAAACAAAACTACCAAGTTTTTGCGAAATACCTTAATAGGATTTTGGTAAATGACAGTCTAAAGCATCCTGTAAAATTATGGCACCTGGTATACTGTCATTTTCAAGAAAAGTGGTATTTTTGTATCAATTTCCAACGCTGATCGGCCGATCAGCGTTGGAAACAACTGGCTTTTTTTCAAATACCGGCCCCAATTGACCATTGCACTTGTTTGCAATCGATTACAAACCTATGAACGGGTACGAGCCAGCTAGACTGGTTCCCTGACCTTACAATTCCCCAATGTATGTAAACTGCTCTGTTTCTTCTTATATGGAGTCAGGGAACCAGACTACAGGAAAATGATCGTTTTTCTTGGTTTTTATAGCATTTTCAAACCCAAAACCTTCAAAAAGTCAGTGCATCTATATTTGCTTTATATTTCCAACCCCCCAATTCCATCCATTTCTGAAAATTACAGCAAAAGCAAATGATGTATATTCCCTTTAAACTTGACTGTTGTCCTATGTATTTACATTAGCGTTACTCTTTGCAGGAAGAATCATTACTATTTTGTAGTCTGTAAAGTTGGCATCTCTGGATGTGTAACCGATTGCAAACAAAATGTGGACTAACTAAATTTGGTAAATTGGGTGCAGTATTTTGAAAAAAAAAAGGCACTTTTTAATTCAAATGATGGTCAGTCGACAATCGTTAGAAATTGATACAAAATTCCACAATTCTTGAAAATGACTGCACACCAGATGCTATGATTTCACAGGATGCTTGAGACTATTACTCACTTAGAATCAAGTAAGGTATTTCATAATAACTTGATAGGTTTTTTATGTTTACAAATGTTGTATATTACCTTTAATGCCCCCCCCCCCAAAAAAAAAAAATTGGTGAAAAAAGTATTGTAATAAAAAATTAGAAATGTGTCAATGTGACACCCTCCCCCTTCCCGGAAAAAAAAAATGAAATTCACGAACATAAATTTTCTGAAAATCAGGTGTCAAAGTTGGCCATGCGCCCACAGCATGATATTTTTGTCTGCATGCCCTACTTTAAAGGGAAAATACAACATTTGCAAACATCAAAAAACGAAATGATCAAATTATCACGAAATACCTTACTGAATTGTTGGGGACTGACAGTCTGAAGCATCCTTTAAAATCGTGGCTCCTGGTGGGCTGACATTTTCAAGAAAAACTATATTTTTCCAACGCTGGTCGGCCGACCAGCGTTGGAGAAAACTAGCTTTTTTCAAAAACTGTTCTTAATTTTTCATATTTAGTTATTCTGACTTTCCTTTGCAATTGATCACACACCTGTGAAGGGGTACAAGCCTGCTAGACTGATTCTCTGACCTTACAATTCCCCAAAGAGTATTAATTGCTTCGTTTCATCTTAAGTGGGGTCAGGGAACCAGACTACAAGACCATGATAGGTTTTCTTGGTTTTTCCAGCATCTACAAGCCCAAAACATGAAACAAGTCAGTTTAACAATATTTACTAATCCTCCAAATCCATTTATTTCTGAAAATTGCAGCAATTTAAGCAAATGTTGTACATTCCCTTTAATACAAGTACAGCAAAGCTACGTGTACGTGTATTTAACAGAACCTTGGAATGTACATTTTGTGTACAGTCATGTTTGTCAGGATACATTATAACAATACCTGACAATTAGAAGGCTTTAATTATTTGACAGTGGGGCAGTGAGCCAACATGTTTTTCTGAGAAAAAACACATGACGAATTATCAGCTACGCATTCCAGAGAGTGTTTTTCGGTTGACCGATCAGGGAGTTCACTCCTCTGATGGTGGTAACTGTCCCTTTTGTGTGCCTGCCAAGCTGTGGAATGCTTATTGTTAAAGAAATTCTTTGCCGATGCATGTACAAAATGTACCATACACGTACAATTACAGCTGCACATGTATTGTTCATTGTACACAGAAAAGTTGGTTACATTTGTGCACATACATGTACACGTATTCATGCACATGTGGTTCGTAAACAATCTGACTAGCTGATTTTTTTTTTTTTTTGAAAGAGCTGTTTTAAATTTTTTATTGAGATATAGATCTGACATAACGTTGACATACATGCGGAGTGTGTAAAAAAAAACATACACACACTCAAAAACATGAAGCAAAACAGACATTTAAGGTAACTGATAAAAGGTCAGGCTGCAAGAGACTGGATTAATTTGTAGTAGAAAGTAAAGTCTATCACCAGCCAATATATCTGTATCTGTAGCGTACTGCAAGCAAACTCCACTATGGGATATACGGTTGCAGGCGCGTGGTGGCTAGCCCATCAGGCCGGCGTTTATCTCTAGTTTCGTTGGCGTGAAATGCCTGAGAATATTTCTATTCCCCCTGGATGGGATGGTATGCTGGTCCATCCATCGCAGGTTACTCCCCAGCTAATGCCGGTATCCATTTATACTCCTGGGTGGAGAGAGGCAAGTGGGGGTGAAGTGGCTTGCCCAAGGTCTCAACATATGGCCAGGAGCTGGATTCGAACCCCTGACCCTCTGATCATGAGTCGCGTACCCTAACCACTAGGCCACACACCCCCTAATTGTGCAATAGGTAAAGGTACCGTACATGTTAAGGTACATTGTAAAGGGGGACGAACCTGTATTCACAGGAACGGAGTGCCCATCTCTCTTTCATTAGCGATTGGGCCAGACTCATATGCTGCTGTGGGGGGATCGCCACACCTCCTCCACAGCGAGTCTGTTACCTTCCCAGCATTGAACAATGCTGGTACCCATTTAACACCTGGGTTGAGAGGAGTAATTGAGGTAAAGCGTCTTACTCAAGGGCACAACACGCATGGCCACGGCGGGGCTCGAACCCACAATCTCACGATCATGAATCCTGTGCTCCACCGTTAGACCACACGTGCAATAACAAATTCAGATTTTAACTGATTAACTGCCCCATTATGTAGGTTTGTGCAAGCAAAATTGCCTTGTTTGTTTGTCCAGAATGCAATGTGGAAATAAAGGAATTTATTTCTTCCTTTCTGCCTTCAGTACCAGCACAAGCTCTTCCCCCCAGGGGGATGGCAGTCAACCCACTACCCCCTTTGAGGTGGACCATGAGGCCATCGCTACCCGGGCCACTCACATGGTGGAGATCCTGTCGGAGGAGAATACCGCCTTGAGACAGGAACTGGAGATGTACTCCCAGAGGGTCAGCAAACTCCAAAAGGTATGGATAAAGAAGGCGATTTACTGACTGGTCATGCGAGAAGGTGCACCACCTTGACTCCTAAATGGACGTGCTCTGTTCTACAGACGTCCTGACTCAAGTCTCATTACCTTCGTCTCCTTGGTTGATTTGCAGTTTGAGCAAGACATCTACCGGGTTCAGACCTCCCACGAGATGCTGGTGGAATCCACCAAGAAGAGAGAGCAGTTGGAAGTCTTGGTCCGCTCCAAGCTGGAGGCGGAGGCCAAGAGGTTGAAAGAGCAACTCAAGGACACGCAGGGTGAGTCGTGGCATCTGGAAACTTTGGGTTCATCTCAGACGTTAGAATCGTTGAGTAGCCTCAAGAGTTCAAACTTTATAGAATGGCCCTAAGCTTCGGCCCGTATTGGTTGATGTTTACCTATGAAAGCAACCCTTTTGTTGACTTATATTGAGTCAGAATCCCCAAAGGCAAATGACCGAAAAACACCCTTTGCATCGTAGAGAGCAGACTGAAATCTCCAGTGCAAAAAGGAAAAATGCAGAACAAAGTTATGAAGTCTGTTGTCTCTTTTTTTCTCTGTAGCCAATTGGGACAGAGCGCGGAGCCAGGTCTTCCAGTATGAGAAGAGCATGAGCAACGAGAGCGAACTCAGACAAGAGATCAACGCCAAGGATGCCATGATGCAAAAACTGGTCAACGAAAGTAAGTCAGGCGACTAAATGAGGACATAATTTTACAAACCAGAGCTTGACCCTCCTTGTGTAGCCTCGAGGTTTTTGAATTTTTGTTGTTGATTATTCCTTCCCTGAACCACTTGACTACCAAGATTGGTAAGGTCCTTTCTGGGCCCAGTTTTTTGGCTTTTGCTAATTTTGAAAACAGAGTGCTTGCTGAGAAATACTGCACTAATCCTGTAAGCACATAGTTCTTGGTTACGGAATGAGTGCTTGTGCTGAAGCTGACATTCCTTGACAACTTCATTTAGGGAAAGCAGAACCGTAAAATCGAGCCACAGGTTTTAATAAAAAAAACCTTAAAAGCAGGAGCTGCAAAATGGAACTGATATCCGTCTTTCTTTCAACAACTGAATCTTAAATTCTACTTGTGCTAACTCGTTTTCTTCTTTCAACAACTGAATCTTAAATTCTACTTGTGCTAACTCGTTTTCGTCACAGATCAAGAGTTAATGATGAGCAACCAACGCATGGAGACTGAGATGTCGGCGCAGAGGGCGACGTTATCCGAACAGCGGCAGCACATTGATGTCCTAGACACAGCACTGTCCAATGCCCAGGCCAACGTGGTAAAGCTACAAGAAGAGGTGAGTAGTCCAAACAATATCTTTCCAGAACTTCACTCTTGAGCTGATCCATCAAAAAACATCTCGTAGAATTTAGAAATTCTCCCAATGACGGAGCTTACTGACCAAAAATTGCCAAGTTAGCATCTCATGTTTTTGTCAGAGCACCTTTTTAAAACGTTTTTCCCAACAAATCTTTTTCAAATATAGTGATAAACTTTTGTGATAATTTGTGATAACTTTTCAGTGTCGGAAGCGGCAAGCCTACGTGGACAAAGTGTCCACTCTTCAGAAGATGGTCTCGGCGCTGAAATCGACGTACCACAAACGAGAACAGATTGAGCAGAAGTTGAGACACAAACTGGAGAAGGAGATTGAGAAACTCAAAGGGATGCAGGTGAGTGAGAGAGAGAGAAAAAGTACCAAACACTGCGAAACGGAAACAATGCGAGTCAGAGAGGACTCAGAGAAAGCAAGGAGACTAAGGCTTCAACTCGAGGAGATCAGGGGAGGAGGGATTGAGGAAACCTAAAGTGGATGTAGTTAAAGGTAGTCAGAAAGATAGTGACAAATAGGGCGACAGACAGGGTGACACAGTTATTAGGTTTGGTGACACAGTCAACGGGTCAGGGTTTTGTATCCGGCTGCTGGCCACTCATGTCCTTTGGCAAGCCACTTTACCTTCACTAGCCCATCTCAGCCCAAGAGTACAGATGGGTACCAGCATTAGCTTGGGAGTAACCTGTGATGGACTGGCATCCGATTGCAAGGGTAAATCACTACATTTTCAGTTGTTTCTCATACCATGGAGTTAAGACGGATTTTCTTTTTCATTTTTGATTGAAACACAGAGCAATAACCCCAACCAAGATGAAGGCGTATCCGAGCTGGACCTAGAGAGCAGCAACCACACCCTGCTGGAACTCCTCAAGGAGAGAGAAGAAGCTATCTTGAGACTGGAGTCGGATGTCACCAAGGTATGAAACAAAATACTGACTTCAAAAATGAAAGGACTTTTTTTCTGCAAACAAAAAATGTAAGAATACTCGACAAGAAATACTGTAATATAATTATTTCAATTCTGTTTTTCTTTTCAAGTGGGAGCAGCGGTTTCTTGAGGAGTGTACGTTAAGACAGTGTAGTGTGGAGTCAGCAACCATGATGTAAGATGCCGTTTTGATAAAAACTTGTTATCACAGAGATTCTTAAACATTAAATGTACGATGAAACTACTCAAAAACACCCAGTCAAAAATATCCACATTACTAGTCGTACATCATTAACCCTCCTACTATCTGAACAATCATAGACAGTCAAAAAATTAAATCCTCTTCCCCTGCTAATGCCTTCTACACAGGCTAGTCACCAACAGTCAGATCATAAGCAAACGCTGTGACTAGTCAAATTCAGTCAACAGACACAAAAAACAGGCAGTGGGAGGCACAGCTGGCTTATCAATCACCTACAGTCAAAGCAGAGCTGTATCAAGTTACGTAAACAGTCACAGCCAGTCAATCCTGCTTTATGTGGGCTGGGACCCCTTTAACTGTTGACAACAGTCACTTGACTGATTAACCCTTACCGAACTCAACCCATCAATGTTCAACAGCAGGTTTTGTTTAAATCTGTTGGGATAGGTGCAGTACCCCTAAACTGATGGTCTTTTACACTGGGGTTGGCATACCTCCAGAAACTAAGTCCAACAGTGTGTGTGTACAGTTTCCCATGTGGGTGTTGGAATTTGCCCGAATGGGTACGGTTCCTAGTCAATTAGGCTGGGGAGTTCGGGTTAATGTCCAACTTGAGAACCTTAAAACCTACAAAGCATTATATTTTTAATTACTTCCAATTGTGACTTTTTAAGTTCTCGGTGTTTGGTTTTTGTTCCTGATTTGATGCAGTCAAGATGTTTTTGGTTGCAGCGAGTCTAGTCTTGTCAACCAGGAGGCGGAGAAGATGCGAGCCGAGGTCCAGGCAGAGCGAGTCAGGCACATGGATGAGATGCAGCATGTGCACAGCCAGTTCACTGATATGGAGTCTAGGTAAAGCCTTGTTGTTTATTGTAAGGCTGTGTCCGAAACGGGCTTCCAGAGCTACGGCTACGTCTATTGTCAGCGCATCCCCGCGTATTTTCAATGGGCGCAGACCTAGACCTAGCTCTAGACAGTTGATTCGGATGCAGCCTTAAGCCTTCCCGGATCTTTTAAAATCTAACAGTTGGTGTTGGAGAAATTTTTTTTAGTATTGAAGAAGACGAAGCCCAGCCACTGTTACATCATACAGGACTTAATGCTCCTTGAAAGGTTCAAGTAGAAAGCAGCAGGAATGTGCCTTTAGTTTTCCACCACAAGTGGCAGATTAGATTCAGGGAAGTTCTCAGCTAACTTGCCTTTGAAGGTTGGGTTGAAAAATGGCGTCGTTGAGACAACTGCTTGGTTGTGTGCTCTATCGTGCATCACTCATAAGAAGTTAACAATTTTGTTTTTTCCATTGACAGAATTAATGCATTGACGATGGACCTTTCCCATAAGGACACTATCATCCAAGCCTTACGCCGACAGATCCTGGATCAGGACCCAAGCAGCACTTCCCTGGAACGTCTGGCCCGTCCGCTGTCGGCGTCCTCCCCTTCCCCTCATGGCTCCGCCCACAATGTGGCACAAGTTCCCCGGATGGGCTCGGCCGAGTCCTTGCACAACAATCGCTCGCCTGGCAGCTCGGGATCGTTACACACTCTTGGAGGTTCCACAACCAACAGATCGCCGCTGAGCTCGCTGCAGAATCTCGCGCTGCGTTCGCCGGCCGGCTCGTACCAGAGCCTGGCCCCTGCGGGCAAGCCTCTCGGCCGAGGTCAGGGGTCACAGGAAAGGCTGCTGGGGTTGAACGACTCGTTCACGTCGCTCAGCACCTCGGGGTTGTCCATCGCCGGAACAGGTGAGATAACTGTCGTTTGAAACTGATTCATAAGGGCAGGCTTCAATATTCACAGAGTCTACCGAAGCCACAAAGTCTGTAAATAATATGCCCCTGTTATTTCAATCAAAATTATGTCAAAATGTGTAGTGAAACTAACTTGATGAATATTTACAAACTATTCTTATCCTCACCTTTTTATTTACAGATGGTAGTGAGTCAGACTTAGCCACCTTAGCCAAAGAGAGAACAGTATTGGATGAGAAACTCAAGCAGCTGGATATTGAAATAGCTCAACAGGTGAGGAAAATCAATTTAAGACATTTCCAATTTATTCCAAACTTTACTCATGAATTTGTAACCATCCAAGACCCCTCAGAACGCACCAGGGGGTTTTGGGAGGATTTTGTAGGATTGAGGAAGGTAGAGCCCAGCCACTATTACATTACATGGGGCTTAATACCACTTCAAACTTGGTAGGTACAAAGATGGTGCCATTGGTTTCATACACAGTGGAGGATTTTGTAGGATTGAGGAAGGTAGAGCCCAGCCACTATTACATTACGTGGGGCTTGATACCACTTGAAACTCAGTCATGTCAGTAGGTACAAAGAGTGTGCCATTGGGTTCCTGCACATTGGAGGATTTTGTAGGATTGAGGAAGGTAGAACCCAGCCACTATTACATTACACGGGGTTGATACCACTTGAAACTTGGTAGGTACAAAGAGTATGCCATTCCTGCACACTGTGCACAGTGGAGGATTTTGTAGGATTGAGGAAGGTAGAGCCAATCCGCTATTACTTTATGTAGGGCTTGATACCACTTGAAACTTGGTAGTTACAAAGAGTATGCCATTGGGTTCCTGCACAGTGGAGGATTTTGTAGGATTGTGGAAGGTAGAACCCAGCCACTATTACTTTTTGTGGGGCTTGATACCACTTGAAACTTGGTAGGTACAAAGAGTATGCCATTGGGTTCCTGCACAGTGGAGGATTTTGTAGGATTGAGGAAGGTAGAGCCCAGCCACTATTACTTTTCATGGGGCTTGATGCTCCTTGGAATTCAGATTACGAGTGTGGTAAAAGGCTTTTGCGTTGTATTTAGGACCAAATTACTTCAGCTGAAAAATAACTATTTTTAAAATTAAGCACGCCGGAAAGAAAAAGAAATCGGAAAGAAAAAGAAATCGTGTGTATGGCCAGTGCGGAATGTCTGGCTTCCCAAGTGACCCTGGATATATTGGTTGATGTATGTGTTGATCACATTCCAAACATTCTGGCCAGGACAAATTAGCTCACCGACTTTTTTTTTTCTTTTTAAATACTTGAGGAATTTCTGTCCAGTAAGAAAATCCGTCCACCAGTATGGCTGGGGAGATGATGGGCTTTAAATTGGCCAAGAGGATTTTTGGTAGAAATTTTTCGGTGACACAATTTAGAACAGCTAAGTTTTTTTTGTGTTCAAGGGGACGAAGTGGGGGATGAAGTAAGCAGTATTGGGAGTTGGATTTAAAAACTTTTTTGGCAAAAGATATTCTCGATTTACAGTAATTTCTGACTTGGAACTGAACAAAATATAAGTTCTTAATTATTTTGCCTTATTTTAATGTTGTGGCTATAACTCTCTTCACCTATGGGTGGCATGGGTGGCTTGTGCGTAAAGCGCTCGCCTCTCACCAAGGTGACCACGGTTCGAATCCTGGCCGCGGATCGCATGTGAGTAGAGTTGTGCGTTGGTTCTCTCCTGTGCAACGAGGGTTTTTCTCCGGGCCCTCTGGTTTTCCTCCCTCCGGAAAAATCAAACACTTTCGATCTCAGGCTGTGCTCCGTGGTCATATATGGGTCGATGTGGCCGGCAGCCAGAGGCACCTTTACATGCCAGCGGCCCGACCACGTTGTAGCCACGTCCTTCGCAATTCAGCATACCAGCTGCGAGTAAGGATGATTAGCCTCCCAAATTATTATTATTATTATTATTACCTCCAGAGTAGATCTCTACAAATCTTCTACTGGATAGAAATAATGTACAGCCCAGTCATTCACATCATGCAAACAATCGTTTAATTACAAATGCATGTATACATGTATACTGTATCCTGATTCTCATGTAATTGATGACATCTTTGGCACATACATGCATGATGCGTCCGAAAATTAAGGACTCTCAAATACTGTGTTTGAGAATCTCAAAATTAAGGTACTAAAAAACATGCAATTCAAGAAAATAGACCGGCACATGAAACAACCAGTCCACCACCACTTTAGTAATGTATCAATTATTTTTGCTGAAAGAAACATCTGGTAGCGGTCTCTATTTCTACACATCTCTCCATAGTCTGCCACCAGACTACTGAAGAGGTCAGTCTTTTCAAATAGTTGGACATGTACGAGTCTAGCCTTAGGCTTCAAATTGGAATCACTTGGCTTCACTCTCAGGTGCAAAATCTTGAAGAAGAGTCTCCTTACAAAATGGAATTGAGACTTCAGACTTGTATTGGATGGTGAAATACCGAGGACCGAGGCTTTGCCTCGTGAACATTTTGGAGAATTTTTATATTGTCTGCTAAAAGAGCGTTTAAAGTTGGCCTGAATTTGTTATATTCCTCTGCACTGGAGGTCCCAGTCTGGTGTATGATGTGTTGTGGGGAGATGTCAGCTCAATATCGGTATGCTGACTATGCCCAGCCTTGGCCCGAAATAGCTCACCAATGCCAATGTCTGGTGATGCAAGCCACGACTGGCAACTATTAAGAAATACGTCTACCCTTAAGAATTTCCTTGAGCAAACATGTTACGAATCATCATCATCATAAGGATCATCATATACTACATGGAATTTTTTTTTGGGGGGGGGCACGGATCAATCAAATATTACGATTCGATGAACATGCCACCGTGAGCAGAAATATGAATGGTTTTGTCATCAGATCGTATTTTCATGACATGAAAACTCTCGGCCAATTTACCGACCATCCAGTTGATTGAATTTTCTTGGTAAGATCAGGCTTTGTGCCAACCTCAGATGCTCATAATGTTCTTTGCCACACACCGACATTTTTTTTTCTTGAGAGGTGTGGATTTTTAAAGAAATACAAGGCCATTTGAATTCACATCAAATTATTTTTAAAAAGTTGATATTTCAGAATATGTGGTGATATGGATACTTTGGAACTGCCTTTTAACAAAAATATTCAATAAATTGGGAATGTTTTTATTTGGGGGGGGGGGGGAGAAATCTGTTCAATGTGTTCAGACAGTCTCAAAATGTGCCTGTTTTTCTATTTCAAAATAATGTTAATTCCCAAGAACACATTATGACTATGAAAAAATAAAAATTGGCAATTAATCAAAACCACATTTCAACCTCCATCTCGACAGCCCAAGCAATCGCAGACAAGCCACTTGACCCCGAAGGTCACCTGGCCTAGTTCTGGAGCAGTCCCTGGGGTAGAGGTTGTGTTGATTGAGGGGAGGGAATGAACATTTGTGCTGCACATTCCAGATGGTGTTGGCCGTTTTAGTACACAATGAGTGATTAGTTGGTTTCCGAGTGTGCTTATGGTACAGCGGTTTTGATTGGTTCATGTTGCTCTGTAAGCCCTGCTAATTGGTGTTAAAGCAGGAGATGACAAATGACTTTGTCTTGATTTGTTTAGTTTATTGAACTTTACTTGTTAGTCATTAGAGGTTCTGTGTAGTCTGGGTGTTTAAACAGCACAGATTTGTTATACACTGTAGGAAGAACAAAACTCTGCTTGATCGAATGCTGAACTTTGCTGATGAAACGATGGGTTTTTCTCCATGACCCAGATATGGGTTTCGAAAGGCGCAATGCTTTGGGCCCAATTTTAAAGCTATAGTCCATCATTTGCAGCCATCCGAAAAGTAACTGGCGTAATTATAAAAAATTGAAAAACAAACTTGGTTGAAAGATAGTAAGGGAACTAAACTCCCTGTGAAATTATTCTTTCTGGGAAGCTGTCGTTTTGAAGTAATTAACGAAAGAAGGCATTTCCAACGGTGATTCTTAAGAAGCACCGTAGGAAAATTTAAATTAGTAGTTCGTTTTGTTATTCAGCGCAGCGCGCACATGTATTGAAACGACGCACACGCGTGCGCGGTTGTTATAATTCGTCGGATCAGTGCGCTACGTCGCGTATAGCTGCAATTCAAAACAATTCAAAACATGATTCAGTAACTTTTGATTTGAAATTGAGATCTTAGAATGCTGTTTTTCTCGGAATGTACAGCTGAAGCTTAGCTGAAACTTCATCAGGTTAGTTGCTCAGTATCCTTCATTAGATTTTGAACTCTTTTGTTGCTTCAAACGAACAAAATGCACAAATTACAAATGATGGACTGTAGCTTTAATGGAGCTTCTTATAAGCAAAACACAACCTCGACCTCAGGGGTTACTTTATTGTTAACCTCGTTTTCAATAGTAACCCCTGGATTGGGAGACTTTCTTCCTGTGTCCTGATTAAGTACAGTAATGGATCTATATTGTGTACTTGATTTTTTTTTTAATTTCCAGCGTGTACTGAACATTTTTACGTTCGCTGTGAGTTATTACGTCCACTCAACCTCACAAACAATCCTCCCTTTTCCATTTCTGTTACAACATGTATTAATATGAAAACGTGATAATTGGCTGGATAAGATTGTAACATTTTGACTTTGAAAAAAAATTGTGTTTTCGTAACCCACGCCGCGAAGAATTGATTCTGTTTTGACCCCAGACAACGCATACAAACATAAATGCTGATGTTAAGCACAGCCAGGCACCAGACTATTCCTAATTTGCATATGCATCCAAAAAATTTTGATTTGCAAATGATCCAATACAAGGGTGTGAGAGCAGGTAGTGTTGGGAGCGTACTGCTCAACACTATGGGAACGAGGTTGAAGAAAATCATGCGTTGAATTTTTCTCCTGGTATGCTGTTTTGTTTTGGTATTTTTAAATCTTCTGTGCTTTGCATAATTACGTGTTTAGCAGCTTCTTGACAATGACTCCTGTTTGCTGAATTGTTTTTTTGGGAGGGGATGCTGCAACCTGTAAATTGAAATAAAGGAAAAGTCATAATTTAAAAAAAACCAAATTCTGTACAAGTTTCTGAACTTCATTTTCATTCCACTAATTTTGTTGAATGGAACGTAACATTAATAACTTTGACTGCAAATGTTTGCAAACAACTAAGTATTTTTTCTCCATAGCCATGTTATTCAACATTACGCCATCTTTCAGACATTTATCAAGAATTCTTTACCCGAGAGAGGTACATTGAAACATGATTGAAAAAAACTGTCCTCAGGTACTATTTATAAACCTTACAGCATTTGAAATTTGCCAGCCATGCGAAATTTGTCATTCATCTCACCTACGCACACGCGGCAGGCATTTGAGTGGCGCAAATGCGGCGCGTGGTAAGGCAATCACATGTTTATAAATACACACACAGACTGATGACGATTACATGGAGCATTCTTGAGGCATGAGTCGGCCCAGTCAGGCCTGCTTGGTCGCCCGCTGGAGTAGACTGGTGAATTGTCAGACCCTGAGAAATAGTCCAGCCAGTGGGTCCGTACTCCAGATGCTTATGTGTAGATGGACGTAGCTAGGCCACTTGTAGTTCAGCTGACCACAATTTGAGGTCATGATTGACCTGAATCAGTATGTGACCAGTGGCCTGTGGAGCCTGTACAGTCAGAGTCTTTGTTTTCTGCTGGTAGTCTGTTCAAAGAGCACATATGTTTCAGTGACTAATTTTGGCTTATCACATTTTATTTTTTGGAGTACCTATTTTGTGTGTGTGTGGTAATAGGATAGTGTATCTATTGTGCAGTACCTGAGGCCTTGTGTTTTCAAATGGACGTGGCTTGATATGATACCATGGGTGAATGAACAAACGTGGTTGTTATTTTGGGTATTTACTTCACTGGCTGAGTCACCTGTGGTTTTTTTTTTACTTGATGAATATTTTAAACAAAATGGTCATCTCTGTGTAGGTTATTTGCTAGTGTTCAGCAGATTATTGCCCATTAAATTGAATCGCGGAGTGAAAATTACAACAGACTCAGAAATATAAATGCACATAACACAGAATTAAAAAAAAAAAAAAATAATCATCATTTTTTTTTTTTAATAAAATGGAGAATCTTACAAATACAAATTACATATACAGGTCTGTACTAGATCAAGCAAATTTTACAGTTTCAGTTATTCCCGTAAAAAAAAATGACATTCACAATTTTTTTTTACAATAAATACACTGTAGGAGCATGTTGTAAATAAAAAAAAAAATCTCCAAGAAAGTCTCTTGCAAAGGGCGTGAAGTCCCATGCAAAATTGAATGTGGCTTGGTTCTACGTGTATGTATGCGCCTTCCGAAATCCTGCAAAATCCTTCCAAACCAGGTGGATTTGAAGTATCTGTGAGGGTCAGGGTTGATAAGAACAGTCAGCAATACAGATACGTACTCCATAAAATGGAAAATTGTTATTAATGGAGCTTCATTAATTAATTAGTAAAGTGAATTTATTTTTGTATGCAGGATCAGATCTTAGATTCATTATGGAAGTAGTGGAAGGCCAACCCAATAGTCGCCATGAGTGGGAGCCCTGTCCATCAGCCACCAACAAGGATCCTACAACTATGCCTTAAACAGCGCCCCCTGTTGAAACACATGTGCGTAGTCACCCTACAGCTGTTTTTAAGTAGCCAGGTTCCCTGCCTTGTACCAACATCACCACAAGGTGGGTTGCTGTGGTTTTGGCACCAGTCTCATCACCTCAGAAATGTTGCCTTTTTAAATTTTTTTGGGGGGTGCCTGAGGGAAAATACAGTAAATGTTTGAACTTTTTAGTTTCAACTTGACACTAAATAGTCTTGGCATGAGGAAAGGGCTTTCGGAGAATGTGTCGTCAGGCCATCGTTATTTGGGATGTATTCGGAATGTTGCCCTGCACATTCCATTCAGTCGTCGAGGTCCGTGCATTTCATGTGATCAATGAAGCACATGGGGGGGGGGGGGGTGAGGTTAGAGGAATGATCAGGCAGCTGCTCATGAATAATGCATGACACATGAATGAAATCCGGTTGGTTAGTAAAAACGTCATTCACGCGCGCCCACCATTGATTACTAGCGCCTATTGGCTACAAACGCTCAAGCTGCGTTAACTTCCGGTGCCAATCGTGCAGAAATTGCTGGAGGTGACGTCACACCAACGAATCGGATTTGCCAGAAGTTTCAATGGGGTAATGATTGGTGGACAGACATTGAAGATGATGAATTATTCATGATGCCATGTTAAAACTGTTTTTTTTTTTTTTTTTTCAAAGCATTGTAAACATCTATTGTGCAAAGTCTTTTTGCCATGAGATTTATTGGTATGTGTGTTTTTGAAGAGCATTACAGAGTTGCCGTTCTGTTTCTATTTGTGGGTCGTGTTAAAGTACTTTTCTCGAAGAAGCTGCCGGCAGCAAAAGACAAAAATGTCAAAAAAAAATTCAACACTCTCATTGTTGAAAAGCTAGTCAGTGTGTTGTGCACTGTGAAATATGATACAAATATTGAGTGGCTCAGAGTGAAATGGGAGGAATATTATCGCAAGGTAAAATCTGGACTTTTCGCCTCGTGAACTGGAAAAGTCCAGATTTTACCGAGCGATAATATTCCTTGTTTTTTGTTTTATATAACTGACATATAGATCCTTATCATTTGATATATTTGAACTTTTATTTCAATAAAAACTGGAGGAAAATGTATTTCTCTCTTCCAAACCATCCCTTCACGAAAATGTTTGAACCCAGCGCTGTAGCGCTGGCTCTTTGGAACAATATGCGCCATACGCGCAACGCTGAATGCGCACACCAGCATGCATTTGCACACAAATACCGCGCCATGGAATGCTGAACGCGCACACCAGCTTGCATTTGCACACAAATACCGCGCCATGGAACAAGAACGATCCCAACTGTTCAATAGTATTTCCCATTCCCCATGGGCTGATAGTACTTTTTGAGCCGCGGCGTGAATGGGAGCAATAACGAATGTCACGTGATGTGAGTTCCACCAATCAAATGACAAGGATATGTATGTCGGTTATATAATGTTAAAAGTTGAGTTAAGGGTACACTCGTATTGTGTAAATTCACAATGATTGTTTATGAGCAGGACAAACAAAAAGGCGTGTTATGTGACTGTGTGGAGTTTATGGAGAAGTTGATGATTCTTGTATGAGTATGCTGTAATTATATGCAAATTTATGTAACGTTACATAAAAACCATTGTTTTGCCGATTTTCTTTTTCTTGACCAAATGTTGGCTGGGCCATACATTTGTCACAAAGGTCTGTACTTTTATGGTGTATTTTGTGACTCCAAACTATACACACGTATCGTAACTTGTATTTTGAAACCTGTTTACTTGTAAGTTTTGTTTTCTTTCTTGCCATAGTAAGTTGTATAGCCTGTATATATTTTTAAGGAATACGAACTTGGTGAAATGTATGTAGTGGGGATTTTGTTGTTGTTTCGAAGAGAGAAAGTATTTGTTTTATTGTTATTTTGCTTAACAAGTTTACTGCTGTGCAGGGGTATATGTTGAAAAACCTGTGTTTATGTTTATTTTTTTTGGAATTATATGAGAAGTGGGTCCTAAATTCAAAAATGTTTGGTTTTATAAAATGATGCAAGTATAGATGAAACAAATATAGCTCGAGCTTCCTGTTATTATTCGTACCTTTATTAAAATTGTGACATTACGAGTTCTTGGAAGTATTAAAATACTTTGATTACAGATCAAACTGTTTTTTGAAGCAGTGTGACAGGGTTAAAGTTGCGATGGGAGGTACACGAATTTCGGAAAGAAAAAGCTGGTTTCTTGTATATTATGATCTAAGATGTCTGACCTGTGAAGTTTAAACATTTTCTTTGTTTGAATTTTTTTTAACCAGGGTATATGTTAACCACGCATAATAATCTGAAATTAGAAAGTTAGCTTTATACAAATAATGAGGCTGACAAATAAATAAAAAAATAAAATAAGGACAAATTAAGAACAAATGAAGGGCTGTTTAGCCTGTCGGAAATGTTGTCTTAAATTCTTTCTCTGCAAGGTTTATTAATACAAATACATTGAACAATTTGTGTAAACGATAAAAGCGTTGTTTATGTTGATGTTCAGTCAACTGTTAAATACTGCTTTAGTCAAGCTGTGTACATATTTCTGTAAAAAGAACAAAAAACAAAACCATGTACATAAATTCTATTATTAACCCTTGCACTTTATATATATTATACACTCTTCAACGTTTTTTTTTTTCTGCAATAAACAAAAAGAATTTAACTTTTGAAGAAAATTGTTGTGGTAGTTTTCCTTTTGTTTAAAGACTCTTTAGCCAATTTTGACTAAAAATGTAAGGCTAACCCCTTACATTTTTTTTTCATTTTTGGCCAAAAAAAAATTAAGGTAAAATTGCTCAAATTTGTTTTGTTTTTTCCTCCAAAAATGGATGATTTTTGCCCAAATCTTCAAAATTGCGCGTGTTGGAGTATTGATTGATGTTCCTCTTGCATCCAGATGAATTTCTGCCTCATTTTGAGAAAAGTCAATTTTTGGCCAATTTTGACTAAAAATGTAAGGCTAACCCCTTACATTTTTGGCCAAAAAATGAAATCGCTGGAAAGTTGCTGGAAAGATGCCTCAAGGGCCCTAGAACGCATTCCAAATCGATTTCTGGACAGATATGCTATTAAAGGGAAAATTCCGTCGAAAATGTAAGGTTAAATTGCTCAAATTTGTTTTGTTTTTGCCTCCAAAAATTGATGATTTTGCCCAAATCGTCAATATTGCGCGTTGGAGTATTGATTGATGTTCCTCTTGCATCCAGATGAATTTCTGCCTCGTTTTGAGAAAAGTCAATTTTTGGCCAATTTTGACTAAAAATGTAAGGCTAACCCCTTACATTTTTTTTCATTTTTGGCCAAAAAATGAAATCGCTGGAAAGTTGCTGGACAGATGCCTCAAGGGCCCTAGAACGCATTCCAAATCGATTTCTGGACAGATATGCTATTAAAGGGAAAATTCCGTCGAAAATTTAAGGTTAAATTGCTCAAATTTGTTTGTTTTTTTTTCTCCAAAAATGGATGATTTTTGTCCAAATCTTCAAAATTGCGTGTGTTGGAGTATTGATTGATGTTCCTCTTGCACCCAGATGAATTTCTGCCTCGTTTTGAGAAAAGTCAATTTTTGGCCAATTTTGACTAAAAATGTAAGGCTAACCCCTTACATTTTTTTTTTCATTTTTGGCCGAAAAATGAAATCGCTGGAAAGTTGCTGGAAAGATGCCTCAAGGGCCCTAGAACGCATTCCAAATCGATTTCTGGACAGATATGCTATTAAAGGGAAAATTCAGTCGAAAATTTAAGGTTAAATTGCTCAAATTTGTTTGTTTTTTTTCTCCAAAAATGGATGATTTTTGCCCAAATCTTCAATATTGCGCATTGGAGTATTGATTGATCATTCCTCTCGCATAGATGAATTTCTGCCTCGTTTTGAGAAAAGTCAATTTTTGGCCAATTTTGACTAAAAATGTAAGGCTAACCCCTTACATTTTTTTTTCATTTTTGGCCAAAAAATGAAATCGCTGGAAAGTTGCTGGAAAGATGCCTCAAGGGCCCTAGAACGCATTCCAAATCGATTTCTGGACAGATATGCTATTAAAGGGAAAATTCCGTCGAAAATTTAAGGTTAAATTGCTCAAATTTGTTTGTTTTTTTTCTCCAAAAATGGATGATTTTTGCCCAAATCTTCAATATTGCGCATTGGAGTATTGATTGATGTTCCTCTTGCATCCCGATGAATTTCTGCCTCGTTTTGAGAAAAGTCAATTTTTGGCCAATTTTGACTAAAAGTGTAAGGCTAACCCCTTACATTTTTTTTTCATTTTTGGCCAAAAAATGAAATCGCTGGAAAGTTGCTGGAAAGATGCCTCAAGGGCCCTAGAACGCATTCCAAATCGATTTCTGGACAGATATGCTATTAAAGGGAAAATTCCGTCGAAAATTTAAGGTTAAATTGCTCAAATTTGTTTGTTTTTTTTCTCCAAAAATTGATGATTTTTGCCCAAATCTTCAATATTGCGCGTTGGGAGTATTGATTGATGTTCCTCTTGCATCCAGATGAATTTCTGCCTCGTTTTGAGAAAAGTCAATTTTTGGCCAATTTTGACTAAAAATGTAAGGCTAACCCCTTACATTTTTTTTCATTTTTGGCCAAAAAATGAAATCGCTGGAAAGTTGCTGGACAGATGCCTTAAGGGCCCTTGAACGCAGATATACTATTAGAGGGTAATTCCGTCGAAAATTTAAGGTAAAATTGCTCAAATTTGTTTTTTTTCCTCCAAAAATTGATGATTTAGCACAAATCCTAAACATTGTGCCTGTAAGAGTATTGATTGATCATTCCTCTCGCATAGATGAATTTCTGCCTCGTTTTGAGAAAAGTCAATTTTTGGCCAATTTTGACTTACATTTTTTTTCATTTTTGACCAAAAAATGAAATCGCTGGAAAGTTGCTGGACAGATACCTTAAGGGCCCTTGAACGCATTCCATATCAATTTCTGGACAGATGTGTTATTAAAGGGAAAATTCCGTCAAAAATGTAAGGTAAAATTGCTGAACAAATTTGTTTTTTTTTCTCAAAAAATGGTGATTTTTGCCCAAATCTTAAAAATTTTGCGAGCTGGAGTATTGATTGATGTTCCTTTTGCATCCAGATGAATTTCTGCGTCGTTTTGAGAAAAGTCAATTTTTGGCAAATTTTGACTGAAAATTAAGGCTAACCCCTTACATTTCTTTCAATTTTGGCCAAAAAAGGAAAACGCTTGAAAGTTGCTTCATAGATGCTTTAAGGGCCCTAGAACGCAGATATACCTTTAAAGGGAAAATTCCGTAGAAAATTTAAGGTAAAATTGCTCAAATTTGTTTTGTTTTTTCCTCCAAAAATGGATGATTTTTGCCCAAATCTTCAAAATTGCGCGTGTTGGAGTATTGATTGATGTTCCTCTTGCATCCAGATGAATTTCTGCCTCGTTTTGAGAAAAGTCAATTTTTGGCCAATTTTGACTAAAAATGTAAGGCTAACCCCTTGCATTTGCTTCAATTTTAGCCAAAAAATTAAATTGCAGGAAAGTTGCTGGAAAGATGCCTCAAGGGCCCTAGAATGCATTCCAAATCGATTCTTGGACAGATATACTACTAAAGGATAATTCTAGGCTTTGTGCACAAACAAGAGAGGGCGCTTTTGGTCACTTTTGAGAGCTCCAGTTGGTTGACACTGCACGTGCTGGTTTGCGCACATATGGCGTGAAGTACACATGAAATTCTATTTCAAACGTGCGCACAGCCATAGCGTTTTTGAGTGCGCTTCAGGCGTTGTCGGCAATGCGTTTCAATGTCTCTCTTAGCGGTCTCCCCCAACTCTCTCTTTCGTACCGTTGAGGGGGTACTTAGGCACGAAGCCCATACGATGATTCCTGTACCCTGTTGTCAATGATTGCCGTCACCGCTAGGCTCTCTTTTTACTTCCATCTCTGTGCTTAACGGTGACTGCATGCTGGCTGCGTGCACCAGTGACATCAGTGACTCCGACGCCCCCGATGCCGTGGGAGACTCCGCCTTCACGGTGGGATTTTCAACTTTGACCTTGACCGGGGGCTGCTGGGAAGGCCTGGTGATGATGGTAGTGGCCTGGGTGACGACGACAATCTTCTGAGTGGAAGTGATGGGCAACGTGGTGGGTCCGTATTTCGGAGTTGGTTTCTGTCCGCCAATCACACGCACTACTGCTGGTTGCGATGTGGGCGAGGTGACTGTAGTTGTGGTCTGGGGGTAGAAAAATAAACGAGGGGAAATCACTAAACAAAGAACGATCGAAATATTGATGAAATGGGGCAAATTCATCGTTCTGCTAACTGTGTGACTCGAACCCACAACCTCCAATGGTGAAAAAACTTGAAGAAAAAATCCCTACTTGTACCGGAGAGACAATGCTTGAACCTCTGGAGCTAGGGGTCGTCACTATGACGATCTTCTGTTGACCCGACCCGGAGGCCGAAGAGGAGGGGCCAGCAGGGGCAGAGGTCAAACGCTGGAAGCTGGGCCGTGTGATGAAGGTAGGGGTGCGAGGGGGACCACCCAGGGGGGTGGTAGGGGTGCGCGGACCCAGGCCTATGGTGCTGAACGACCGCCCCTGGGGAAGATAGGAAAAGAAAGTCAATATTCAAGTTTGAAAATTTAGAAAGCACAGAAGTTTTCTAAGCATAGAAATAACTTACTTAACAAAAACAGGTTACCAGCCAAAATGTCATTAATATACACAGCTTGTAACTGGTGCTCAGCTAATAACTGCTTAACACAAGAAATTTTCTCCTAAGACGCTCCAGGAAATTGTCCCCTGGTAAAGCCATAATAAGCAGAGCAAAATTACATATAAAAGTTATAATTTCCAAGAAGCAGGAAGTTGGTTGCTCACCTGTGAGAGATTGATTGTTGGCCGGACCTGGGAGGATGAAGTCTGGGTACCAGATGACGCGGGCTGCGTTCGCAGCTTGATCACCTGTGTGAATAGCGCGGTACCCAGGAAGCCAAACTCGCTTTTGTAGGCATCAAGCTCATCCGGTGTGGAGCGTGTCTGCTTGAGATATGGGGCACAATGTTTCTGGAAAAAAAAGGGGAAAAAATGAAAATGTCAAATATGAAACACGTGATTTTGACAGTTGCGAACTTGAATCATTTCCAATTTATGGCTGGTTCGTGACTAATTCTGGACAATCATTTGCAAGTTATGTTCCTCCTACCAGCACCAGCTGCAAGAGATGATCGGTAGCGTTCTTGTCCACATTGCTGATGATGGGGGACTCGGAGGCAAGTCTAACCCTGTCGCTGATGGAAGTCAACTTGCCTAGCACCATGGTCTTGAGAATCTGGAATGGGCAAAAGATTAGAAGGATTACCATGGCAAATTGAAGGACGAGTTTGCTGTGATGTGGGACATGTTTTTTTTTTAACACCCTCAAGGACCTATAACACCCCTGGATTTGCCAAGAGTTCCATGCCACCCTCAGCAGGGCCTAAGGTGCTTGCCTCTCAACGTGTGGTCCGGGTTCAATTTCCGACTCGGTTCATAAGTGAGTAGAGTTGTTCGTTGGTTCTCTCCTGTGCCAGGAGGCTTTTTCTGCAGGTTCTCCAGTTAACCTCCCTCCGCAAAAAGCAACAGTTTCAATCCGGCTGTGCGCCGTGGTACGACACAGGTCGTATGGGCTTCGTGCGCCGATGAAAGAGGGCGCCCTTTTACCTAGCAATGACGTCCCATGGGCGGGACATTTCGCTGGTTGACGCGCACCGTTCCGTGTGTGGGACGCACGTACACCAGGGGATTTGTACTATGTACACACGCAGTGGCCGCGCTTCGCGGCAAATGAATTGCAGTCAGGCAAGATGGCGTCGGTCGGTCACCCCAAACTGTACTTTCTTTGCCGGTGAGGGGGTGCTTGTAAACTGAGCGGATAGCAGCTGCCTAGGATGCCTTTACATGCCTTTGGTTCGACCAAGTTGTAGCTGCATCCTTCGGCATTTAACTTCTGTTTTTGTAAGGATGATTAGCCCTCCCCCCCCCGAAAAGTAATATATATAAAAAAACCCTCATTTTCTACTGACCTCTGTGCCTAACTCGCAGAGTCCTGACAATGCCCCGTACACGGCGGCCATTGTTGACTTCTCATCACACAGACACTGGTCAAAAGTCTTAGAGATGCGTAGCTGCAGGTTGTTAGTGGTAGTACTAAACTTCCTGGAACAGAAAAAAAAAAAAACCTGATAACCTGAGAACATTGATATTTACACAAGCCATGTAAGTAACTTACCAAATATAAAATGAATATACTGTCAGAAACGTTGAGTTTCCCGATTTTTTTCCAGAACCTCATAAACTCACAAAAGAGATTTGTCACATGGTGCAATCACAAACTTAATCTTAATAACAGACATTGGAAAAGCGCCCTCTATTGAAGGACAATATCGCATGGTGACTGATTAAAGTTTACTATTAGGTCACACCGATATTGACAATGTAAATCTGTGATGACAACATGATTGAGCAAACTAGGTGGGAGCGTAGCATCAAAAGTAGTGCCCATAAGAATGATTTTACAAATTCAAAAACACAAAACCGCAGTGGAATATGGAAACTCGGATAAAATCCACCCATACTGGAATTTGTATCCTTGTGGAGACTTTTCTTTGTTCGCGTGTAGTAAAGTTTTCGAGTTTGAAATTGTAGTTTCAAAATGCTCTTATTTTAACCAGAATTAATTTCCTTGGCTAAAATTCGAACTTAATATCCCTTTTCTAAAACTCTTCCATTTGCGACATACATACCTTGGAAATTCCTAGTTTTTGAGTAAAATCCATATATCTATTTTGTGAAAACCTTGTGGAGATGTATTCATCTATAGAAATTGGCCTGTTGAGACGTATACAATCTTTTGCTCCCCATTGTGTGCATGTCTCCAGAGGGCACGGTGTATCAGATCACCCTTTCTGTTAACACACAGCCAACTCAACCCAGACTACAGACATGGAGTCAATCGGATTGTAATATCTGATTATGCCATCTTGGACTACTTTCCAGACTTCAACTCCAATCTTGATCTTACTTGCAGATGCTGGACATGAGTCTGGAGGCAAAGTCTCGCAGTGCCCAGTGATTTTCCACGTCTGGTCTCAGGCACAGCTGCTTGCTGACAATGCATGTCATGACTGCCGGCACCAGTTCATGAAGCTGCAAAAAAAATAGTCGTTAGGGTTAACGAGACTGCTGACAAACAGACAGAGACTTTCAGAGTGTTTCAGAAAGGTAGCAAAACAGTGTCATGGACCAACAAACAAATCGACAAGCAGCTAAAAATACTGCTGACAAACAGACAGACAGTTTAAAGTATTTCAGAAAGAGAGCAAAACAGCATCACGGACCAACAAACAAAACAAGCAGCTGAAAATACTGCTGCAAACAGACAGACACTTTAGAGTGTTACAGCAAGACAGCCAAACATTGTCGCGGACCAACAAACTAAAGGAAAAACAGCTGACAATACTGCTGACAAACAGTCAGACACTTTAAAGTGTGTCAGAAAGATAGCAAAACAGTGTCGCCGACCAACAAAATAATGGACAAACAGCTGAAAATACTGCTGACAAACAGACAGACACTTTAGAGTGTTTCAGAAGATAGCAAAACAGTGTCGCGGACCAACAAACAAATCGACAAACAGCTGAAAATACAGCTGATAAACAGACAGACACTTTAGAGTGTTACAGAAAGATAGCAAAACAGTGTCACGGACCAACAAACGAAACAACAAGCAGCTGAAAATACTGCCGCAAAGAGACAGACACTTTAGAGTGTGTCAGAAAGATAGCAAAACAATGTCGTTGACCAACAAACAAATCGACAAGCAGCTGAAAATACTGCTGCAAACAGACAGACACTTTAGAGTGTTTCAGAAGATAGCAAAACAGTGTCGCGGACCAACAAACAAATCGACAAACAGCTGAAAATACAGCTGATAAACAGACAGACACTTTAGAGTGTTACAGAAAGATAGCAAAACAGTGTCACGGACCAACAAACGAAACAACAAGCAGCTGAAAATACTGCCGCAAAGAGACAGACACTTTAGAGTGTGTCAGAAAGATAGCAAAACAATGTCGTTGACCAACAAACAAATCGACAAGCAGCTGAAAATACTGCTGCAAACAGACAGACACTTTAGAGTGTTACAGAAAGATAGCCAAACATTGTTGCGGACCAACATACTAATGGACAAGCAGCTGACAAAACAGCTGATAAACAGACATACACTTTAGAGTGTTTCAGAAAGATAGCCAAACACTGTCGCGGACCAACAAACCAATGGACAAGCAGCTGGCAATACTGCTGACAAACAGACACTTTAGAGTGTTACAGAAAGATAGCCAAACATTGTCGCGGACCAACAAACTAATGGACAAGCAGCTGACAATACTGCTGACAAACAGACAGACACTTAAGAGTGTTTCAGAAGATAGCAAAACAGTGTCGCGGACCAACAAACAAATCGACAAACAGCTGAAAATACAGCTGATAAACAGACAGACACTTTAGACTGTTTCAGAAAGATAGCAAAACTGCATCACAGACCGACAGACAAATGGACAAACAGCTGGCAATTTGAGCGTTTTGCAAAGACAAACAAACAATGTCACAGACTAACTAACAAACATCCACACCCACAAACAACAATCCAGAGAGCCGGACAGACTGACAGTTTTTTCCTGCTTACATATTTCTCCAAGTACAGCGTGCTGTTGTCCATCAGAGCTTTGACCATTCTCATCAGGTAGATGAGCAGCACCAAGTTGCTCTGCACAACGTTGACTTTGACTCCCTCCGAGATGAAGGTGCTGAACCGAGGAAGCATCTGGTAGAGACCAGGGTCGCTGGTCAGACTGTTCAGAGCTTCCTGGAATAGAAAAAGAGGAAACAAAACGGGAACGACATTAGGGCTGGTAATATTTTCTACAATTAACAGGGGTGTGAGTGACCACTGATAAAAATAGCTGAAAACAGCTGGAAAAGGTGTAAAAAAGCTGAAGTTTGGAAATCTCCTATACTTTTGTACACAGCAAGTGAGGGGAAAAAGCTGAAATCCAAAACAAAAAAAGCTGAAATCAGCTAAAAAGCTGAGATTTCACACCCCTGAATTAAAGAAATTAGCATGGTGGGTCAAAACGGTGATCTTGAGCAATAGACCTTTATCGTGCGCCGCCATTTCAGTCATGTTCCCTGTATCCAATAACAGTACTGAAGGATAATGTTTTTTGTCCAAAAAGGAACCAGACTATTTCTCCTTCCAGCCTCCCTTTGATTACGTTGATTTGAATGGGGAAAAAAATCAAGATGGCCGCAACATGATAATGGTCTATGAAGGAGTGACCTCACAGGCAAGCACTCTTTCATGAACACAGAGGTTGCTCTTTCGTATTGACGCTTATGGGGATAAGGGTTTTTCGGTCGTGTTTAAATCTTCATTTTCTTCTGTGTTTAAATGAGTACACACACATTTCAAAAGAAAAAAAACGGCGAGTATGAATGAGGGCACAATACACATACAAGAATCTTGGGTTTTAGTTGAGTAAACAGATATGAAGTGTAATACAGAAGAATAGTTTTGGCCATTTTTTAAAGGTTCCCCTGGCCTAATCTACAGAATCTCTACCCAAGCTTTTGCAGCCTTTTTGATAAGAAAACCACTTACAGCTCTTCTGGTTTCTGACGACCCCACGCAGGCCTCTGTGATCTCCTTGTAGTACAACTGCTGCTCCTGTAGGGCAAACAGGACAAAAACACAGAAACACAAACTAGTTTACGCAGTCCACTAAGACGGGAAACCGGTGGTGGAAAACAACAGTAGTAAACAACATTCTTCCTTAAAATTGTTTACAAAATAGTGCAACTTCTAGGTTTTTTAAAGTTTAAACCTAACTTACCTGAATCCATCAAAATCCACACCCCTGTTTTTGGAGGATTTCAGCGGATTCACGATACCTCCATATTGAAAAAGTTGGGGGGTTTTGATTGATTCAGGACAGTAAGCCTAGTGGTACTGTAAGATTTTGATGGATTCAGGATATCTCCATATTGAGCAGTTGGCGGACTTTGATGGATTCAGGATCTCAACAGATTTACTCCCGGCTAACTGGTGGATTCTGATGGACTCACTGGCCACCGACATATTTTTGCATGGCAAAATTGATGATTCGGGATACTTTCTAGTAAAAATACCCATGGGGTTAGGGTTAAAACGAAAATACTAAGCCATCAACAAAATATTTTACTTGCCTTCAACTTCTCTTAAAAAAAATAAAATTAGGTCTATAACCAATATGCGAGGAGATTCCTTACTAACAATCTGCTTACAATCTTCGCTCGTACCCCCCGCCCTGCAAACAGGACCCTGGGATACTCTGATGAATTCACACTCTTATTGGTTGGATTTTGCGTGACCAGTGACCTGCGCGTCATCAAGGTCATGACTCTGCAAGGTTTGAAACGGCCATTAAGACTGATTCATTACTCTTTTATTCCAGTTTAGAGATGTTTTTTTCTCGTTCAAGAGCATAACAATGTAGGGAATTCTGTCAAACTTATCTGTGTTGTAAATTTACAATTCCTGTCACTCGCTCAGGCTCCGTTTCGAATCAGGAACGGTCGGATTGCATTATGCGACACTCAAAATTGTGTCCACATGGTTCGCAATGAAACAGAAATCACATCCGATGTGGAATGTGCGCAATTCTATGGGAAGTTTTCGGATAGCATTTGCGCACATTGTCTAACTGCGGTCTTGAACAGCTGCAGCCAGATGCTTCATACATAGGTCATAGGTCACTTCCTTCACAAGATTCTGTGAAGCTCATCAGAGTATCCCAGCTTCCTGTTTGCAGGGCGGGGGTACGAGTGAACTTATAATCTGCCTCACCAATTTTGGATAAAGTCTAGTTAGCAGGAAAAACAAATAAATAACCACCGTAACTAAATCCGAGGATATCCAAAGTCATTTGGATTTTGTTCTGTGTAAATGGAGAGATACTAACCACAGACAGCTCATGGGTGACCACAGGTTTGAGCTTAATAGCCTCAGCCACCAGGGCCCCTTTCCCTTTGAGGCCCGGGGGCGCAGCCTTGCCCCCCTCCTCCCCGGGCTTGCCACCCGCTGCCCCAAGCTGGTCTTTAAAGGATGGCTTCTTGGGTACCAGGGTCTCGGTGGCTTCAGATTTCTGCTGACCTCGGCCCACTTCAAAAGAATACAAGGCCACAACAAACGAAACAAATTTATCAATGGCTGTTTTCTACAATTCCTCACTGAAGAAAAAAAAAAATCCAAAAAATCACAATGGCACATACTGTATCACATTTGCTGACTGAGATAATTTGATGTATGGACTTTAAAGGGAATATACAACATTTGCAAACATCGAAAAACAAAACTACCATTTTTTTACGAAACACCTTACTAGGATGTTGGTAAATGACAGTCTAAAGCATCCTGAAAAATTATGGCACCAGGTGTGAAGTCATTTTCAAGAAAAGTAGTATTTTGTATAAATTTCCAACAGTGGTCGGCCGACCACCGTTGGAAAAACCTAACTATTTTCCAACTACTGCTCCAATTTTACCTTTTTTTTTCAGTCCAAATTTTGTTTGCTATTGGTTACATGTTCATGAACGGGTGCAGGCCAGCTAAACTGGTTCCCTTACCTTACAATTTTCTGGCAGTTATAAATTGATCCATTTTATCTTAAGTGGAGTCAGGGAACCAGACTACTTGAACGTTTTTGTTTTCTTGCTTTTTCCAGCATTTTCGAACACAAAATTTCAAACATGTCAGTGTAACAATATTTGATCTATTATACTAACCCCTCAAATAGTTCATTTCCGAAAATTACAGCAAAAGCCAATGATGTACATTCCCTTTAACCATAGAGCAATTTGACAAAACTGTACAATTTCTCCCAAATCATTGTTTTAGGGAAAGATCATTCAAGTTGGCCCTATTCATTGAACTTAATAATATGACCCTCGGATATCCTCTTGGAAGAAAAAATATGTATAAGAGATTGCTTGTGGAAAAAAATTCAAGATAGTTAGAGGGCCTAAACAAATATTTTACTAACCTGGTGGAGGGTTTTCGGGAATGGCTGGCTGGATGCCCTCAATGCTTAACCAATGAGCTGCAGAAGAAATGAGGAAAGAATTTCCGTTTAATTAACCATAACTCCCCAGGCATTGTTGCTAGGATGCAACCTCAATCCTGCAAAATCCTCCAACTGCCACCACGTAAAAATTGCATACAGCCTCAATCCTGCAAAATCCTCCGTTCTTTCTTGAATGAAGTCCTTGGAGGGGTGACCACTGCCTCAATCCTGCAAAATCCTCCAGCAATAACTGTCAATGCGTTGAGGCAGAGCCAGTGACGTCCTGGAGCAGTATGGAGGATTTCAAGTGCATGTATAATCTAGGCTGACATTTATACACGACTGAGCATTATTAAACACAAGGTCCTGCCCAAGATCTTGACACAGTGCATCATCCAAAATCAGCCACACACTTTTGCCATATAGCCTCAATCCTGCAAAATCCTCCATTTTGCAAAGAGTATTTTGGAGGATTTGGGAAGGTTAGGGTAATAATAAAGTTCAACTCAAAATTCACAAACCAATAAAAAAGGAAAGACATTTACAAACCTTTGAGGCTGACGTCCAGAGGAACCTTGGGCAAGGGGGTGCCGATGATATCCGATAACTCCACTTCTTTCTCCTCAATGAAATGTAACTCTCGACCGCCTCCGCTTGCAAATCGGAAGGGGATAAACTCAGGCGTGTTGAATCCATATAAAGGCTGAAAAAAAACCAAAAAAAAAAAAAACCGAGCCATTTCTATCAATTAACCCCGACATACCAGAATGTAAGCCTGTTCGATATCCATTTATTTTTAAATCGGCAAATCGTGAAAAAAATATCGGATATCGCGATATTATCGTGATGACGTCATTTTTCCATTCATGGAACAATGGAAAACCCCCCCCCCCCCAAAAAAAAAAAAACCTGACCGAAGTCACGATCCACTGCCGTGAAAAAGACCCAACATGTCCTGAACAAAATCGTCAAGTTTATTTGACTAGAGTCTCATTTACTTTGCCAATTTAGGTAGAAAACAAATTCCATCAAACATCGAAAACAAAATTACCTTGAAATGTTGGATAAAAATGTGCAAATAGAAATCCATATCGAGGAAAGAACGAAGCACTAGCACGCAATTGCACGCCGCATTGACATGATCCCCACGTGCACTCATAGTACAGCCCACACCATTGCGGCAAGGGTGTGCTTCATTGAAAACAATTTACCAGTATTTCCATCTTTTCAGAATTACAAATAATATTTTTTTAATGGAGTCCGAAATATTTCCTGGTTCAGAAAAAGTTCTTCATCGTTACAGACTAACAAAATATTTTTTTTTCTAAAGATTTTTTTCGAAAAACGATGTTAACTCCAAAATGAGGGTGAAGCACCCCTTAACAAAAATTAATGGATCAGTCCAATTTCTTTTGACGTATTTTCTGTTCTGTGAACGAAATAAAAGGCACGACTGAACAGTTGGTTTTCGACGTTTTTTGTTGCTGAAAATATGAACAGATTTCATAAGTTTGGGACAGTTTTGGCACTAAGCAAGTGCCCAGGCACAACCACGGAAGAGAAGGAACGAGTCAGGAAAATACGTGCAGGAAAATTTGATCTAGTATGCCTGCGCGGAGTCGTCCCAGCCCAGCGGCAATTTTTTTTTCTCTCCCAAACGCGTACGCAATACGCTATGGCGTTTTGGACTATACTTTTCTAAAAACATGAGAAGAAAATAAAAAAAAGAAATATATGAAATTCGGGCTTCATTTCCCTTTTTAATAAAATCCTCCCAAGCCTCATGTTAGATTATAATAATAAAAAAAAAATCATCTGCAATACTGTGATTCGAACCCGCAACCTCGCGGTATAAAACTCAATGTATTATCGACCGAGCTGTCACATTGCTCGCTTCAAAAGTGGAAAACTAATAAATATATAATGCCCACGTATCATAAAAGTATCGTAGAGGGCGCTTTACGTGCGTATGCGGATGTCGTTTGGTGCTGGAAAAAGAAAATTTGCGGGCTCGGCGTGGTCTGCTCTAGTCTATGTAATAGACGCTCGTTAATAGACGCTCGTTGAAGACGAGTTCGTACGGAGCACACGGCTCGCTCCGTAGAACGGGTGATACTCAGACTAGGTCTCCTCTAGCTGCGTGCCGAAACGAAACAGTACATGCACTTCTCAACGTCGTAATCTACAATTCAAGCACATGTATTTGTGGTGTTTTGTCTGTACAACTTCACATTTCCGTCAAAACAAAACAGGCACCGTATTTTCTTTGCAAAACGTCAGAGACTTTGTTTCCCTTCGGTTAACTCCACGCACGTGATTACGATTTTGGCACTTGGTATGTAGGGTGAAATTTTGCTCTTTGTACTGCATGCACCACGTGCAGTGTGGAAGACGCAAAATCCAATACGCGTGACGTTAGTCAGTTGGTTCCGCCCCTGAATAGGTAAGACCTCGCGGTACATACAATGCGGTAACAGTGAATTTGTGGTTTGCGGTTTTTCATGGGAGCGCTTTAGCGACGGTTTGAAACTGTGAGGGATTGACTTTGGTTACAAAAGCGGTACCTCAAAAGACTATCGCGGTATTTTTCGGCATATCGAATTTCACGATGAGCCGATTTTTTTTTATGAGATCGATACGATTTCCGATATGAAAATTTAATCGAAATATCGTGAAATATCGTCTTACCGAACAGGCTTGCCAGAATCCATCAAAATCCACACCCATGTTATGGAGGATTTCGGCGGATTCAGGATACCTCCATATTGAAAAAGTTGCGGGATTTTGATGGATTCAGGACAGTAAGCCTAGCGGTACTGCAGGATTTGGATGGATTCAGGATACCTCCATATTGAGCAGTTGGGGGACTTTTGATGGATTCAGGATCTCAACAGTGTAACTCCTTGGCAATAGTTTGGCGTGTACGAGGTATATGTACTACACTGATGGATTCTGATGGACTCACTGGTGGATTCTGATGGACTCAGGACACCAACATTTTTTTTTGTATAACAAAATTGGTGAATTTTAGCGGATTCAGGACACTTTCTAGTAAAAGTGCTCAACTGGTTAGGGCTAAAACTGTTCAGCTGCCAAGGATTTGAAGGGCCACATTAGATGTGCAACAGGAAGCAACACTGGACAGTTTTGAGCGATTTATAAACATGTGGAGTGCAACAGAGAGTGGCACAGGGTCCATCTGTTATTTTGTGACAATGTCAACATTTCAAATTATGCAACTCGTACCTCAACATTTTGAACCTTTAGTGCGTTGTCAAAGTCAGCTGTTGACAGTTTCTTTCTCTTGCTCTGTCTGGCAAACTTCCCCGACTCCTGTAGAATAAATGTAATCAATAAACCTTTCAAAGCCCCATGTTATTTCAGGCCTTCGGAAAAGTTTTGAATACCCAACAAAGTGTAGGTCAAGGTGTGTTGGTACCCACGTAAGTTTGCTTCCAAACCCGAGTTAAAGAACAATCTATTTTTTTAAAATTTTAACTGGGTAGCCCATTCAGCAGAATCCACTGGTCTCCCATGGGGCCCAGTAAAGAGAAGACCAATGAGAAGAAATTACAGTTTTAGACGTTGGAGGAAAACCCCAGAATATTCTGGGGAAAACCAACGGAATCAAGTAGGGACTGAAAACCCAATCCACATATTGGCCCAGGCAGGAATCGAACCCAGGTCACAGCGGTGGAATGCGAGGAAAGGGCTGCTACGCCAACCCGATTCCCCAAAATCAATATTCCAGAACGTACAGAGAGACAGTCCAGTACCAAGGCCCCATATGTGGGGATGATTTCTTTCTTACCTGAATGAGATTCTTGAGTCTGAAGGAGACCTCCTCGGCCAGAATGAGAGCCGCTTCATCAGGGAGGTGAGACACACCGGTGGACTCGGCAATGACTTTGACTGACTCTTGGGCCAGGCTGGCCTTTGGTTTCTTATGAGGCTTGGCCGCCATACTTGACTGTCTTGAATTTGTGTTTAGAACAGGTTCAACAGGAATTCAATTCATGAGTAAAATTTTATAAATAATAAAAAAACCCAACCTTTTTCTTCTTAAGACCGAGTCTTACTCTTACTTCTTAGTCAATTCAAGGCTTAGGCTTAGGATTACACTCTAGAAAATTCAATTTCAACTGGATCTCCTTAAGATAGCCCCATAAATGTGGCCTATTTACTGGACTGCCTCCGTAAACATAGGCCACACGTCCACATGTACAAAAATCGTGTCGACGGAGCCAAATTTTGATTTTCACATTTAGGCTTAGTTTGTAGGTTTTTTTTGCTTTAGAAGCATACTCACCCTCTTTATAGGCTAATCAGAAAGTGCTGCCTTTTTCAGATGTATATTTTTCGTGAAATTTCCAGATTCATTTTTACACGTTTGCGTATCAAAATTTCAACATGAAATTTCACAAAAATTAGACATCTGAAAAAGGCAGCACTTTCTGATTAGCCTGTAAAGAGGGTGAGTATGCTTCTAAAGCAAAAAAACCCTACAAAGTAAGCCTAAATGTGAAAATCAAAATTTGGCTCCGTCGACACGATTTTTGTACATGTGGATGTGTGGCCTATGTTTACGGAGGCAGTCCAGTAAATAGGCCACATTTATGGGGCTATCCTTAAGAGTGCCCTCACTTTGGACAGGTTTTTGTTGGTTACGTGACAAAAAAGTACACTTAAAGTTATTATAGACCCTAAAAATAGTAGGTCTGCCTTCTTGCAAGTGACATATCTGTGCCACAGCACTGGCAGTGACACACTGAGGGCGCTCTCCACTCCAGTCATGCCAGTCCCAGGTACCTTCTGTGATGTGCATGATATGAAGCTCCCAGTCCCAGTCTGACATGTATGAGAAGTCGGTTTGCACCTGCAGCAAACGGTTTCTAATTCTCTCTCTTTTTGAAAAAATATACATCTGTAAGAACAACAACTCATCCCCCATACCAATGTGGCAATAACCTTACAAGTAAAATACCTTTTTACCATTTACTTACGCCACCAGTTCTTCACTTTTTGTCCTAGCGCGCCGCCATAGCAATTACACGATATTTTCCGTGATTTAATGACGTCAGGGAATACGACCCATTGATGGCAGCAATCTTTCTCCAATTATACGTGGAAATGTTCCGCGACGGATGGAGCACCAGACTCAATCAATTAACTGGTTAAGTCTATTATTCGCATGGGGGTCGCTTTAATTCTAGGTCAATCGTTATATTGTTCCTAGTTCAAATTCGGAAACGTTGAAAACTTAAAACATTTTAAAACTCAATTAAAAACATTTTTGTACATAAAATTTAGAAGTTAGTCTTTAAAAACTTGGAGTATGAATCGTGCGAGTAATCCTTACCCCCTCAATTTGGAAGAGCTCAATCAGCGGACGCGTAACTACAACAATGAACAGGTGCGGTGATCATTGACTCTGATCCTTTACATGGGGAAAAGTACTGGTCTGTACTTGAGCTGTACTATAACTGCCAGTGGATGTTAATATGTAACTACAATTTCTGGGGTTATTGTTTCAGAGACGAATATTGCTGGGTAAGACTAAGATCTAGCAAGATTGCTAGCCAATTTTGATTTATGCACTTTTCTTGGCACCACAAAATACTACATCTTATTGTTTTGTTTTTACCACGAAAACTTTTCTAATTCTAGTAGTCTAGCACTGGCAGTAATTTGTTCAGGTCATTAAAACATTATACTTATACTGTAGCTGTTGATTTGTCTTTCGTTTTATTGTCTGTAAGATCGTTTTCCTATTCTGCTGCTACTCCATTCTTTGGGCACCGACTTTTGTGTGTGTTTAATGTTAAATTCCTCTTAGTTTTCACTTGAAAATTGCTGCTTAAGTATTTAATACTTATTACTGCAACCTCAAATTAAAAACAAACAAAAACCTGCACAAAACAAATTATGAAAATCTGCTAATTATGATTTCTGAATATTTTTTGATTCAAGGTCTTCTCTAGCTGAGTCGCGCGGGGGAAGGAAAGCTTGTCTGCCACCATGGTTCTCTTCCTGAACATCAACATCGGCCAGCGAGTGGAGGTCTACTACAAGGGCCAGATCTTTGCAGGGACAGTCAAATACAAGGGAGGACTGTCCAACATCAAGGGGGACTGGGTGGGAGTTCATTTAGATGAGCCTGGTGAGGATTGAACATCTTAACGAACTTCTTCAAACTCTCGACTAACTTCTTCAAACTCTCAAAATTGACCACTGCATGTATGAACACAGCAATTAGAGGAGGCTTGCTCAGTTGAGTTAGACTTAAGAGTTTCACAGCCTGTGAGAATGTATTCTCAGTGGGTTGGGTAGTGAGGCAGTCAGCGACTCGGTCAGTCAGAGATGTGAGTCGGAGAGTCAGTCAGTCGGTCAATAAATCAGTCAATGACCCAGAAGACAGTAGGCTGACCCTAATTGGCTCTAGCAAAACTTGCTCATACATCTCCTAAAAATGTGGACTGTCACGGAACTTAACTACAGAGCTTCATAAAGTATATCCTTCTGAGCAAGATCAAAGTAAAATCTGAAATGAAAAATGAAGAGGTATGTGATTGTTCCTGAAAAACTTGGTAAAACGAAACTACCTTTTTTTATTTTTTCCTTTTTCTCACAGTTGGAAAGCACAGTGGCATCTTCAAAGGGAGGGAATACTTCACGTGTACACCAAAGCACGGAATATTCATTCATCCGTCGAGAATACGATTCACTCCACTCAAAAGAAAGTAAGCGCATACAAAACAATGAGTCTCCTTCCCTCAATAAATACGAAAAATTATTTCAAGATTGATTAAAAGCAAATAATGTCAGTGTCTATTTGTGTTTTTTTATCATGTGAAATACCTTTGTTCAAGCATTTTCTTCGAAATTTTGTTTTCAATTTGAGCTTCTTTCTCTTCCCCAGCATATTCGACACATACAGGACTGTCAGTCCAGGATCGTATGTAGATGAAACGTTGTTTGGAGCGAAATCAGGTCGGTGAACTTTAAATCTCGAAGAACAAAGATTTTGGGATGAGAACTGTAGATCATGTTGGTGATGATAGTTACAGTTGAAGATATCATTTTTACACATTCTGACTTGTACGATCATTGAGTGCATTTGTCATTTTATTTCTTGCAGTTCCTAAACCAATTGGTCTGTATGACCCCGTATCAGTGTCAGACACGTTTGTCAGCTTGGCAACGGCTGGATTTAATGGTAAGATATTTGCTACATTCTATTTTGCTTTTTGGAAAACATGGAATGAAGCAATACTTACATTTAACAAACAAAACAAGATTGCATGCCGAAAGTACATGTGGTATGATGCATATGTAAACATTATTTTGAAATACACTCCACATCCATTACATGTTGCTCATTACTGCCTAGTCTACAAGAGCAGTATTACAACAACGTTTAACCAACCGTTCTCTAAACAGAGAATATTTGTTTCCATATTATTTTTATTATAGCCAAGCTTTGGGGCTTCGGAATTGCATCAGCAAGCATCTCAAAAATTTGAATGCAAAAATACAGGACAATAATAATAATAATAATAATATCGGAGTCTTATATAGCGCACGTATCTACCAACAATTAGGTACTCAAGGCGCTGGAAATTATGTCTATTATTAAAGAAAGGTAAATAAAGTTTGTGAGAAATATGAGACCCATTATGTAGCACCTTATAAGGGTTTACAAGGTGCTGCGGCGCATATTGCAGCCACTGCCAGAAACACCGGGGCAAACCCCTTCTCTTAGCGATAAGTGTTACTGGGCTCTTTAACGTGCATTACACAACACACGGGACCTACGGCTTTACGTCCCATCCGAAGGACGAAGCAATAATGGTAAAGTGCCTTGCTCAAGAGCACAAGCACCATGTTCCCAAGGTCAGGATTCAAACCCATGTACCACGGCACACGAGTCGAACAGCGTAACCATTGGACCACAGCACCCCACAATGTTCTCTGTGAACAACCTAATGTAACAGAAAATAAACTGTTGCTGCTTCTGCCGAATATTCTGGCCAATTAAGACTACTGCTTCATTCACTTGTTAAATTTTGATTGAAATTTTGATGTTTTTGTTTCTAGATCCCAGTGCGTCCTGGCATGCCGGAAAGAAATGTCTCTCAAAGTCCGAGTCCTTCAGCTGCAGCTCAAGCCCGTCCTTCAGCCACAGTCACTCCGTCGGTCGAACCCTCAAGCCTGAACGGCCCAAGTCGGCCATGGAACTGTCGGGCGGGTCGTGGGGCAGAACCAAGGGCGGGACGGGGAGGTGCACGTCCCCACTGCGGAGGTTCTACAGTCGGGCCGACTCGCCTTTTATCAGCCGGCCCGCTGTTCCCAAGACCCATATGCCAACAGAGGCCTTGCAGCTGCAAGACATGAGGGGCTGGTCCTGTACTTCCAAGCCCCGGGAATGGTCTCTTTGATGATGGTGCCAAAGTAGGAGGATTTTTCTGGCATTTTGGGGTGTGTGTGTGAAAAAAAATGCAATTTAAACAGATTTCAATACAATTTTGAGGCTTGGCACGGTGGACAGATCAAGCAGGGGACAGTGACTAATTCTTTTGGCATTACATGTCAATGTTATTTTATTTTGAATCCATTAGCTTTCACTAAAAGGAGATACCACATTGTGAAAACAATATTGTTTTTCACCTACAAGTAAAGTCATGTTATTTTCTTCTCCAATCGAAAATACCAATAACTGTATCCAGTCTGGTTCCCTTTCGGAATTAACGTCTTTGTAACATTTAAATGCACCTTAGTAAAAGGGTAACACATTATTAATGTAGCTATTATGCACCTTACAACATGAGCACATTTCTCAAAAACCATTGTAGGCAGGAACACTATTATAAAATGCAAGAATTCCAAATAACTAAATTATATGGGGATTTGATTTCCTACTGAATCATGTAAATTAAAAAAAAGCACACCACTTTTTGTATTGAGATGGTTCGCCTCAAATTGTGTGATCATGAAATGGATAAAAGTTCTTTAAGATAATTTACAGGGTTATTTTTCTAAAGCCAGCCTTGTTGTCCAAGATTTAAGTTGTTATATTTTCAATTGAATGGAATGACAAATTTGGTTGAAATTCCCTGCAAATATTTTCTTCATATAACATATGCAAACATTGAGAAGAGAGCTTTTAAAAAGAAATAACTTGGGTGAACAACATATGTTACACCTTTCCTATTTTTGTTATTTTATTTTTAATTTTTACATGTTCCTGCAAAAAAATTCTTTATATTATAAATGTTTACAGGCAATTCTTTCTGAAAAATTTATTAGGTTGGGTTTTACCGATAGTGTGCCTTTTCGGTGCTGCATTGTTTTTTATTTTTACATTTGTGAGAACACTTTTGCAACAACAGGGATTGCTAATTTTAAATATTTGTAAATGTTTTGTAGAATAAAGGAGAAATAAAAATAGAAATGGAATGTTTATAGGTCTGTTGTTGTGTCGCTCATTTACCCATCACAAATAAACAAGGTCATGAAGAAATTATTTAAGAACAAAATATGACTGGTAATATGAGTAAGTTTTGACAAATAAATAAAAAAGAAAGAAAGAGAAATTAGGAAATTCCTTGCAAACATTGAGATCTTTTTGAAAAAGTGCTTCAAATTCGAGAAATACAGAGTTATGAGCCTTGCACCTAATTCCAACTTTTGAGGAAATTAAACAAAACTTATGTCAGTTTTTGAAGAAATCTGTTGAAGAAATATCCCAACAAGTTTTTCTCATTTCTGTTCCATTTACACTTCGATATGCATATCAGATGACTTTTTCACTACTTACTGGAAACATTTGGTTGGCATGGTAACACTAAGGCAATATTAAGCGGTACTTTAGGACGTTGAATGGCCAAATACTTTTATTTAATCCCATTATTACTGTAAACCTTGACAACACATGACAAAATCTAGATACCCAATGCTAAATACTGAACAATACAGACACCAAAAAAACCAGAAAAAAATTGAAAATTTACATGTTCAATTTTGTTTCTTCTCATTCAAAAGGCCGTTATGTAATGAGCTAACGTCATTAGTGAACAAGTCAATTAGTAACAGGCCGTTTTCGTCGAACCAACTGCCCACCGATTTGGTGACCGAGGCCTCACGTTCTGTCTTGGAGGTACTGTCTTTGTAAGTCATAACCAGGGTGTACATGTCGTCAAACCTGGAAAACAAAAATAATTCAAGTTTCATAATTGCAAAATAGAAACTATTGTTTAAATAATTATGACATGTGCTAAGTGATATATCACTTGCAAACCTGTCACGTGCAGTGTACAATACATGTATGTCAATATTTGGCTGTTTATGTCGTTATTGCTAATAGGCAAAATTCTGTGCTAAGCTCATTTGGGTACATGATTAACCCTAACTCCCTAGGCATTTTTGCTAGGATGCAACCTCAATCCTGCAAAATCCTCCAACCGCCTTCATATACAAATTTCATACAGCCTCAATCCTGCAAAATACTGTGTTATTTCTTAAATGTGGTCATTGGAGGAGTGACCACTGCCTCAATCCTGCAAAATCCTCCAGTAATCACTGTCAATATGTTAAGGCAGAGCCAGCGACATCCCGGAGCAGTGCGGAGGATTTCAAGTATAATCTAAGCCTTAATTATGCACGGCTGAGCATAAAAACCACAAGGTCTGGCATAAGACCTTAACACACTGCATCCTCCAAAATCATCCACACATTTTTGCCATATAGCCTCAATCCTGCAAATCCTCCATTTTGCAAAGAGGATTTTGGAGGATTTGGGAAGGTTAGGGTTATCAACCAAAAACAAAATCAGAGAATCTACATGTATAATTATGTGATGAATAGGACAGGCCTGCAGATGGGCAAAGGTAATACTTGGTTGGGCCCCTGTTAATTAAAAATTGAATTTAAATTTATTTTTAAAATTACTTACCCTTACCATCCAAAATCCTCCAAAATCCTTTTTGCAAATTGGAGGAATTTGCAGGATTCAGGTTACATGGCAAGAGTGCATTGCTGATGGTGCACTGTGTCAAGGTCTGGGGCCGGACCCTGTGTTGTTTATGCTCTGCCGTGCATACATTTAGGCCTATGTTATACTTGAAATCCTCCGCACTGCTCCAGGATGTCACTGCCTCTGCCTTAGCTTATTGACAGACATAGCCGGAGGATTTTGCAGGATTCAGGCAGTGGTCACCTCTCCACGGACCATATTCAAGAAAAAATGGAGGAATTTGCAGGATTGAGGCTATATGCTATTTTTCCATGAGGCCAATTGGAGGATTTTGCAGGATTGAGGCTACATCCTAGCAAAAAGTCCTAGGGAGTTAGGGTTAACTTATATATTAAATGCAACTGGGATAAATATCTTAATACTGAGATGCTGACCTCTTCATGTAGGAGTCTAAGATACAGACGTTGTCGGGGTCGACCCCAGCCGGGTCCTTCTGATGAACCACCAGGAAATGGTTGCGCTCCACAAAGGTGGTGTACAGGGTTCCAATCCCCATCATGACGAAGTATGAAATGACGCATGCGGCAAGGACCACCCTGGACTCGGGGAACGGATGCAGGTAGTCATAGATCAACGCTGTGACGGCAAACACACAGGATATCGTGCAGATGGCGAGCCTCCTGTCAATCATGCCATGGTTCTCCACGTAGCTGAAGTGTTCCGTCATGATCTACGTGATAAAAAACATTTACCAAAGTTCGAACTCAGCTTGTAAAGGACCGTTAACAGGACCTGCATCCCGATTTCATCAAACTCTTCGTAACTTACGATGCATCGCAGCGCGGCGACGCATCGTATCCCTACGATGCGTCGCAGCTGCGACGCGTCCTGCGATCCATTTCACAAAACACGTCGTAAGTGCAACGCGTTGTAGGTGTATTCATAGCACAATTCGGTGACTGTTTTATGTATTAAGTCAGCGTACAGTAAATAGTCGTCTGATATTCAACAAAGAGTCGTCGGATCTTCGCTCAAAATCTGTTAAACGTAAAACAAAATGGCGGTCGTGCGATGCAATTTTGAAGGAAAACAAGCTCTCAGTGGACTGTGTAGCTACTTTGAAATTTCAACTGCAATATTTCAGTCTAATTCACAATTATTCAATGAATTTTTATTTTCTTTACACACATTGCCTCAGTATTATAGTCTCGCTTATGTAATGTTTATGGCATTAAACTGGCTAAGAAAGGGACTCTTCTTATTTTGCGATGACCACTGGACACGTCGTAACTTGCGACGTGTTTTAAGCCGTTGTCAAGGAACTTACGACGCCTTCAACACATCGCAACTTTCGTGAAATGGATCATACGACGCGTCGCAAGCTGCGACGTGTTACACGTCGTAACTCGAGTTGCAACGCATCGCAGTGCTTCGTGAAATCGGGTGCTGACCATTTTTTCCTCCCGATAAGTTGGGTCCAAGTTACTCGGACTAGAAAAAAGTAGGAATTTAAAGAAAAGTAGGAATACTAGGAGAAATTAGGAAAAGTAGGAATACTTGAAAGCCTGCAATTTCTAACTCTTTTTTTCAAGTACAATTTCATAAAAAGCCGAAGACACTCACGGTTCTGACTGCATCATCCAGCGCATTCTTGACAGCTGATCCATTCCACTTGTCCACCTTCACTGGTTTGTTGGGCGCCTGTGTTTGGATGTGCCAAAGATTTTAAGAAAGAAAGGAATAAATAAAACATTGTGAACTACAAACAGTTTAAGTTATGGCCAAAGCCAGACTGAGACCGTGAGTGCATAAAAACGTGCACAATTACTACTGACGTTTTTTTACTCACCATTCGGCTAATTAATGCCCACACAACACATACATCAAAATGCTATAGTTGCACGCATGTCACCTGCAAAATTTGAGACCTTAAATCCAATTTTAAGGCAAGTTTTTGGCAGTTCAAAAACCATCCACGTCATTCTCCATGCTCAAGAAATGTGCGTGTGATTCCCAAAGTATTCTGGGTAGGTGTAGGAAGTGCCTTGCAGCTTACTTGTTTTTTAATCCATGGCCAAAAGAACATAGCGCCCTCTGTAAAAAAATGAAACATTCTGCATTCACTCTGATCAACAAGAGGGCACTGTTTTATCTACACGATGAAAATGTTAAAGCTGAGGAGTCTTTTTGCACAATGCATTGCAGTACACATCAATGTGATGTCTCACGTTTGGATTTCGATATCTCTCTGCAAAATTAGAATTAAAAGCTGAATTTTTGGTGATCCAATGCTCACAACAGCAACTTTGCGAGGCAGAAGTTTCAGGGATTATTGAAGAAATTGTAGTGAGTAAGAAGCTTGCAAATTTGATTCACACTGGTTTTATTATGCAGCACAAACTTTTGCACGATATGGATACCTTAAGTTTTGGGACTCTCATACTAGTACGCAGTATTGAGAGTCCCAAATTTTCGGACTAGGCCAAAGCCTGGTCCAAATTCTTGGCAATCGTGTAGTTTAGGACACCTCAATTTTTTACATTATTTTCTATTATAAGTGAGTTTAGCCAAAATAGTTAAATGCTTAATAAAGCCACCTATTTGACAGATCACTGATCAAACAGCAGGAGGGTTAAGATACATCGTCATCAGTATGCAGACTGAGCAACAAAATCGTAGTGGCCACGTTACGACAGTCGTAACGATATTTTAAACTGCTATCGTTATGGCAGTGAATACCATGATGAATCTGAGTATATAAGTACATTTAATATATTTAATTATAACTGCACTCTAACGCAACGCAACGCAACCAGACAATGCCAGTGCGCTTCATAATTCATTAGCTCGATTGGTTAAATGCTCAACTACCATGCCGAAAGTCCAGGGATCGAATCCGCACTAGGCCCATGCCATTGCCAAACCATTTTTTTATTTTTATTTTAATAATGGTTTCACTTGCTTTTAAGTTTTATGTTTTTTTTAATCAAATCCTACTTTTTATTGAAGTACAGTCAATTGACCGGTTCCGCAATTTGACCAGTTCCGCAATTTCGGAAAACTAGCTCTCGTTTTCAGGAAGACGAAAACGCCAAGGACTTAAACTTTGGTACCGATGGAAAGGTTATTCAATCTTCTTTTCAAAAATGGTTTTAGTTTTAGGATACTCACTTACATTTAAAAATAAATCCCCTACGACCGTCACTTGCCGTTAACGAACTGCCGAAATGGAACGCGCACGGAAGCGTGATTTCATGTTTGTCGGCCTGCTACACGATTGTTCAGGAGAATTAAATCATGGCGATTGATGCAACTTGTTCGGAAATTATTCATTATTCCACCATACAAATATAAGATTTGAAGTCTTTGAATCTTTTTTTCTATACCCACCAGAGTAACTGCTGGTCGTTTGGCCGGTTCCGCAAACGCATTCATACTGCCTATACAATACACTGGCCATGGTGTGACTGTATTAACCAGTGCTGCTATTGACAAGTATTGTTGATGACGGCCCCCTAGCGCGGTGCACTTTATTTATTTTGGCATGAATCTTTTTTTTTTTACAACTTACAAAGAAATTGAGAATTTCTATTAATCCTTGTTTAAAAATGTCGAATTTGATGATCATTTCTGGGTGTTCAGTGCAAAAAATTGAAAACTAAATTGAAACAAAATGATTTTGTTTCTGTCCAGCTTCCGGACAGTACTGTAGGTTTTGGATAAAAAAAATTTGGACTTCAAAATTTAAAATACAAAAATCTTTCTTAATACTTCCCACTAAACGCTTTTCCTTTGCTCTAAAAAAAATCACCCCATACTCGATGTTGAAGCGGTTGTGCCTAAGGGGTTTGAATCCATTTTAGAGTTACAACTCTCCACATCCAGGGTGCATGAGTCAGCCCAGGCTAGGAGGTGAGGTTTGTGGGGACCAATTAAGAATAGTGCATAATAATATGTTTCTAACCCAAAGGACATTTCCAGTAATTTAGTAATTTTAAAATTATCCTTTTTTCGGTGGGTTCTAACCTTACTCTTTACCCTTTTAAACAAAAAGCAAAATAGGTCCACTAATATTTCATAATGAACACCAGTCTCTCGTCAGTACAGAGACACAAATTTTGATTGTTTTCTTGGAGCACAAAATTTGTCAAATACTGTAAACCATTTCTCATTTTTGTCTCAATTGGTCATAAACTAAACGTTTTATATAAAATTTCTTTTTCATACAGACAATGCCAAAGACAAAGAAGAAGATTACGCCAGCCTCCTGATAGGACATAAGAGGCCATCAGCACATCTTTTTCAGTTTTACCTGTGAAGGTAAAGAAGAAGTTGAATATCATAGTGAAGTACATGTAGCTGTGTGTCTTCATCACCATTTCTTTGAATTAATTTATTTATGTGACAAGTTTTTTTTTATAGTGCTAGCTTCTGGAGTGCTTAAATTATTTGTGTACAACAATTAAACAGACATGCAGGTGTCATAAAGGCAATAAATTTAAAGGCGTTACATACATTTTTATTAACCAGTACATGTGAAAGAGAAGTGAGGTGTTTGAAAAACTATGCTACTTTGCATGAAAAACTCACAGAACATGTCTATTTCTGTGATTCATCACCATTTATTTATATGACACGTATATTTTTGGATTTAAAAGGGGTAGCTTCTTGAGTGCTTTAGTTTTGTATTACATTTACACATGCAGGTATCACATGTCAATATATTGAAAGGGTTATCGGGATATACGTGATGAATGTGTTGACATTTTCTTTTAAGAGCATCACCGAACAGTAGATGAGGTTTGCTAATACAGTTGCCCAAGCATGATACATGTACATAGTTAATATGTGCAACAACGTATGAGGAGTAACTGAACATTATAATTAGAAATTGCCATTGCTATGAAACAGCCATAGGATTTATGACATTTTTAACAACTTGTTTTAATTTGTTTGTTAAATTTAATTTGAATGTGAAACAATATGTGCATGTATGTGGCCTGTATGTATCTGGCCTGCTGAGGCCTGTTCCCCCTCCCCTCCCGGCCCCCAGGTTCCCCCTACTGGATGTTGGTGCACACAAAATTAAGCATATTGTGTTTTTACCCTGAACAAATTGAAACACTCCCCCCCCCCACAAAAAAAGTAAAATAAAAAAAAAGGAAGAGGGAATAAACAAAAGTAAATAAATAATAATAATTAAATAAACAAAAAATATTAATAAACAGTGCTCCCCTGCAGACAATGATTCAGTTCCAATTCATCCAGCCATGCAGTAACTTCCTAAAGTGTCATAGGAATTAAAAATGATCCTGGAGAAAATATTAATTCAAATTCATAAATAGCTGGTCTATGCTTATGTGAGAAAAAAACAACCAACTGGAGCAATTCGGTACAAGGTTTGTGTCTGGTTCTATCCAACGTCAGAGTGTGTCTAAATAAAAATAAGACAACAAAAAAGCAAAATATTAGTGATTGCAAGATGATAGACAGAATGCACAAAAAGCAAGAAAGTCATTTAATTGGATTGAAGCAAGTCAAATAATTATAATGTAAAAAAAATCCAACGAACCACAACATTTTCATGGAGTTACATTTTGTAAATTTGGACGCATTATAATGTGCAGACCTTGGCTCATGCACAGGGAAATATAATCCATATCTTTTCTTGGCAGGTTTGGGGGCAAAAACGATCTAGATTTGGCCAGTAAATAAGGAATATTTTCAGTCCAGTCTCGCAGAGGGCGCCGTTTGCGAAACCGGAAAACATTTGCGGAACCGGTCAAAGCACCGACCTCTACAAAATGTCCTGGCAAATTTCTCTTTCAAACGATCGCAGAAAACTATTCATATCATGAAGTAGGTGAGTAATTTGCGCATATTTATAGATAGGTAGCTTCCTGTGAAAGCGCGTTTTTTCGCCACAAGACGCTTCAGACGATTTGCGATTGCGGAACCGGTCAAACGACTGTATATAACGTCAGATTTCAATTTTTCGTAAAGATAGCCACTGCGATATTCAAATAGCCAGGGCCAGGGGCTACACATCGTCACACATGCTGCTGCTACTACTAGTACTACTTGCTAGCTACACTAGACGCTAGTCATGCTTCAGAAAAGTACAATTACAAACAATAAAACAGAAAATTGACAAACATTGACGGGTGACATTTGACAATGACAATCATTGCGAATGCACCATATGCGAAATATATTCATTGATTTTACGAGGAGAGGGCCCACTGTTGGGATAAAAGTCAGACAACTTGTTGTTATATCATTCTCTAAATATAATGCATTCTAAAAATCGTAAATTTCAGGTCAGCTTTTGCATGAATTTTTACGAAATTATACCCGAGTCAGAGAACTCACGTTTTCCTTGTCAGAAGCGGCCATTTTTTTCTCCAAAGTACACGTCGCTCTAACGCATGGTGGCGCTATAACGTATATTTGCATAGTCAAGAAATCTTAACTTTGAACCAATAAAAGGCCTTGATAAAAAAAAAATTCACGGAACTCCCCTTTTTTTTTTTTTTTTTAGCCAACATTTAGACTGTTCACATAAAACAATAAACTGGCTTTTCTTCAATCGCAGAAGTATGATTTGGTAAAATATTAAGCATAATTTAAAAAAAATTAAATAAATAAAAAACACAGAAAACTGATATTGATAAAAATACTAACAATTCACGAATCCAGTTTGGAAAGAAAAATCTTTTATTTACATGTCATCAGTTCAATCAAAAGTGTAAAAAAAGCACCCATTATATTTTTCTCTCTCATAAACTGTCTTTAAAGATCATACACAAGACGTTTCGCATAGTGTTTATACAAGCACTGAGGTACTATGGAAGTAATTTACAAAGTTCATAATGTATACAACAGGCATACATAAAAAAAGAGTATACACATGTACATGTACAGTAAATATTTATATCTCAGAAAATCCTTAAAAACTTCATTTTGAAATTTCAAACAAATATTGGAATATTAAGCACCTGGTACTACATTTAAATACCAGAATTACTGTTTAATCCATATGGCTTACATTTTTTTTGGAAGACAATTTTGGCTCGACTATAGTTTACCTTGATAAAGTTAATCGACGTCAAGATTTCACGAAAAAGGAAAAAGCTGAAAACGAACTCGAATCTGTATGTATTTTAAGTAATTGCCGAACTGAGTAGTCAAACTTTAGCAAATGGTATGGTTCCTGGACTAAACATTAAAGCTAAACATGTTGATGAATTGGCTACCCGACTATTTTTGGAGTGAGCCCCCGTTTTATTATCAGCACCTTATCAGGCAAAGCCTTGCTCCGTTGTGAATTAATCTAATTTTAGATATGGCAATGACCAGCCAGCTGATCAAAGAAATTATTTCAAATTTAACCAAATTTTATTCATATAATAAATTAGGGCCTACAAACCTCGAAGGATCTCTTTCATTCTGTACATAGCACGTCTAAGTATATACAGATATCGTCAAGAAAACTCAAAGTACTTTTGCATCTTTGGAAGGACATTGGTAACAAATGCATTTCTTTGGAAGACAATAAAAAAAAGACAAAATGGCACTCTTTTACAATTCAACAATTAAGTCCAATCATTGGTCTGAATAATGTAATTCACAAATCAATCAACAAACTAGTTATCAAAACTAAACTATTTCACAAAATTAAACTTTCATTTTTTTTAGTTTGCAAAAATAAAGTCACGAATATCCAAAGTCTCAATCTTTATAAGTAAATATCAGGAAGAGAGAGAACTTAGAAAATATATGCTTAAGTGAAATCCTTTGTGATCCTCAAAGGGCGTCCTCTACTGTCAAGATATAGCCAGCCAATATTCTTATATTCGTTGTACCCACCGCCCTAAAACAGGGCGCCGGGAAGGGCTAATATCTTTAGAATGCGTGACGTAATTTCTTGGGGTCGTCATTGGATAGAATTTGTTTGAATAATAACACGGGTAAACACTTCCGAGCGACACGAGCGCGCTGAGTGTACCTGCATTGATTGAGGCAGCAAGCTGGCCACAAATTTTGAGAAAGAGAGCCCTTCCCAGGGCCCTGCGGGCCGTGGGTAAGAGCGAAATATTCCTTATAGCTGAAGCCGGACAAAAGTTTACTTCTTCAAGATGTCACTGAATGACGTCCCCTCTGGAAGAGGGACTTTCTAGATAGGGCTCCCTCTACTGTCTGGTCACTGCAAGCTGACACACCAAATGTCTTTCTTGAAGACATCAGTGGAAAGGATCTGCAATTTGGAAGCGACACTCTATTGTAAGGACGCTTTCTTATTGCCCAGTGATCTATGACATCTTTTTGGAAGAGGGCCAGGCATTCCAGTCAGGGCTCCCTCTACTGTCAGGTCACAGCCAGCTGACCTCACTTCTTGCCGATGCCGAACAGCCCCTTGCCCTTCTTCTTGAAGACATCAGTGGAGGAGATTCCCTTCGAGAGAGGCACTTTCTTGTTGGGGGCTTTGAGAATCTTGTGCTGATAGGCATATGGCATCTCGGAGACCTTACGTGTAACAACTGCTGTTCGAGTGGAAAAAGAAGAAATCAGAACAAAATAAGAACATTTAATAAACATTCATAAATACCTCAGACAGTTTAGCTATTCCTATTGGTCGAGAGCCCGTCACGTGGCCGGTCTTAAACGAATGATAAAGACATGGCTAGCTGGTCTTAAACACTTTCCCAGTGTCACAAAAAAATGTGGACTCCTAAAAACCCAGTGCCTCTTATCGTTTCATTGGTTGAACGTTCACAATCCTCACGTAGGCATGCGCAACACTACCAGGGAGTCAGAATTTTATAGTTCTAAATTCAAAACGCAACGCGCCAGGTGCGTTCTGCGCGACATCGCGCAGAACATGATACGCGCGCGTCAATCTCCAAAAAAAAAGGGTTGTTTTATATCTTACTCGCCAGCTGAACACTCCACTATTTTGCAAGAGGGATGTTTCGAAAAGCATGAAGTGAATTTGTTGAACAAAATCGGGATGTTTCGAACGAATTATTTGATTTTTTTTTTTACCGAAAAGGTATTTGTGAATGGGATTTATCACTCTGCTTAAGACCACTTAGAGTCTGGGTGCTGATAATTACCCTCGCCTCCGGCTCGGGTAATTATCAGCACCCAGACTCTAAGTGGTATTAAACAGAGTGATAAAAACCTCCGGAGCACACTTTTATTCCCTTATTAACATGATGAACAAGTTCATGGCAATTTCAACTTTCAGAAAAACAAACTTTGACAAAAGTATGAGGAACAAATTTTACTCTCTGTGAAGATACCATGTTACAAAATAATCTGGGAAATATGCAGTACTTTTACAGGAAAGGGGAATTGAGGAATTAGAAATTAAGTTGTGGTATTTTAATTGCACAGCAGCAGTTCAAATTGTAAATGTCTCCAAATATTGACAAAATTGAGACCTGAATGGACGTGACAATTTGGTGTCAGCGGTGGGATTAGTTAACACTAACCTGCCACATCTTGTGGTTTGCTCGGCTGATCTCCCATCACATTCTTCATGGCAGCTTCACGAATCGCTGTTGGTATACTAAACCCTGAGCCGTCAAAGATAAGACAAAACATTGCGATGAGAAGAATTTGTCTAAGTACCATATTTACATCTCAGACTCACTTCATGTGAGTGTCATATCAGTTTCTACTCACCTTTTTTCCTCGCATTACCTATATATTTTAAACCATTCTGAACTTCGTAAGTCACCTCACATCAGGAGTTTCAGTCTTTCTTACAAGTTCCTTCTTGAGGAAGTCAGCTCCATGGCATCAGACTTAAGCCACTCATGACTTGTAACTCGGACTTCACTCAAACGAATAACACTCTCACTTTCCTCATCCCGTTCAACGTCCTTAAGGACTCACACTCAATGAGCACACTCATAACTCAGACTTGTGTCACAAGGATCACTGTGATTACTAACCTTTTTCTCTATCCTTCATGACCGACTCGCGTTCCTTGGCTAACATCTTAAGCCACTCCTGCTTCTCGCTGTCCCCCTTGCAGGAGAAGATGTGTAGCTTGTTCAGCTGTGTGTCGTGAATCTTAAAGGCGTGTTTGACCGTCACGCTCCACTGCAAGTCTAATAAAACATCAAAAGCAAACAAGACCATACTACGTGTGGGTCTCAATATATTATCAGATAATTTTTTTAACACAAATCTTTAACATGTGTTCTAACTTAAATAGGAAAATCCAAAGGATCAGATAGGGAATGACAGCCCAATCCACATGAGGTTCAAACCAGGGAGCTCATGGGTGGAAGGTAAGGAAACATGATTCGTCAAAAAGCTGATTTTATGGTAAAAAAAACAAAAAACAAAACAAAACAGAGAACTTTTTACCCTTGCCATCTGGCATGTCTGCTACTTCACTGACATCCAAATCAATCCGTTTCTTGTACAATAATGTTCCTTTCCAATCCTGTGACAAAAAAAAATTACAAATTGTGGAATACTCGTCAGACAAATCGTATTATTTCCACAATAACGATTTATAATTCAAATTTGATCCACCTCATGCCATAATTGAGGGAGCGTTATCACAATATTCATCGACAAGCTTCTGTTTGAAAGTTACTCATCACAAATAATAAGCTATTAACTCTTTCAGTGCCAAAGTCGTACATGTACGAGGTATATTTGTTAGTTCGAAGTGCCAACCTTGTACATGTACGAAGTAATGTTCGTACTTGAAATCGCCAAACCTCATACATGTACGAGGTAAAGTAAGCATGTTATCACAAGAGGGCGCTCTCGCTCTTTCTAATAATCTCATTTTCATTCAGGTACGACCTGTATTTATTTGTTTCATTCCAGTTCTTGGTAGAGGGCGCAGCACTGACACTCGTATTTTCTGCAAAAAGTGCGGAATTCCCCCGTGTGCAGGACAGTATTTAAGGGTGTAGCACTATGTACGTGACTACTATTGACTTTCCAATGTACCAAGGATATACCAGAGAGCAACAACAACAAATTTATTGAGTAAAACTTATTTCCTTTTTTTTTTACAGAATTTTGAACAAATACAAAAAATGCTTGAAGTTGGGCAGTTTAGCGTTAAACTTTTCAAATTTCGCGGGCACTGAAAGAGTTAATACTACGCTTACACTTGTCATATCACATTTTTGAGAGACAGCTTTCCTGAGAAGCAACTTATTTCAGCTATAAAACGAAATTTTGAGAACCAACTGACTGACAAATCCTCACCTTTTTACAGACTACCAGCTGATGGTCAAACAGGAAGGCTCTCCTGCCGGAAGTCCACCGTTTACCAGCCAACATGGTGATTTCACCGGAATGAATCAACTGAGTGCTCTTCTCCAGTAGATCCTCACCCTAAAACACAAACAAAAAAACAAGGGTTATTTCAAAATTATACCTTTATTTGTAAGGTTATCACATGTCTGTGCTCTCTGTAAACTTCTCCAAGTTGTAATCTCCATGATCCAAAGCCTCCGTGCATATTTATCGACTGCTGTGGCATTTTTTCGTCAATTTGACTCAACTCAACTCTGGCTACTTCAGCCAAAGTTGGGAGGAAACGAGGCGTTTCTAATTACCTCCCAGTCGCCGATGGCCTTCTGCCAAGCCGCGATCTTCTCAATGTTCTCGATGCGTCTCTTGCGGTCGTTGATCGTCAACGCCACGTCCTTCATGACCTCAAGAGCTTCTTGGAGCTCCTGGTAGTCCGCGTGTTGGGGCCGGGTGTACTTGAGGAGCTCTCGGAGCTGTAGAGGGTACTTGCAGATCTTCTGGACGGGGGTCAGCAGGAAGCCCTCTAGGTTGATCTCGATCATGTTCTGGAGGAGTCGGCAGGCCTGGAGACGAGATAAAGAAGATTTATTGAAAAATTGGCTGATGCGGGGTTCGAACCTGCAACCTCCTTGTGAGCCACCAACTGAGTTACCCAGCCCTGTGAACATGGTCTTCCAGTTTGTTAGAGGTCAATACTTTGAGGTTTTGATCATTTAAAGATATAGTCCATCATTTGTAATTTGTGCATTTTGTTTGCTTGAAGCAACAAAAGCGTTCAAAATCTAATGAAGGGTACTGAACAACTAACCTGATGAAGTTTCAGCTCAGCTTCAGCTGTATATTCCGAGAAAAACAGCATTTTAGGATCTCAATTTCAAATCAAAAGTTGCTGAATCATGTTTTGAATTGGGCCTGAATTCAGCGTCCGAGATGCGTTCTCACTGAGCCGATTGCAGCTATACGCGATGTCGCACACTGATCCGATGAATTATAGCAACCGCGCGCGCGTGTGCGTCGTGCCAATGCTTGCGCGCGCTTCGCCGAATAACAAAACGAACTACTAATTTAAATTTTCCTTCGATGCGTCTTAAGACGCACCGTTGGAAAGGCCTTCTTTCGTTGATTACTTCAAAATGACAGCTTGCCAGAAAGAATAATTTCACAGGGAGTTTAGACAAATGATGGACTATAGCTTTAAGCACCTGGCAAATGCTGAATTACAAAAAAAATGTTCTCTTACCTCAAAGAATTGACCATACTTCTGCTTTTCCCGTAGCTGTTTGAGCTCCCGCAGAGCGTTAGGATAATTGTTGCAGTATTCTGAATAGGTCTCAAAGCCGCTTTTCTGTAAAAGAAAAAAGAGTAAATTTTTTTTTAAATTTTCTTGTGGTTAAAGGGAATATACAACATTTGCAAACATCGACAAATAAAACTACCAAGTTGTTACGAAATACCTTACTAGGATGTTGGTAAATGACAGTCTAAAGCATCCTGTAAAATTATGGCACCTGGTGTCAAGTCATTTTCAAGAAAATGGTATTTTTGTATACATTTCCAACGGTGGTCGGCCGACCACCGTTGGAAAAACCTAACTATTTTTCAACTACTGCTCCAAATTTACATTTTTTTTCAGTCCAAATTTTGTTTGCTATTGGTTACATATTCATGAACGGGTGCAAGCCAGCTAGACTGGTTCCCTTACCTTACAATTTTCCGACATCTATAAATTGATCTATTTTGTCTTTAGTGGAGTCAGGGAAACGGACTACTTAAACATTTTTGTTTTTCTTGGTTTTTCAAGCATTTTCGAACACAGAACTTCAAACATGTGAGTAAAACAATATGTGATCTATTATACTAACCCTCAAATAGTTCATTTCTGAAAATTACAGCAAAAGCCAATGATGTACATTCCCTTTAAGAATGATATGTATGGTATTGAGAAGAAATGGTTAATTAATTGTTCAGTTTTGATGACACTGTGGTCACAATTGCTGTAAGTTTTTTTAAAAGGCACTTACATGTTCCAGGAAGCATCCTCCTATCCTGGTGAGCTGGGGTCTGTCTTGGATGATAGTTGCCTCTAACTGGAGCAGGAATCCCTTCTGGAAGCTGTAGATCTCCTCGATGTTACCAAAGAGGGTGTTCACGACCTCCTCTGAGAACATCTCGGGCCGGTCCAAGGCCTGGCTGATGTAACCCTGTAAAGTATGGACCGAGAACTCCGAGATGATGCTGAGGTTTAAAAAAAAAACTGGGACAATCTGTGGGATGTGTCCAGCCTGGGTAACTCACCTCACAAACGTCGTGCAAGTGGCGGACGTAGTCCCTCTCCGTGGTGATGATCTCTTCCACGACCTTGGCCCTGACTTGCTCGTTGCTCAGGAAGCTCAGGCTGACCTTGCGATTCTTCTTAGCCGTGAGCGTCTTGTTGGATTGCTCCCTCTCCTCGCGCAGACGCTCCATGCATTCCTCCACCGTCTCCCCTTGGCTCACCCGCAACTGAAAATCGTTGAGAAGTTAACAACAAATTTAATTATTTTAAATATTTTTTTCAAATGGAAGTCACCCAGCGCAAGGCTGATAGCCACTCAAGGGAAGGGCTACAAAATAAACAACAAAGATAAGTAGTATAGCAACATTTATTTCAATGATGTCATTCATTACAATTATGTACAAACATGTATACATTAGAAAAAAGTCACTAGTATAATATTTGATAGTTATGTACACAGTGATTAATTATAAAGTGTGAAATTAAATGACAACATTTAGGTATAAGGTTAAGCAGAACGCTTTTGTGCCCTTACCTATGGACAAACATACGACCAAGGGACAAACAAAACAATACGTGAGACAGACAGGACAAGCGTGAGACAAGGCCTAAATATTAATACACAAAATAATGGAATTTCAATTTATGAATATGATTCGAGAAAATGAGTTTTTAAATTTTTGACAAAGACAGATAGTGAAGGTAACGATTTAAGAGAATCATCTAAACTATTCCAGTACAAAGTGCCTCGGTGAATAACACTATTTTTTGACATTGACGTTCTGAAGGACACACAAATTTCCCCTAGCACTACTTCGAGTGTTATATACATGAACGTTAGATGCTAAGGTAAAACAAGAATTAAAACATGACGGAAGTAAATTATGCATAAATTTATACATTAGTTTTCCTAAATTAACTCTTTCGCTACGGCGAGCCGCTGACGGCGGCTCATACAAATTGTACAGGTTGTACGGAGAGCCGCTGGCAGCGGCTCGGTTGCGTCGCTATGAATAAACAGGATGTCCCCATGACGTGGGCCATATCTACATAATTTATATCGTATAACCTCTGACCCTAGTTCGAGCCGCTGCCAGCGGCTCTCCGTCTGGCTGGGGTGCACTTTTTGTTATTGTGAGCAGTTTGTTTACGGAGATACATTCAAAGATGGCGGCGCCCACATCGACGCTCGGCGGAATTTTCAGCTTTGAATTACGTCCAGTTGGGACGAAAAAGGTAAATTAAATTCCGTAGCGAAAGAGTTAAGGTAATATAAGTCATTACATTGTAATATATTTAATTTAGCAAATAATGGAGCAGAATGATCACGATAGCCAGCATTCAAAATTATACGTGCAAAATACTTGCTTCTGTGCCCCAAAGCACAAACAGTACAGATATGTGCTATACATGACCTAACTCAAAACTAAAAAAATAGCACGAACAGTGCATCTTAAAAAACAGAAGAAGACTGGACTCACTCTGACAAACTGTGCAGGAACCCATCCCTCGACCTCGTCCCGACAGCCCCACCACCAATTCTTGTCCCTCATGTCCGTCACTTCGATCACGTCGCCGGCCTTGAAGGCTAGCTCCGATTCATCCATGGTCACATGATCCCAGAGCGCCTCGGCAAAGGTGGGCATGGTGTCTGGACTGTAAGCCTACGAAGAAAATTTAAAAAAAATAATAGATAAAAATTATCTCTTCGAGGGTTTTTCCAAACCGTGGCTTGTCTCTGGCTGAATCAGGTCCGAGATTTTAGGAGTAGACTTGGGAGACTCTGGCTCCACATGGTCTTTGCTGATTCTTCAGGAACATAAAATCTTACGATGAAGGATTCTGAGTAATCGGTTCAGGAAATCAAAGGCTTTTCAATGATTCTGGTGCTAGAGATGAAGTTGATGCTGGAGACACAGCCATGGTTTCGCTACAAACTACAGAAACTACAAAATTCCCATTCAACTTTCTGAAGCTGCAGTTCAAGAGAATTCAGCCCAGACCGAGTCCGCTCCCTAATAAGGTAAGCCCGTGAAAGAATTGCCATTCAAAGTCTCATAGCAGTCAGATTTAAAGCCAAGAGTTCATCAATGTTGTAGTTCAGAATCAGTCCACCAGGGAAAAAAAGGAACATATTAGGCCAAAAAAAATAAATAATCGGTCTCTGGTCAGACCTAAGTTCCGGAATTGATGCGGCGATGCATTTTTTTTTTTTTTGGTGGCTTTTTTTTTTCAAGCTTCAATTGTACAGACAAGGTGGGTACTATTTTGCTTTTTTGTGTCCTCATTATACATTGGTGTCATCCGTCATTTGCCTTGGTGCCCTTTATCATTTGCCTTGGTGCAATTTCCCCATTCCTTGGTGCTCCTTGGTACAAAAATTTGAGGAGGTGCGGCAATAGAGGGCGCTGTTGTAGCTTCCGTGTTAATTTGAAGAAAAAAAAAAGGTTGACGCGCATGATTAAAATCGACGCGCGCGCTGACCAGAGACCGAGTATTTTTTTCTTTTGGCCTTAATTAATAATAAGAAAGCATGCCCAATTTCGGAACTATACTAACAAACAAAAGAGGAGGGTTATCGGCAGCAGGATTTCAATCCAAATTGGAATGGAGGAAAGAGTTCCATACCTGGACATCACTTGACACCCTGTGCACAAACCCTATCAGACTGGTCTGAAAAATTCCAAGTCTTTTCACAGTAAATGCTTCAATATTGTTCCTGTTATAATATATTTGACTTTTTAGGACATGTTATCGCTTTTCTGATGGCTGATAGGTCACTGCAGGGAAAAATTAGTGATGTCCAGGTGTGGAATTCTTCCCGGAATGGATTCTGGAATTCCAAATTTCAGACAGGTTGGGTTGAAAGGGGACGCTTTGCTGTCTCCTTGTGTACATGCAAAGTACATTTTAAATCAATGCCAAAGAATTGTGATGTTTAAGGGTCGTCCACTGAGGGAAACAACTCACTCGCTTTCCATTTTGATTTGCTCTCTAAACAGAATCAAATGTCAGCAAATAATTATCAGAGCAGAAAACAAGTTGTTATCTTTTGAACACTTTGATTGCCACAACAACTTCATGCTGGGTGCAATTCCGCATCACAAAAATATAAGTGCTATGAGTGGGTTATTTGAAGGACAAACGCTGCCTTCAATTTTGTTCTTTATAAATCTGCATACAATATACACCGATATTATTACAACAAAAAACAAGTTGTTGTCTTTTGAAAACTTTGATTGTCACAACAACTTCATGCTGCGTCCAATTCTGCATCATAAAAATATAAGTGCCATTTTTGGTCACTTAATGGAAAAACACTGCCCTTCAACTTTTTCTGACAAATCTCTCTCCACAGTTTAAAAATCTGCATACAATATACACAAATATTATTACAACAAAAAAACAAGTTGTTATCTTTCGAACACTTTGACCCCGTTCCCACTTGATCCACCAATTGGGGGATCTGATCCACCTTTTGCCAAATTGCCGGATCAGATCCCCCAATTGGTGGATCAGATCTGGCAATTGTGTGTAGTGGGAACGCCAACCGTTATAAGGTGGATCAGGATCAGATCCACCTTTTCTGATCCACCTCTGGACCAGGATACAGATCCCCCAATTGGTGGATCAGATCCGGCAATTGCCGGATCACGATCAGATGGGAACGCAAAAGGTGGATCTGATCCGGCAATTTGACCTGTTAACATCCGCCCGGTGCACGAGTGGCGCGAAAATGTTGCGGTCTCATGAACGAAGAAACTCGTTTTCAGGCGTGTAGCTCATGTGAACATTTCCAGCGTATACAACATGCACAATAAACAACCGCTGAACTACGCGGGGATACGGGCTAGCACCGCGCATGCAAAAGCGCACGTGGTATCCTAAAACTACACTATAGGCCTTATTTTTGTTGCGTGTTCGTCCATTACTAAACCTTTTTCATTCCTGAAATTTTACTTATTTTTCCATCCATAAATGACTCTGAGTCCGCACTCACCAAAAGACTTCACTTTGGCACAGAATCATGGAAAAGCTTACGAGTATGCGATGAGAATAGTGCCGATAACGCGGTACGTACGGAGGTGACAAATCTGAACTGAAGTATTGATTATAGAAAATTGGAAAATGATGTCGTAGTACATCATGTGACCGTTTCTAACCAATGAGAAGCTTCAGAACCAGGGAATCCCTTATCGATGCATTGGTTTCTGCCGTGATGTCACATAATGAGCGGCTCTGTTGGATTTCACCTGTTAATTTATGCACGCACGGATCCTCTACGGATCCGTAATTTATGTTGGTGAATTCGCGTAATTTTTGTCAGTGAATTCTGATAGTGCTGTTTGAAAACTGACCCATCCTGGCCTAGCATGCAACCATGCAACAATGGCACTCCCATAGAGCGCGCGTAATTCCGAACTCAGTGACCTTTCGGACCCAACATTTCCGTACGAAAAGGTGGATCAAGCATAAGTGGGAATGCGACTTGCGGTTTCGTTGCGGTAAGATAACGATCACACCAAAATGCCGGATCTTGATCCACCTTTTTCCAATTCAAGTGGGAACGCGGTGTTTGATTGTCACAACAACTTCATGTCGCGTCTAACTCGGCATCGTAAAAATGTCAGTGCCACAAGTGGGTCACTTAAAGGGCAAACACTGCCCTCAACTTCATTTTCCGACAAATCTCTCTCTACAGTCTATAACTATGCAAGAAAAATGAGGGTACCCTGACTTCTGACATGTGCAGTTATGCTCAAGTAACTTTTATCACCAGACCGCACGCTCACACATTTTGTTATTGCTAAACAGATAAGTGACCAATGACCCAGATTTGTGAAGGTAGGCTTTTACAGTATTTTTGAAAGTGCTTTACAGTTCCATACCTGACAGAGGTTAATTACCAAGTCGACACACCCTGTAGTATTAGGATCAGTTTTGTGACAGCAAGATGGAGACAAATGCCGCTTGTACTCACCTCAAAATTGTACTGGTTCCCAAATGTGGAAAGAACTTCCCCTACTTCGGACCCAATCACTGAAGAAAAAAAAGGAATTGAACAAGGTCAAAGAACATAATAGTTGTACCATTACTAATTGAGGAAAGGTTTGCGGAAACACCATGTGCGAATAATTTCTCAACTAAGAGAATGGTTCTAAAAAGAACCAGAGGTATAAACTCGACGTTCCGGTCAGTATGCTCTGATCGTCTTCAGGAGAGTGCCTAAACTCACTTTCTTAGAGTTTAGGCACTCTCCTGAAGACGGTCAGAGCATACTGACCGGAACGTCGAGTTTATACCTCTGGTTCTTTTCAGAACCATTCTCTTAGTTGAGAAATTATTCGCACATGGTGTTTCCGCAAACCTTTCATTATTTAGTATCTCCACCATGCAAAGCCTCAAATCTTACTTACTAATTGAGGAAAAAAAGTTCCAGAGTTTAAGTGATCATTCTGCTTAGAATGAAAAGTAAATCATAGTGATGTCCATGTTTTTGCTGTCTAAGCCCAGCCTATCAGGGTTCGACCTCAACTTTTTTCCCACCAGCCAGCCGGGCTACTGAAACAGACTCTTAATTAGCCCGTGGGCACTTTCACTAGTGCCTACATATAGAATGTGTAACCTGAGGCAATCTTGTCAGTGTTTTAATAAACAGATCTAATAATTTAACCAGTAACAGTTAATAAAATTAGACACAAATTGACAGACTGGTTTGCTTTCTGAATTTAATGATTTATTTCTTACTGTCCTTTCATCTTTGCCGTAGCCCAATAAGTTTTGACTCGCCAGCCAGGCTACTTCAGGAATAGTTTGACTAGCCCGCCGCTGTATTGACTAGCATTTGGCTAGCGGGCTACCGCTAAAGTCGAACCCTATAGACCATTATCATGTTGCGGCCAACTTGATTATTTTCCCATTCAAATCAACGTAACCAAAGCGAGGCTGGAAGGAAAAATAGTCTGGCTCCTTTTTGCACAAAAACATTATCATTCAGTACTGTTATTGGATACAGAGAACATGACTGAAATGGTGGCAGCATGATAAAGGACTACTGTCCTCTTGCTGAGTCACTGAGTGTCAAGTCACTGAGTGAGTCACTGAGCGAGTCACTGACTGAGTATAAATAATGTCCTAAAATGTGACTTTCGGTTTCAGCTCGACTAGGCCAAGGACTACTGTCCTCTCGCTGAGTAACTGAGTGTCAAGTCACTGAGTGAGTCACTGAGCGAGTTACCGACTGAGAATTCATAATGTCCTAAAATGTGACTTTCTGTTTCAGCTCGACAAGGCCAAGCCAATTGTTTTCTGATACTGATAATCAGCGTTTACTCACGATCGGCCAGTGAGTTCTTCCTGGGCAGCATCTCAGCTCCTTCCCCCTCGAGTAGGGACATATGGTCCGGGATGCTCTTGGGCCGCGCTAGGGTGCCCTTCTCGGACTTGTCTGCCTCCTCCTTGACGGCTGGAGGTTGGGCTTTGATGTCGTCATCCCAGCTTCTTTCGTGTATGCTGGAGAGCTCCGACTGGGCGCGGCGCCGTAGGGGTGGCCGGGGCTGGCTGGATGCGTCTGGGAGTGAGATGTGGAAGTAATAGGAAACACTCTTGTGACTCGAAACTCATCAAATGAATCTGAAGGACTTTTTCTGATGGACTCGGCATGTGAACAATTCGGGCGATTCACAATGCAGTGTGCCACCAAGAGTTTGCCATGGACAGTCAATTTTTTTAGTTTACGGTCGACAAATGTGTTCCTAAGAAAAATTCCTTCATCACAACCCTTTAATACGTTGAGTCCATACCATGAAACTTTTCCCACATTGATAAATGATCTCCCACCAAAATTCTTACCTCTCTGTTCGTCCTCCACTTCCTTGACGACACAGGCGATGGTCCTCGTGTCCCCGGGGTCTGTCTTGATCCGGCGGGGGAGATGCAAGGGTTTGGGCAGTCGCTTCAGGTCCTCCTCGACAGCTTTCTTGGTGATGTCTTCGGCCAAGGAGAAGGTGACCTTCTTAGGGGAGGTGATGGCTTCTGGGGTGTCTGGGCTGGCAGCGTTGGGGGGCTGGGAACTCAGCGAAATGCTGAGGCGGGAGACCATGGGACGGCGTGATGACTTGGCAACTGCAGTTGGGAAAATGTGAGACACAATCTCTCAATGAATACATCTGAATGAGTACATCTAAGTGAGGACCTCCTTGTGAGGATATCTATTTTTTTTGCTCGCACAAAAACCAAAAAAGTTAATTTTAGTCCCTGTTTCCCCAAATTTTTAGGATTTTAACCTATGTTTATGAAAAGATTAGGAGTGGTTAAAGGTAGGGTAGATCATTTGTCATTGTGCATTTTTTTTTTCATTTGAAGCGACAAAAGTGCTCAAAATTTAAAGATGGGCGCTAAACAACTAATATAGGCCTAACCTGTTGAAGTTTTAGCTCTGTGAATGCTGTATACTCCGAGAAAACAATATTCTAGGATCTCGATTTCAATTCAAAAGTTGCCAAGTCATGTTTGAATTGCGCCTGAAATCAGCGTTTGGATAACGTTCTCATTAGGCCGATTGCAGCTCCGCGATGTCACGCACTGAACCGACGAATAATAGCAACCGCGCGTGTGTGTGCGTCGTGTCAATGCTTGCCCGCACCCATTCATGGATTCGCCAAATTACAAACCACCTACTAACGGAAATTTCGAAAAAATGCGTCACTTGACGCATCCTTGGAAATGACCTTCTTTCATTGTTTTCTTCAAAATGACAGCATGCCAGAAAGACTAATTTCACAGGGAGTTTATTGCCATCACCATCTTTAAACCAAGTAAGCTTTTCAACAATAATTCAGTTATTCGTCAGTTATTTTTTGGATCATGCTGCAAATGATCTACTCTACCTTAAACACATTGTACATGTACGAACTTGACTGAATTAAAAAATTAAGTATTAAAAGGCAAATTCCATTTCTGAAAAACTATTTTCTTATACCAAATCTAGTTGAAGTGCATTTTAAAAAGCATTCATAAATACCTAAGACAGTTTACGCATTCCTATTGGTCGAGAGCCCGTTACGTGGCTGGTCTTAAACGGATGAAAAAGACATGGCTAGCTGGTCTTAAACACTTTTCCAGTGTCACATGAAGTTTGGACTCCCGTGAAATCCGGTGCCTTTAAACGTTTCATTGGTTGAACGTTCACGTTCCTCACGTATGCATTCGCAATACTACCAGTGAAGCAGTATTTCAGGGTCCAAAATTCACACTATACCAGCCCAGCTGCGTTTTTGCGCAACATCGCGCAGTACCCTTGACGCGCACGCCAATGTCCTTATAAGGTAACGGGTTGTGAACGGGCATTCCATTTTATAGTCGGAGAGGTGTTTCCTAAAACATGAAGTAAAATTGTTGAACAAAATGGTTGGCAACGTCTAGTTTTTGACTTGTTTTGATTTTTGGACTGAAAAGATTTGGTTTTTTTGACCGAAAAGGTATTTATGAATGGAATAAAATATGTGTTTGGTCGGTATTAAACACTCTGTTTAAGACCTGTGGGAGTCTGGATGGTCGATCGTTACCCGAGGCGAATCACCCATCCAGACTCCCACCGGTCTTAAACAGAGTGTTATAATACCTCCCAAACACACATTTATTCCCTTATTTTACAACGGGAAAAAATGTGACTTACTTCCAGTTCCAGATTCTCTGCGACCGATCGTGACAGCCGATAGCTTCCTCTCCTCAGTGAGTCCGCCATTGGCCATGGCCTGACCCTCCACTGACCCCTTCTCCCACTGAAGGTCAACGATGTCAGAGGACAAAGGTCGCGATGGTGGGTTGCTGCCGCCCAAGGATGAACAAGGACTGCACAGATTGCTGCTCGACGTGTCGCTATCACCCTATGATAACAAAAAGAATAATTCCTTTAACCACCCTTTGAAAGTTTGAATAAAAACAAGCTGGAGTTACAGTCGGAAATCTACTGAAATTTAACCTTGTTTGTCAATACAAATTCGGCACTGTAAGTACATTCTAAGTGCATACTTAACACTCAAAATTAATTGTTCTTGGTTGTTTTTCTCTGAGTATTTTTCGTTGTCTAATTTTAACCTCATATGATAAGAATTTTGGTCCTTACTGCCAAGTATGTCTCTTCTGTTCCTCTGTCTTTGACGATGCCACTGTCCACGCTGCTTCCTGGAATGGTCTCTGTGCTCAGGTGCATGGCCACTAGGTGAGCATTCTCCATCGGCGACACGCCCCGCTTCCTCTGCCGGATGGGATGCCGTAAGGAATTGGACCGCTGGAAGTTGGACCCACCCAACCGGTCCTCGTCCCTGTCATCGTCATTGCCATTGGTCTTACGAGATGGCATGCCATGCCAGGTTTGCCTCAGGGCTGTGTCCCTGCTCATGGGGACTGGCCGGAATGCGACCAGAGGCTTGTGAGGTAGCTTGGGGCTGTTATTGCGGATGTTGACATAATCAGGGAGATGCTCCAGAGACCCCTTTGTTGGAGTTGAGGAGTCATCCTCCTTGTCCTCTTTCTCCTCTCTGTCTGTCTTCCCATGGTCCTCGGGAAGCTCCTTGGGGTCTAATTTCACAATCTCAGGCCTCGCTTTTGGCTTGGCCTGTCCTTTCTTCTTGCTCCATTGTTTGATTCTGGATAGGAGAAGCTTGGGGGATACTGTTTTCTCTTTGGGGTCCTCGTCGTCTTTCAGGGAAGTCTTCTTTGGTGCAGGAAGTGTCGATGATCTGTCTTTTTCAGGTGACGGCACATTGCTTGATGGCTCGTCTGCTACAATGGCTGGATCATCGGAAGTTGTTTGGAACTGGGCAATTGATTTCCACAGGCGAATCCCGGGGAAACTTCTGGGGCTTGTGGCTGAGCCTGGCAGGGATGCCAAGCTGCTTCGACTTCCAGATCTCTTAAGACTCCCCCTTCGATGGTAGTTTGGGATTGGTGGGGTGCCTGGAGGAGAGTGTTGTGTCAGCTGCATCAACTCCTGGTTGAGCTGGCTGATGTGAGATACCATCTGGAGCTCTGAGGTCTTCTCCAATGAGGCTGCATGCTCCTCTTGGAGGTCTAGCAGACCCTCGCTAAGTGCGATGGCCATGCTCTTCTTCCTCCGTCGGAAGGCTTGCAAGGATTCTCCAACAGAGGCGTCAGTATCCTTCTCCTTGTCTTGTTCCCCGTTAATCTCAGTCTCCACTGGCACCGTGAGGCTCTGGCCACTCTTCCTACTCTTCGGTGGGGTGTTCTGAGAGGTTTCATTTATTGCAGGACTGGAGGGACTAACTGAGGATTTTATCTCTCTGTCACGTTCTATTCGGAGTCGGGACTTGTGACTGACGTCGTCAAGCTTCCGCCGATTGTCCTTGACACTGTCGGAGCCAGAGCCGGACCGCTGCCGACTGAGCTTTGGTCGATTGTTGTTTGCAAGAATGGATAGGGTGGGACTCCTGCTCCCGGAATACACTTCCTTGATGCTGTCTCTGCTTTGCCGTCCCATGGTTTCTGTGTTCTCATTGAGGTCCGAGTCCTGGTCGATACTCAGCCGCTGCTTGAGTGACAGCCTCTTCCCGATTCCCATCGACATGACAACCGCATCCCGCATGCTGCTCTCCGGATGGTAGATGCTTGGAGATGCTCCGAGGTCTTCCTCCTGACCGGCCGAGCCAGACTGGAAGGAGTTCCGGGCGTTGGGGTCTAGCTTCCAGACATCACCACCAGCATCGTCGCTTTCCGACTTTTGTCGCTCGGCGTAGACTGACTCGAGCTTGGACTTGAGCTCATCCGAGGGTAGGACCCAGGCGGAGAAGGTGGGAACTGAGGCTGTCTTGCTAGCCCTGGATAACTCCTCGTTGTGATCTGTCAGAACGTAGGGTACATTTGCATCTTGATTTTCATCATCATAATCATCATAAGCGTCATCAATCTTGGACTGGTATTCCGGGATGAACTCTAGCGGAGAGAGGGGACTGAGGGATTCATTCTCGTTGCATTCCTGAATATAAAAAAGAAGAAAAATAAATTCTAATTATACCAATTATAAAAGAATTTTGAAAATCAAAACCTGTCTTTATTGCATACGAACTAAATTGGGGGTAGTTTTGCATGGCGTCCATAGCTCTGTGTATAAATTCATAGTCAGAATTATGTACAGTAATTCTCTTGGCAACATATCCGATTTTTAATATTTTGCAATTTTTGCCTGATTTCATAGCCCAATTCTGAGAGAAAGAATTGAGAAAACTTTGAAGGAACTGACGAATCTATAGCTATGTTCAATTGCCAGATCAAAGCCTTAAAGGGAATGTACATCATTGGCTTTTGCTGTAATTTTCAGAAATGAACTATTTTGAGGGGTTAAAAGTATAACAGATCAAATATTGTTACACCGACATGTTTGAAGTTTTGTGTTCGAAAATGTTGGAAAAACCAAGAAAAACAAAATGCTCAAGTAGTCTGGTTCCCTGACTCCACTAAAGATGAAATGGATCAATTTATATGCCGGAAAATTGTATTTGTAAGGTAATGGAGCCAGTCTAACTGGCCTGCACCCGTTCATTGAACATGTAACCAATAGCAAACAAAATTTGGACTGAAAAAAAAAGGGTAAATTTGGAGCAGTAGTTGAAAAAAAGTTAGGTTTTTCCAACGGTGGTCGGCCGACCACCATTAGAAATTTTTACAAAATACCACTTTTCTTGAAAATAATTTTACAGGATGCTTTAGACTGTCATTTACCAACATCCTAGTAAGGTATTTCGTAAAAAATTGGTAGTTTTGTTCTTCGATGTTTGCAAATGTTTTTCCCTTTAAATTTTCAAACGCATGCCTTTTTATACAGTGATGTACGTGTAAAGTTGGCTTGCGCAACAGTACAAGTGATATTCTACAAGGTTTAGTCATGAAGAATACAACAGTCAAGGAAAGAGAATCACAAGATGATCCTTGAATTCTTGCTTTAATTCTTCTTGCCAAATCACGCGAAAGTAAAAAGCCAGGCCATGGTGATTCACAAACGGACACCGCGTCTACTTCACCTTGATTAAATTCTTAACAGTGCCTTTTGTGTCCAAAGTAAATGTTACCCTAAAACCGTTCCGAACCAAAGCAGCAAATAAAGTGAAACAAATTCCATAGAGCGGCCGGTATACAACCCACAAAGAAATAGAATTTGGAACCAAAAACTGTGAATATAAAGAGAAGAAACACAGCCTTTGTCTTGGTAAGGTTATAATAACACCTCCCCGTGGTGCAAGATTTCGCTCCAGAGGAACTGGAAGAATGCATTCCATAGTTTGCCTCTCTATTCACCTGTGTGTTTGTAATCAATATTTTCGCCGGAGCCAAAAAGGTGTAAGTAACTCCCCTTGCGCCGGGCTAGTGGTCATTGTGTCCTATTGTCCCTCTGTATTGTCCAGTGGGGCCAGAGTGGGGAAAGAAAAGACCCCAAGAGGTAATGGGTTATGACGACTGAAGGATGAGACGGGTCACTTTGATCATATACTGTCGACTCTCGTTAGTACAAACTCTGTCATACAAAATTCTGGTTATAACAAACATAAGGCCTTGGTCCCGACTGTGCATTTATGTATACAATGAATGGGACTGGTGTTCCTCTTAATACAAAATTCCGACATAACAAACAATTTGGCTAGGTCCGAACGAGTTTGTATTAACGAGACTCGACTGTACATGTTGTCTGATGGTTTCATAAAGTGACAAATTTCAATTTGGTGAGAGAATTTTTGAAATGTTCGATGGTGGAATCTTTCTTTTTTAGAAGATTGAAATGTTAATTTTTGGACAAATATCTTCAGTTTACACCAGTGGGAATTTGAGATTTTTAGTCAGCAGGAAACTGACATTCATAAAAATGGGTAGTGCAACTTCAAAACTCTAAACTTCTGCTAGCAGAAAATGGGGAAACCGGGGTTGTCCACTTTTTGGGCTTCTTCGTCAGTCCTACAGTAGGCCTAAACCCAAGTGCAGGTAAAGCTTTGCAAAGCGTTGTAATACTGTCAGCATTAATTTAGCCCAATCAGCATCAAGTTTTTGTCAAACTTGTGCTAACTTAATAGAGGTGAAAAAAAATTAATAAGCTGGAGACATGTACACACACTTCATGATGTAATAACACAACACAATGGACAGAACCAAGCTCCACTATGGCAGACACAAACTGCTTGTTGTGATATTGTCAACTTTAATTTAGCCACATCAGCCTCAAGTCCCAGTGAGGTATGTGATTACTGAACTGAAAATAATGAATTAAGACAGGTAAATAAAAAAAGTACATAAATTTCACTTTTAATTTTGGCAGTGGACACAACACCACAAATCTCTAACAGCCAACTGTTTAGCCAAACTGTTGTGGAACTGTCAAGACCAATTTGGCCAATCCACCTGATGTGCTTGTCAGGTGCCAGTGTGATAATTGATTGGAAAACTGTTTGACAAATCCAATTAGACTTTATAGTTCCCTTGGGGCTGGCTAGTTGGCTGGAGATTGTGGAGGTCCTGCAGTTGATTTGACACTTTTCCCCTGGGGTATGGTTGTGGACCTTAATTGTGTGTTTGGACACAATTACCAATGAATACCTGGGGCATGCAGGGGGAAAGATGTACTTTTAGGCAGCAGGCATTTTTTCCCCCAAATATAATTATTCAGCACTCAGAGCTGTGCAAAGAAATCCTTTTATGATATCAACAAGTTAGGCTCCCAATCAGAAGCCAATGCAAAAAAACCCATAACTTTTCCATGATTGGTCATTGATAACTTCCTGGATAAATCCTGGACTCTTCCTGGATATATCCATGACTTTTCCTTGAGAATCCACAATATTACCATGATAAATCCTTGACATTTCCATGATAAATCCTTTACGTTTCCAGGATAAATCCTTTATGTTTTCATGATAACCTCATTATTTTTCCTTCGATAAATTCATAACTTTTCCATGACAAATCCTAACCCTTTCCATGGGAAATCCCTAACTTTTCCAACTCAAAACTGTTCCGTGATAATTTAATATTAGGATACATCCTTCAAGGACATACTTTGATAAGCAGTGTGACTCCTTCGACACCTTTCTTGCTTCTTGTCAAGTGTTATTGACTTCCATTAATTACAGAGTCCCACACGACTGACTGTGCCATATCAATCACTCTTTGGTTCCAACAGGGATGTCCTTTTTCTACTTGTGCCCTCGAGCAAAGTAGAAAAATATTGTGCCATTCGCACCCTTGCACAATATTGCAAAGTACATGTACACTATATGTATTGCCATGAATACACATACATGTACCGTACATACACGTATGTACATGTACAGGTACATCGCTTCAGTAGGGCCATTGATAATGACAGGACATTCGTATCTTTAGGTTTGATATTAAAAGCTAAATACCATTTTATTTTCTTGTCAGAAAAAGGCCTTCAGCCAAAATATTTGATGTTCATGTCCAAAACTGATCTTACATGTAAATTGCGAGGGGAAAGTGTCAAAGTCAAAGTTATCACAGAGTTCCAGCTGAAAATATCAGAAGGTTCTAGCTCACTGTTCTGCGCAGGTAAAAATATTTGTTCATGCTGACTGGTTGATGTTGAGGTCTTTTTAATGTGCACAGCATGTCTCAAAAATGTAGCAGCAAAACACACTTTTTCCTGATGAAACTAGATCGGGTTTTTTTTGTTAAAAAAATTACCATGAGATGATTTGTTTCTTTACCCTTGGCAGGATTTTTGTTCTGTGTGATTTGGACAGTCAAAATCTGCTTGTAGGCCACTTTTTAGATTATCTGGTATCTATAGAACTTAGCATTCACACACCTTTCAAGTCCTTTCCTTTAATTAGCTGTATCTCTGGACTGGGGTGTCCAAGTGAGATGAGATAAAGACCATTGTGTAGAGTATTTACTACACCTTCAGACTCTATAGGTAAGTTTTGCAAAAAGACAGTGCTAGTATTTTGAATATTTATGAATTGACTGCTACATTTTTATAGACACACTATACAGTGTTAAAGGGAAGATACAACATTTGCAAACATCAAAAAACGAAATGACGAAATTATCACGAAATACCTACTGGATTGTTAGAGAATGATAGTCCAAAGCATCCTGTAAAATCGTGGTGCCTGATGTGCTAACAGTTTCAAGAAAACTTGTATTTTTCCAACGCTGGTCGGCCGACCAGCGTTGGAGAAAACTGGCTGTTTGCAAAACTGCTTCTAAATTTTCATATTTAGTTATTTCGCATTTTCTTTGCAATTGATTACACACCTGTAAAGGAGTACAAGCCTGCTAGACCGATTCTCTGACCTTACAATTCCCCAAAGTCTAAAATTGCTCCGTTTCATCTAAAGTGGGGTCAGGGAACAAGACTACAAGAACATGATTGGTTTTTCCAGCACCTACAAGCCCAAAACGTGAAACAAGTCAGTTTAACAATATTTTCTATAACAAACTAATCCTTCAAATCCATTTATGTCGGAAAATTGCAGCAAAAGCAAATGTTGTACATTCCCTTTAAATGTTTTTTCAGTTTAAACATTAAGAGACTTAGGCCTACTGATTAAAACCTGCAATGTAATCTCTGAGGAAAAGTAAGGATGAATATAGACAGTTTTTTTACCCTTTTCTGACCCTAAAGTTCACAGAAAGAGCATCACAATTTTCACAGCACTGAGAAAATCAATCCTTTGCACTTGAAATAAACACCAGAATCAGTGGGTCAGCAACCCAGGTATATAAGATTCCAAGTTCTTGCCGTCAGATGATACCCTTCTCTAAACAGATGAAGTATCTGTTGGGCTTTGTTCCCAGGCCTATAAAGCTTTAGTCTCTCAAGAAACAATGTGGGTTGGATTTCGAGCTCGTGTCAATTGAAATAGAAGAGCAGAACAACCCTGACCGTCAGATCAACAAGTCTTAGATGAATCAACTTTGCATACATTTCCATATTATACAGTTTGAACTTTAAACCTGGTTTTGTAA